AGATCAAGAGATGGTTATTGTCATAATAAATCCCCTTGCATAAATCTAGTATGTTACAATTTAAATAAATTGAAGAGTTTAAAAAAGTATTTCCTTCTAGGCATTCTTGGTCACCCCACCATTGTCAATGATAGTAATTTTATAAAGATTCAGCATTTTCTTGTTACTCCATGTCCTTGACAACAAGGTGCATGCATGTGACTGTGTAATGATTTCACCCTTACCCTCTCATAGTGTTGTGATGGACTTTTAAGTTTAATGCTTTGAATAGAAATAGTATCCGGAACTTGTCAAATGTTGGCTGTTGCATTACATTTATCAAGGAAATAGATGGGGAAAACACACCATGATTTGTCTTAGCATGCATTGGTCTAAGCATTCATTGGTAGCCTGATCATTGTCTGCACTGTTTGCAATTTGCAATAGTCATTACCGGTATATGTTTTGAAATTGTGAAATTTTTACTGGAAATGATAACTGTTTTTGTAGAGATTGAAAATTGGACACATGACCATTTAAGATATTTATCATTGTAAGGGTTAATTATACCAGTTGCACGGGCAAGGGCAAGCTGTTGCATTTAGTATGTTAATGATACTTAGAATTACAAGGTGACTGAGTTTATATCCTCCCAGTACTTCTTTTGTTTTACTTTACATTTCTCTTTGATGACACAAAGTTGGCAACATTATGTAAAACAACATGTTATGATAATATGGGTGTCTTAGTGCTTGTTTATTGCCCTGTCTAATAAAATAATATATTGGTTTATACCAGGAAGAACTGCTATTTTGTAAGAATGACATCAGACATCTATTATGCTATTGTTTCTATGACATCAGAGAAGTATTTTGTTCCATAATTATGTAAGTACTTTGTTGATTACTGGGTATATGAAAGCAACTTGTCTGTGGGATTACAGATGTTGGTAAACGTCAAAAGTAAGAAAAAAAACTTGTTTTCAGATACCAGGAACTTACAGAATAAATATGAGCCGCGTCACGACAAAACCAACATAATGGGTTTGCGACCAGCATGGATCCAGGCCAGCCTGCGCATCCGCGCAGTCTGATCAGGATCCATGCTGTTCGCTATCAGTTTCTTTACTTGTTACAGGGTATGTAAGCGAACAGCATGGATCCTGATCAGACTGCTCGGATGCGCAGGCTGGTCTGGATCCATGCTGGTCGCAAACGCATTATGTTGGTTTTGTCATGACACGGCTCATATAGTCATATGAAACATGTGTCACTGTTATATTACTTCAATAGCATGACCTTAACAGACAAAAAGTGTCTTTGTCATATCAAAGGGCATCGTTGTGATTTTTAATTTGTCTCTTTCTGCTAAAACTTCTGTGATTTTGTTTGCGGTTATAAGACTTGCTTTTTACCATTAATAAAATTAATATGAGGCAAGTCTGCACATCTGTCTAGTATAACTAGACTATTATAATTGATAATAGTTATATTAAATATGTGTTGTATCTTTTATAGTTTCTTAAAGCATATGACCCCTTTTTGCTGTGGGTAACTCTCAGACAGGGTTGTTAATTTATCCATGCTAGAATTGCAATATTAATAAGTAATGTACACCAGGTTAAGCCAAAATAAAAGACCCTAAAATTTTTAAAATTTAAGTCCATCAAATTAAGAATTTGAGCAGGGTTGTGTGGTTAATGATGATTTTCGTCATAGATCTGTGTTAAGCTAACCTGTTGACCATCCTAGTTCTCAGCTTTGATATTTAAATTTACTTAACAATCTGCCAGTTATAAGCTAATAATATTTGTTCAAGGATCATTTAAATAATATTTAACCCAATTTAAAATGAATGAAGTTAAGAATTAAGTAATGAGCTGAATTTAATCTTATTAGAATTAAAAAAAGAGGTCTGGTTGAATATTTTAGTGGGTCAGTATAAAGGTAGAGTAGAATGACCCAAGGAAATGTTTAAGAAAGAAATGTCTTAATGTTTATCATATAATTATGCTGATAGTTCACATCTTAAAATGCAGATTTTATTATTTCCAGAATAGATTATGCTTATAAAAAATGATAAGTCAAACATATTTTTGATTAACCAAATAAAATAAATAAATAAAACTTTTGATGTTTGAAATATTTATTTAGAATGCATAATTTTGGATAGACCATGTATAATATTGTCTGTTTTTTATATACAAAATGAAATATATATTTTGGTATGCAAAATCTATATTGTTTTGATAACAAATATACATTGTATATTGATTTTCCAAATTTTTATGAGCTTTGAATGTTGAATTTATTTTATGAACTCTTGAGTTTTCTTATGCTAAACATGTTATTTTGTTTCTGATATATCAAAAATCTGTTTTGATTTGCCAGAATTATAATTTTGATAAACCACATTTCTTTTTTGATATGCCAGTGTGTTGTGCTGTTTTGATAATAAAATTTCTTTTTTTGATCTGCCAGATGTGTTACATTTGAATAATCTATATTTACCTCCCTTTTTGATAGGCCAAAATAAATAATCTATTTTGGTTTGCCAATTATTATTGCTTTGATAATACCAAATATCTATTTTAGTGTACAAAATATGTTGTTTTGATAACCAAATATCAATTTTGATATATCAAATATGAATTTTAACTTTGAAACTGATGACACAAACTTAAAATACATGTAATTAAAATTGCATAATCAAGAAAAAAATGTTAAAAAAATCAGGATTTCCTGGACAAAATGATATTATGTTATAAATCATTAACATCATAATTTCAACACAGGTAATATAGTGATAGCTGGTGAATGTTATGACCTCAGCAGTGAATATAATAATGCAAGTAGTATACAGTAACACAATAATAATTGTTGCCAAGAATCCTTTGATTATTATTAGTGAGGTGGTTTTTATGCTGATCTTTTTTCTAACTGCCTCTTATTATTTTTGCGCTTATTGTTCATTGTATCCCGATGAGAAGAATTACGGGAATTATTGCGAGGGTGAATGCCGAAGGAGGCCCGTTTACAAATTTTTCTTGTGCGCTAATTATAGATGGGAACTAGTATTTTCTTGAAAAATGTTTGCTTTACCAGAATATGAAAGAATAATCAATGTTAGGAAAAATTTATAATAAACATGGCTGTTGTAAAAGGTAATGACAATTTGTGGCTTTATTAGTTATGATTTTTCCATGATGTGTTTGATGATACATGAAAATTATTCTCAGCCTGAGTGATATTCAAATCATTAGTATATATCAAGAATCTCAAAGACAAAGTTCATGAATTGGTTAGGCAATATACTCATTAGACTTAAGGAGTTTTAATTACCAATATCTTGACTAAAAATCCTTCTTGCCTTTTAAATAAGTGTTTTCCGGTGATTTTGAAATTATTGAGTACCTTTTAAAATGCTATTAGCACTAATGGTTGACATATTCTACCATTAAACAACCAGATTAGCCTTTTATTCATACAGGTTACATCTGTGTAAGGGAAATCAAAACTATCATGTATGATGCTTGATTATAAAAATTTGTTTAACAAAACTTCTTCAAACAATATTATGATGATAGTTTCAAGTTTGCTCTAATTTATAATAGATGAAGTCATTTTCCAAGATTTTGATTCATTTGGTCGAAAAAAAGAAACAATTGAGGAATGATAGAATGATAAAAGATATAAAGTTAAAATGAGGAATAACTTGTCAAAAATTTAGAAATGAATTAGGAATAATTGATAAAAAATACAGACATGAATAAGAGGAATACTTGGTTAAGAATTGCAGACATAAATGAAGAGGATAAAACTGCAGACATGAAAGAGGGGAATATTTTACTGATAAAAAATACAGACAGAAATCATGAGAATAATCAATTAAAAATAACACTATAACCAGTCTTAAATCAGAGCAGAGGAATAATTGGTTAAAAAATGCAGTCTAAGACATGATGGAGGAATATAATTGGTTAAAAATATAGTCTGTGACATGATGGAGGAATAATTGGTTAACAATGCAGATATGAAACACAGGGATGACTAGCATAAAAAATTTAGAATTAAATGGGAAATAATTAGTTAGAATTATAGAATAAGAGTATAAGAGGATTAATAATTGATTAATTTGTAAAGAATATAGAAATTAATGAAGAATAATTAGTTTTAAGATATGAAAGTGAATTGTAAATTAACAACAGCAGAACCTCCAATCAGTAAGGCAGGCTGCCAAGTTACATCATAATATATTGAGTATAGTGAGATTCCACAGTCTATGACAAACTAATAAACAAACATTTTACATAGCACATTGTCATTGAAAAACCCTCCCTATCTGCTGAAAAAAACAACATCCAAAGCATTTATTATTGGATTGTGTTATTTTCGTATGAAGTTTTTCTTTTCGTAGTGGTTATAACCACCTTGGAATTATTTCACTCGTGCATTTCGTGCTACTTTCGTGAAAGGATAAAATACTAAATATTTACTTGTGGTGTTTAGTTTGAATAATAAACTTGATAAAAGGATACTGCATAATACTTTTATGTTCACAGAATCTTATATGGAGACATGTGGCTTCTGCAAATTTTAAAGATTGATTCTTCTTTTTTTTTTTTGTACCTTGCAAGGTTAATTGGAATATTTCTAGGTGTGGAACAGGAACTATTCTGTATGGAACTGGCAACAGGATATAAAACATTTTAACAAGCTTGAACCAAACGTGTCACTATTTATATAAGTCATATGAAAAGATGTCACACTTTATTCCAGAAAATGACCTTATATATAAATATTGAATTAAGTATTCTTTGTTGCTAAGGTTACCCGATAATAACATGAATAACTGAAAAAAAATGGAAATTAGTTAAATTACAATTCCAGAGACTTTCGTAGATATCTTTGATCACGTAGATAATAAGCATATTGTGTTAGGAAAAAAGTAGTGTATACCGGATTAAATTATTTAGTCTTTGAAAAAGTAATTCAAATGAAGTAAAAAACAAGAGAAAAAGTTGGACTTATGGTTTATACCAAGCAGAATATTTGATTATTTCATACAAACTATAACCACCCGCATCAAAGGTTGCAGCTAAAAGAGGTTGAGATATGTTTAAAGCATTAAAACATTGAATATAGAACATAAATAAGCACTTAAAATTTCAGGTTAATGAAGGATGTATGCTCATAAGCCATCGTTTTAAGTGCTTTGAAGAGGTGAAGTAACAATTTCACTGGTAAATAATATATTTCTAGGAAGGTATAATTGTTGACATACAAGTGTTCACTAGTGAGGAAATTGCTCTTTTATATCTTAATGTTTAAAGAATGAAGTGTGTTCCAAAACAGATGCTCCAAAAACCAAACACTTTCTTCCAAACAAATCTTTTAATTGAAAACTTGGTATCTATCTATACAGAACTGCTTAGAATTGCTATATGCTCAGAACAAGAATGTTAACATTGTGAAATTTGCAATGTGATCATGAATGGATTGAAATGAATCAAGTCAAATAGAGTAAGAAAAGAACTAAAAAATGTGTAGTAGAATAATGCTTAATAATAATATTTAAAGCTGTTTGTACATGTGGAATAGACAGTGAAAATAAAACTATGGAAAAGAAATTGTTGAAAATCAAATTTTGCTTTAGTATAATTTGAGAAATAACGAAGTAAGAATGTACTCTGTGGATGAGTTTGATGAGACGGAGCCAGAACTTGAGATGTTGGAATGGGCAGGAATGGTGTGTATATTCATCTTAAATATGATATTATCTTTTTAGCTTGACTAAATAAAGAATAGGATCACTCCATTGTTGGCATCACACTTTTGTTAAGTTTTTGCACAGAGTTGGTATCTCAAAAACTACTGAAGGGAATGGGTTGAAACTGGCTTTCTGTGATTATCTTACATGATAAGCACAGGTGCCATAACTCTCAAGTTAACTTTTTACAGAGTTGTGCCCCTTTTTTTTTTACTGTAAATCACTAAGTAAAAGTGGAGTGCGCTGTACTCTTTCAGAATGATCTTTTTAATCTAAGAATTCATTGGATCTTTAAAAAAGAGATGTGACATGTGCTGGGGCTGATAAGTGATTAGTTACAACCATGATGAGAAACGATGGCAGCTGTGTGGTAAAGCTATGATCAGAAGTAATGGTTGTATTAAGACTAACTGTTGATTTTGTCTGAATGCTGGAAAGTGTTCATATGACTATTGCAGCATCTGTGTGTATTAAACTTGAGTAAAGTTAATAAAACTGTCACTGAAGGAAGTTGGTTGAAATTCATAACTTTTTTTTTGCTGTTTTAACATGATTGACTTCCATTAAAACAAATAAATGATTTTATAAACACTTGTTTTGGCCAAGACCAATCCTACAATTTTTGTAATAATTAACATTTTGCAAATTAAACTTATGTTTAAAACTTAGCCTTCATTTAGCCTTCCAATATTATTGAACAGTTGGATTAAAATAGTAAAACCCATGAATGATGGTTTCTTGTAGTAACAGTTACAGGCCATGCCTGTCAACTGAAGAGTGAAAAGGGACACTGACCAACCTTACATGATAAATGAGGCGAGGAGATCAATATATTTAAACTAAATAGTATCAAAATAGAGCTACCAGTTTTATAGTGGTCTCTTGTCAGATTGCACATGATTGTGTACAGGCTGCTAAATGTGTGATTATCTGTCTGTCTGTCTGCCAGCCTGCCATAGTTACTATACTTATGCTATGATCTTACTCATATCTGAACAATATGACAAAGGAAATTAAAAAGTATACTTATGCTAGGGCATGTATAACTAGACTATATGTGTATGTTATCTATGAGGAAGGGGTTACAGAGAGCACAATGTGGTAATATCATTAACACATTCCATGTGATGTAAGTAGATCACCCACAGTGTTAGCAACAGTAGCAACAAATTCATATCAAGCTAGGTCATTTCCTTCATTGTTTTCAGCATTTATGGCATATACGGTACATGCATTTAAGGAAATAACTTAATTAATATTATATAGTTAATAAGGTGCAGTGGGTGTTGATTCAATTCATATATATTGTAGTAATCAGTATGTTTTGTAATATTTGAAAGTTTGAATGTGAAAAATGGTGTTACCTCCATCTAAATTCTCTCAAATTAGTAAAGACTGTTATTAATTCTTTATCATATTATAAAATGCTACAAATAAAAGTAAACCAGCTTGATATTAGAGTCATTGGCCTAACTTCAGCACCGCTTTTGGCTGACCAACTTTTAATTTTCATCATTATATCAAATAAATTGATAATGGGAAAATCAAGAGGCTGAAGTATGTAAGGGTTAGGGTTTAAAAAATTTTTCTACAACATTCACTCAGGTTAATAAGAAATAGTTGGAGCTTTTTTTGTACTAAAGCAATGGTATGTGTATTTTCTGCATCAGTGCCATGCATATAGTTTCTGTGTGTAATTGTTTTTTCTGCAGCTTAGCTGTAACTATCTGTTTATCCATCATACAGCAGAATGATAGGTGAAAAAGATAAATGAGCTATTTCTAATATCTTGCATAGAACAGATTGAAAAGATGTATGTTAATGTATATCAGGCATTGAGGTAGCATTCTTATTGCAGAACTTCTTACCTGCTGTCTTCTGGCTAGTAGAGGTTCTTATCATGTCATTTTAGAACAAGAGTTTTATGTGACATGAATTAAGTATGTCATGTCACGGGTATTAAGAAATGTCATGTCACAATCTGAAGGAATATTAGGTAACATTGATTATGTTAAATTGATTGATATTTTTGAATTTCAAATAAGTCAGGAGACTTTCATATCATGTCACATTATTTAGGAATATTTCTAAAGAGTTAAATCATGTTGCATATTATAGTAAATGTCATGCCACATCAATGGGAAGTATTGTTAATTTGACCACTGTAAGGAGGGAGCATCATCTCACAAAATGACATGTTTTAGGAATGTCATGTCACCTAGGGTTTGTGAGAAGTGTTGTTGATAATTATAGCAAGTTAATGAGGGATTTATATGAGTATCATACAGTAAGGTGATTACACATACAAAATCCGACCATTGTTTGAGGTGACTAACACAGTAATTTTGACTTGTAAAAAAGCCTTGTTTGTTTATATATTACATTAATTGGCTGACCCATGCAATAATGTCAGTCATACCAGTGTATGAAATGTAAAGAATTTCACTGTTATATTCATACATGATATATGTTAGTTAAAAGGTCATCATTGTTTTTACTATAGTTTAATGTTTTTACCTTCTGGATGTATGGAAGATAAATTGATATAGTTAGGGCAGCTGGAGGCTTGTGGTCCAGAAGTCAGGTATAAAATTTGTTTACGAGTTTTGTCCAACAGTTTAGCCATTGGATATTACATTGACGGTTTGATTTTTCTATTTTTTTACATAATTTCTTTTCTTTAATGATTTTTTAGAATTTAATTTTATTCATGATTGGAAATGATTTATAATTATGTACAGTGTGTCTTAAGCAATATTTGACAGATTATAGATTTTATTTTATGATAAAAGTGGTACAGGGGATTTGATTTTATTAAAAGAGGACATTGTTGTTTAGGCTCAAACAGATATATAAAATAGATTTTGTGTCTGAATTTATTAATGGCAGTTGTTGATACTTTAAAAAAACTAATTATTTATTTTTTGTTGGTGAAGAATAATGACTGATTTTTGAATGCTTGGACTGAACTTCATTATCTCCAGGGATAATGTGTTTCACCTTATTGATTAAATCTGAATTATTATGAAATAATGAATATAATGAAAAAAATCATGTATGTAAAAGTGTTTTATGTACAAAATTTGCTGACCAATATATCATACAGGTAAAATTCTACCACATGTTATTTTCATGTTTGAAGAAAAGTATTTAGTCTAGTTTGTTTATTTTTTAACTTTGACCAATTAATTGATTATTTTTCACCTTTGGCAAGTTAGTCTTTGGGAAAACCAAGAAAATATGCACTTTTTATACCCCCGCACAACAAAGTTGTAAGGGGGGTATACTGGAATCAGATTGTCCGTCCGTCCGTCTGTCTGGCCGTCCGGCGTCCGGCGATTTTTTCTTGTCCGCCCAATAACTAAAGATTCCTTTGACCCACAGTCTTCATATTTGGCATGGAGGTTAGTCTTGATTAGTAGATGACCCCTATTGATTTTGAGGTCACCAGGTCAAAGGTCAAGGTCACAGGGGCCTTGACTTCAAAAAGCTTGTCCGCCCAATAACTTAAGATTCCTTTGACCCACAGTCTTCATATTTGGCATGGAGGTTAGTCATGATAAGTAGATGACCCCTATTGATTTTGAGGTCACCAGGTCAAAGGTCAAGGTCACAGGGGCCTTGACTTCAAAAAGCTTGTCCGCCCAATAACTTAAGATTCCTTTGACCCACAGTCTTCATATTTGGCATGGAGGTTAGTCATGATTAGTAGATGACCCCTATCGATTTTGAGGTCACAAGGTCAAAGGTGAAGGTCGCAGGGTCCTTGACTTCAAAAAGCTTGTCCGCCCAATAACTTATGATTCCTTTGACCCACAGTCTTCATATTTGGCATGGAGGTTAGTCATGATTAGTAGATGACCCCTATTGATTTTGAGGTCACCAGGACAAAGGTCAAGGTCGCAGGGGCCTTGACTTCAAAAAGCTTGTCCGCCCAATAACTTAAGATTCCTTTGACCAACAGTCTTCATATTTGAAATGGAGGTTAGTCATGATTAGTAGATGACCCCTATCGATTTTGAGGTCACAAGCTCAAAGGTCAAGGTCGCAGGGGCCTTGACTTTAAAAAGCTTGTCCGCCCAATAACTTAAGGTTCCTATGACCCACAGTCTTCATATTTGGCATGGAGGTTAGTCATGATTAGTAAATGATCCGTATTGATTTTGAGGTCACTGGGTCAAAGGTCAAAGTCACAGGACCCTTGTCAAAATAAAGCTTTTCCACTCAATTGCTTCAGAATGCCTGTCCAGAGTGTATTGATTTTGACATTTTCACATTTGAAGCATGTAGAATACATAACTTAGCAATGCACTGGCTTATTAACCTCTGATTTGGCAGGGAGGTTGTCCTTGAGTTCTAAATGGCCACTGTTGATTCTGACAAAGTGGTATGGGGGGGGGGGGTATTCACGCCATGATAGTGGCAGTTCTAGTTAGTTTCAGATATAAATTTCATCTATGACTTGTACACCAGGTTAATTGCACTTTTGATACAGTAAATCATTGTAGAAAGTGGAAGGGGGGGATTTATTTATACAGGTGGGGAAACGAAAATAGCCTATATGTTATTCAGTTGTTAATTTATTGGTACTGAAACATAAACAATTTGACAGAGGCTCTGTACTGCGTCAAGTGTGTGCCAAATTGTATTATAAATATGTGTTACCACTGTTCGAACTGTAGATTTTATAGGCACCTCCAAACTGTAGATTTTGAAGGCACGTCCAAACTGTAGATTTAAAGGCATGTCCAAACTGTAGATTTTAAAGGCACATTTGAACTGTAGATTTTCAAGGCAAGTTCAAACTGTAGATTTTAAAGGCACATTCAAACTGTAGATTTTAAAGGCACATGGACACATCATGATATAAAAAAAACTTATGATTATAATTTCTGCTCAAGTTTAATATGTCATTTGCTATATATGATGAAACTGGCCATAAGTGTGTGAGTAGCTACATGTAGATCAAGCTAGGTTACATAGGACTCAGGTGTTGTAGGCTTGCATAACCCGATAACAATGTGCCTTTAAACCCAACCCCAAAGAAAGCTGGAAACTCTTTTAATGATATGTGTTTAAAAAGCTTCTGCCATGTAACAAAAATTACCTTTATAACAATGTGTTTTTATAAGTCCCTGATTTTATGTAGTTGACCCCAATTATAATCTCTGAATGGTTCATACCTTGTAAGGGACATTTTTATAAGATTCACAGGTCTCAAATAAGTATAATCCTAAGTGCCTTGTGGTACCAGTGAGTAAGGGACCTTAAAACTTAAAAGTCCTTATTAATCCATAACAGTTCTTATTTATGACCCAACAAATCCAAAAATCTCATTTCAGGATATTTATTGGTAGCTATTGTATATAAAATATTACAAAACTAATGAATCAGTTTTTGATGTTTTGGGTGTTTATAAAACCACAAGCAAATGGATTTGTTTTACTTATTTTTAGACATTTTTGTTTTTTTATACCTCACAACAATTACTCTTTATTATGTAAATAAAACCAGTGCATTATTGGTGTTTAAACTAATGGGTGAAAAAAAAGGTAAAATACAATGATATTAGGATAATAAGCATCATATTTCAGATGAATGTTAAAAATGTTGAATAGCACTGCAGTTTCATTGTGAATGACTGTGGTTTGAAAATGGGATAGGTATAATAGTTGAACTGATGGGGGATGTCGGAAAAAAATGTGAAATAAATAATAATGAAACAGGTAGAGTTGTATAGGTAAAACAGGTACATACAGATGTAATGTGTAATCATTAGTTCATGTTTTCAAATTTGGCTGCCTTCATACAGGAGGGATAAAGATTCATTTACATTACATGTGTAGGTTTGGGTAGATTGGAATTTGTATGGAACTGTTTTCCCAGTGTTGAATGCTATGAATTGATTTTTAAAAATAAATTTTGGTGTACTGTTATTTATAGGGTGGATTTTGGGGATATATCTTGTGGATTTGAGTGATACATGAGTGTTTATGATGCATGTTGATAAATACAATTTCTGTGAAAATATTATTATGAAAATTGTGGAATTAGAAGTGTTTCGTTGAATAAATTTTCTATTAAGATTCTTTCTCTTGGAATAACCAAAATAATGGTAAGTTTGTTAGATTAGACAATGAAAAGTGTTCAAAAATTTAATAGAATTGAAATTATTACGAAATTTTCTTTAATATGGTACAATACCTGAATTTTTAATTTTAAGCTAACATTCTGTATATAATTAATTGACAATTTTATATTTGTTTATTACTGAGTTGTCCTGGTATCTAATAGCTTTTATTTTATAGCCCCTAAATAAGTCTGCCCTGTCTTAGATTTATTGATAGGTCTGTAAGGGTGCCCTGTCTCAGAGTTTATGATTCAACTTGCTGTAAGATTTTCCAGTCTTAGATTTGTTGATAGCCCTATACGACTGTCCTGTCTTAGATTTATTGATAGGTATGTAGGTTACAGTGCACTGTCTTAGATTTGATGATATTGATAGACCTGTAAGAGTGTTCTCTCTCAGATTTATCTAACTTCCTATAATTTTATACCTGTCCTGTCTTAGATTTGTAGAAAAGCCCATATAAGGGTTGTTCAAGATTTATTACTGTCCTGTCATTGTTCTATAACTTAGAATTGTAACTTGTCTGACCTTTCTTAGATTTTATTGACTGTGAGTAACCTAAAGGTGTTCCATTATCTTAGATTAATTGATAAGACTCCAATAACTTGCATATTTAAGATTTATTGTATGATATGCTAATGTATATAAAGTTGACTTCTCTAAGATTTATTATAGGCTTTGCTCTTTTAATAGTTTTGTATAACAATAAAAGGTTGCAAACATACAAGGTATATAAGCCATTAAGACACTCAATATTCCTTTTATGAAATGATTCACATTGAAAATAACAAATTGTTTGAAAAAAAGTGTATACAATTAATGTATTCAAATTAAAGCATCAAAGAGATTTCAGGTCAAAACATTCACAATGGTACAATGCTTTCCATTATCATTTTAACTTTTATACAAACCCTATTTAGAAATTGTATAACATTACAACAGAACTTAACAATTAAAGGTGTCATGTAGGTGTAATAATTTGCCATGTTTATAGCTTGATATTACATATTTGAGCCGCGTCACGACAAAACCAACATAATGGGTTTGCAACCAGCATGGATCCAGACCAGCCTGCGCATCCGCGCAGTCTGATCAGGATCCATGCTGTTCGCTTACCAACTCTATTACAAGTAGAGAAACTGATAGCGAACCGCATGGATCCTGATCAGACTTTACCAACTCTATTACAAGTAGAGAAACTGATAGCGAACAGCATGGATCCTGATCAGACTGCGCGGATGCGCAGGCTGGTCTGGATCCATGCTGGTCGCAAACCCATTATGTTGGTTTTGGCGTGACACGGCTCATTTTAATTCTGCAGTTTTATCTCCTCATTTACATAGGTTATTTATCCACACTGATTGATAACTTTGAACCTTGAGTTTAAGTGTTAAAGGTAAAATATTGAATTGGAAATTATATTTTATTTTAAGTAGATGATTTACAGATATTATATAAATTTATTTGTGTCAGGTACATGTTTAATAACTCAAACAATCTGAATGGTGTGGCAATATTGATCATTTATAAAAATTAAGAGTTTTAAATGGGATCATGCCAATTATTCTCTGTTTATACTTAATTGATTGATTGATAAATTAATTGATTTGTTGTCTTAATGCATAAGTCAGTGTCAAAATACTTCTAAATAAACCAATAATTAGGGTTAATAGGTAAGATTTTCTTTTTTTGTAAATAAATTTAACTGTTTTATGTTATTGGTAATATTAATGGACATCTAGTACATTTAATTTACATATGTAAGTAAGTTTATGGTAATATGAAACACTCTATCCTGTATATAAATGAATATAAAATGTATATAAATGATTTTTTAGCTCGACTTTTCTATGAAAAGGGGAGCTATCCTACTCGCCCCGGCGTCGGCGTCGGCGTTAGCGTTGGCGTCACACCTTGGTTAAGTTTTTCGTACCACCCCACTTTATTTCAGAAGTATTACAAGTATGGCTTTGAAACTTACCATACTTGTTCACCATCATAACCTCCATCTACAGACAAGAGTACATAACTCTGTCAAGGTTTTTGACAGAATTATGGCCCTTTTTTGACTTAGAAAGTGTATTGAGCTAGGTTAAGTTTTTTGTACCACCTCACTTTATTTCAAAACCATTGGAGGTATTGCTTTGAAACTGACCATACTTGTTTACCATCACGACCTTCATCAACAGACAAGAGGACATAACTCTGTCAAGGTTTTTGACAGAATTATGCCCCTTTTTGACTTAGAAAATACATTGAATATGGGTAAAATCCACTTATTGCCTTAACCCTTTGAGATATTGCTTTGAAACTTTTAATGCTATTTCACATCATTACCCCCATCTGTACGCAAGAGAAGGTAACTCTGTCAAGGATTTGTTTTAAAAATTAAGGCCTTTTATCGACTTAGAATCTTGGTTAAGTTTTTTAGTACCAGTCCACTTTTTGACTGAACTGTTTGAGATATTAATTTGAAAGTTGGAATACTTGTTTACCATCATGGTCCCAAAACATGGGCAGGAGAAGGTAATTCTGTTAAGGATTTTATTTGAATTATGGCCCTTTTTGACTTAGAAACTCAGTTAAGATTTTCATTCTTGTCCACTTGTTGACTTAACCATTTGAGATATTACTTTGGAAGTTGGAGTTCTTATGTGCCATCATGAGACCTATCTGTAAGCAAGAGAAGATAACTCTGTGAAAATGTTTCTTGATTTGTACTTAGAAATTCCTAGTTAAAGTCTTGTGTGCCCTTAACTGTCAAAGTTTTGTTTTATAGGCAAGCACTAAAAAAGTCGAGCGCGCTGTCCTTCTGACAGCTCTTGTTCTTTATCATATTCTTTATATTTGTCACAGTACATTTTGTTCAGTTGTATTTTGCCTCATGTCTAGGAATCAGTAGTTTAGTCATGGTGGCGACCAATTCTACCCAAGTAAACTGGTGCAAACCAAAATCAGCCAGTACATCTGTGCTGCACTGCTTCCAATTCAGTACATATTTTGGAATTTTTTCTAAAAACATTTAATGGTTTGTCTAGATTGGATTAGATGGACAAGTCCATTCATTAAGATACATTTGTATTTTAAAACACTGCTTCCAATTCAGTACATATTTTGGAATTTTTTCTAAAAACATTTAATGGTTTGTCTAGATTGGATTAGATGGACAAGTCCATTCATTAAGATACATTTGTATTTTAAAACATTGGAAGGCTTAATGTCTTATGAAGATCAAATACTGATAATACTGTAATGCTGGCTACTAAGATTCTGGCTTGCTAAAATTAGATACACATTAAATTCATCAGCTAAATTGAGCACCTTTGGCTATAGATAATGTTATGGCTATTCAGAATTTAAGAATTTCTTCAGATGTTGAGTAAATGAAGTAGATAACTGTGCCAAATCTGAAACAATTGTGATGGATTTATTGCCCTAATTTTCACTAATTGATTTCAGTTTTTGTTTTTGTTCTGTAAAATTTTTGTTTGAAACTGTGTTATTAACAAGTTGTTTTTGTTTTCATTTCAGGAAAGAGAATATGCTAGTGATGATGAAGAAACTGAAGGTTTGTTCTTAATACTTATGTTAATTTTTGTATGGCCATTGTGTTAGACAGCCATTGATTCCATTCATATATTATATCTAAAAGGTTATTTAGGCAGTTACTTAAGTTAACTGATTTCTCTTGCAGTTCTCAGAACCCTCATTAAATGGGAACAAAGGCACTTAGAATTCAAACACTTTATTTTGTGAGATGTGGATATTGTGTGACTTGTTTTCTTTTCTTTTTGTCTGATGTAGTAAAAATAAATTTGAATTAAATTGTTAAGACTTACTTTGTTCAGGGGCTTATATAGGGTACCTGTAATTAAAGCCTTTTTATTAGACAACTTTTATCTGTTTGCCTTTTGTAATTTAGTGACATAATTTTTAGTTTTACAAGAAGAATATGGGAAGTATCATTGTTCTGATATGTCAATAAATCATAAGTTTATGAATTTATAAATCTATAAATCATATATTTTAAATCATAAGATAAGAATAATAAACAGCTGTTTACTTGAGTTCAGTGCATTGTTAGGGCATAATTTGTAAATTAATCAAAGGATTATTACTGAAACATGCCCTCTTTATGGCAGTAATTTGTCATATTTCATATCTTTAAATGATTTATGAAAATAACTGGATTTACATCGGAGGTCAAAGCTCATTTTATATAGATACATATTAATATATAAAGACCTTGATATATTGATTTGTTGAAAAAAACTTCTTGGAAAAGTTTAGTAATGTGGTGTGGATTTAAGGCTGCAGGGCCTAAGTAAATGAAGTTTATTTACACATAAGAAAACTGGTTAATAATGCATTGATGCAAAAGGGATTTATAAGACATGGTTAAGTTGCATGACAACCTGGGGAAGATATAAAGCGTAACAAAAATAAGGATTGTACGACCATGTGGAAGAAATCTGGATCGTGATGAATCAAATGTCCTTGAAAATAAGTCTCCTCATCTAGACTGGTTGATTGAATTGTTTTGTGTCTAAACTGAAAAGAATGCTGTCTTTTCATGCACTATTACATAGCAGGCTTGACGTGGAAAAACATTTTCCTGTTTCGAATAACATAGTTTTCTTGCCTGGCGTTTCATGTTGGCCTGTCACTGTACATGTATGGGTATTGTCGTGTATGCAGATAGTTCGGTGTCTAATATATATCTATCAAAGGCTATAAAATAGGTAGGACAGGTGATAAAAAAACGATAAGATAGCGTAATTTGTCACTGTGTGAAACATCGACAATCGTTACATTACATCAGTACAATTGTTGGTTATCAAAATACATTAACTGATAATAAATCATGTTAACACTTTAATGTTGAATATAAAACGGAGTTTACAAAATAACACTATGTAAGTGACAATATGTTTATTTTATTAATTTCCGTTTTTAAGGAAATGATTTTTATGACCCGAGAGGACATTATGGGGAATAAAGTTGAATCATAAATTTCAGCATTATTTGTTAGGTTTATAGAATATAATAAGAGCTATACATTAGCTTGATTTTATGAGGATATACATAGATTTAAAGTGGGGGTGAAATATTTGAGGTGACATTATGCTAATTTTTTTCACTGTTGAGTTGAATTAAAGGTTGAGTGTTAATATAATGATGATTGTCCAAAAATTGATCCTTACAAATGTTTCGGATAAGATATTATAAAAACTGACTAAAATATAAAAAGACTTCCCCATTTCTTATCAATTGAGGAATACGATTTAAAAATTTCGAAGGTTATTTATAGGTATTTATATGAGCTATTGATAAATCAGGTGATGCAAATTATAAGATTAAAAACAAATATTACAGATCTTAAAATAATACATAATTTATTTGTATTTTCAGAACTCTACTTTCAACGAGTCCAGCAAGGCAACTTACAACCCCTTGATACTATTTTCGTAAAAAATGTCAAGGAAGGTGGCCCTGCCCAAAAGGCAGGCTTGAATGCCGGTGACAGGATTATATCAGTAAACGGGGAACCAGTAACTGGCAAATCTTACGGACAAGTGATTAACCTGATTCAACAAACCACCAAAGATCTTAGTATTCTAGTTGTACCAAAAGAAGAAGATATTTTACAATTGGTAAGTCCACAAATGCCTGGTAGAGTACAGATGATTGAGAATTTACTTACATGTCTGAAATAATGCATGGGGGACCACTTGAGGTATTCATTTGTCAAGAAATCTATCTGGAAAGTTGCCACATGACCATGACATTGTCTGTGAAATGACGGTGGTCCTACTCAAGTGCCTGCTCGTGCACAGAGGGGCACCTGTTGTGTTCCTGTGTTAATAAAACTGTAAAACTGCCATATGACCTTCACAGTGTCAAGTCACTTGAAACTCAACAAAATATTTTTTGTAGAAAGTGGAGAAGAAATTTGATATGCACACTTACATAATAATGATGATAGTGAAAACTGTAATATGGGTCAATTTTCAGTTGAAACATTTTACTATCTTTTAACATGATACAGTACTTAAAGGTTTAAACTGATTGATGTTTATGACATACTAGATATATGAGAATGGTTCAATGTTCTCCATGTATGTTTGGAATTTTGAGATAACTTCATTATACACAACACACAAGACCTACCAGGTTTTTATTGATGTTTTTTGGGGTTTTTTTTTTCTCTGAAATATTTTATTTGACACATCAGAAAATGTGAATATTTGAAGGATAGAATGGCTATAAGGATAGTGTTATTAATTACTTATTATTATTCTTTTATGTATTGGAGTTTTAAAGAAGCAATTTTGATGCTGTTGTGATATTGATAATCTGAATTCTTTGATGAATTTAAACATTAACACTTAATCTTGTTAGTCGTTGAAATTGTGCAATGTTGTCGTCTTTTTGAAAGCAGAACCGTCCATTACAGATTTTAGGAAGTTATGTGTAAGAATACTTCAATAAAGCAGTTAACTGTATAGAGTCTGTTCAGGCTGGATGGACACGCTCTATATTGGTTTGGACACACAGGCTGGCCAGGCTCTATACTGGTTGTATAAACAAGTCATTATATTCTCAGTAGGGTGAACATTCATACTATATGTACAGGGCTTGTAAGTATATGAGCTCAATTTTGTTATATGGCTATCATTTGTGTATTTGTAATTTTGCTTGCCATATTTATAAGCTAAATATTTTTCATGGTCACATATTTAAGCCTTATACTGATCTTTGTAGGTGGTAATTAATTATTATTAAATTATTTTTATATATTTCAGGCATATCAGACCTCCTCCCAGTCTTATGACACTGACTTTGGCGATGGAAACTCGTTAAAGGACTCCAGAAATTTGTATAGCCGTCAGTCGTCGATGGACAGTGATTCTTACATATCATCCAGTAGTAGAAATCGTGATAGAAAAGTTCTCTCTACAAGCAACCTTGACTCTAATTATTTTGACGGAACTGAATCATTCCCACATTATGATCATGAACCTTTACAGCGTCGACAGTTAAAATCTTCAACTTCTTACACGTCTGGTTTAAGTGTGTATCGTGACTTACAACAGCCAGAAGATAACATGAATAAAAATGTGTTTTTAGATCGACGGAGGGAGTTCGAGACTCGTGCGGCTCAGGAAAATGTGAATCCTAATACAAAGAAAACATATTCATTTGGTCTGTACTTTCCGAAAAAAGAAAGTCATGTAAATAGTGCTGAGAATTTATCAAGATCGGTTGTGATCCGGAGATCTAAAGAAAGTATTCTTCAACCAACAGATTCACAGGAAAATATTTCAAAGTTACAGTCTTCCAGAACTCGAAATGTGCCTATTGAATATAGGCACAGTGGCAGCCCTGATCAGAAACCGGAATTATTCCGCTCACAGGAAGTGTTAACGCGGGATCATGAGGGACGATCATCGAGTCAGTATGGTTCAGGTAGCAGTATTAGGCATAGCTTTCCTGACTCTGGCGTTCAGATGTGGTCACCTACTAGAAAAACAAGTGAAACAAACAGTCCATATGGGTTTGATCATGGTACACCAACACCTGATAGCTCCACGAGCAAAAGAGATAGTTATACTAGTAGTTCATCCAGACAATATGTTCCTGTAATAAATGAGTCACCAATTTCTAAAAGTCAAAAAATATCAGGAAGTGTAGACAGTATAGATCCTAGATCAAATGTTTATCATACAGAACATCATCTGAGAACATCATATAGTAATAACTCACACCCTTCTGAGCAACAAAATCAAATGCAACCTTCTAGTAGGACTTTTATAGTTAAAATAGGTGATAACCATGAAAGGAGTAGCACTCCAAATATAAATCAAAACCAGGCTGGGAACCATTCATATGGAGCGGCTTTTGCTCTGACACGGTCCCCGGCTCCCACTGAGATTGAAATCAGACAGAAACGGGAACCAAGGATTTTAGTGTCTCACAGAAAGAAACAGTTCGAAGAACGAAAAGATGTCACCCCACCACCAACCACCCCTACTGGTTTAAATAGCAGCAGATTTAAAACTGAGATTGAAAAAATAACAACTTTTAGAAAATTTGATGGCATACAAGCAAGGTTGGCAACATATGAGAAAAATACCAGTAATGTGGATAATAGTGTGAGATCTAGATCTCAAACGCCAGTTTCTGCTCAACCAATCAGCAAAGCTAGGCCAATGTCACAGGAACGTGTGAGGTCACCAGAACCTCATTCAAACTCTAATACTCAGTATTCTCAGGGAGGCAGCCAATCAAATTTCCCAGATTCTGTACCAATCAGAATCTATGTATCTCAAGGAAATTCGAACACCTCAGGGTCCCCGATTGTTGAAATTGTACATGAAATTGGGGAGTCTCGGAATCAAAGTCAGTATGTTGGGCAAACAGATTCTCCTCGAGAGCAGCCAGAGTCCGAGTCTGGTCAAAAGCCGGTGAGGAAAGCCTCGTTCTTGTCAGCTGTCAATGCCCCTTACAGCAGATGTAAGTTTTAATTTTGTAACAGTCAAAAATTTCAACATAATTAATTTTAAATGATTGTTTTGGAGTTCTATTTTTATTTGGCATAGTTACCTCCTTTTGTTTTCTTGAAATGGGAGGTAATATTAGGCAATTAAAGTTGACTTGAACCATTGGTTTTATGATGTCTGATAAATTGAGAAGTCATTTTATTTTGTTTTACAAATATTTTAACTTTAATTTAATAAGCATCCTATAATATTAAACTGCTGCACTAACTGAACTTTCAATGTTTTTAGATAGTTTTTGTCTACATATAAGAATGCAGTCCTGTTCTTAACTTATAATGACTGTACTTACTATTGAATAAATTAGAACACAAAAAGGTCACTGTGTAAATGAGCCGTTAACAAGAAAGCTTGTCATAATTGATGTTTTACAATGTACAAGACAGAACAATCTTCAACACTGTACTTACCTGAGAGTTATAACTAAATTACAGGAACTACTCTGTACCTAACTTATCAAGGCATGTGTATAGAAGATAAGACTGTTGGCTACAGGTTGTGATGTGGGAGATAAAACCATGCTTCAAATGTAGACAAAATCTAAAAAAAAATGTTTATCAAGTGTTATTTACATGTAGTTATATAATGATTTTTTTTCATCCATTGACCTGTTGAATTTTTATATAGGTTAAGGATTGGCCCAACATTAGTACAGTCCTTACAATGTTTAAGTGATATTAATATTAAAATACAAAAATTAAGATACTATTAGTATGGAGCCTGGCCAGACTTCACAGAAGTGGACATTTGCCTTGCTAAATTATTGTGGTCGCAAAGGCTTGTCACTTTCAGTTTCGACAGGTTATTATATATGGAGAGGTTGCCGCCTTTAATTACAAGTATGAAAAACATTGTCTTTTAAATTGATGAAAACGGAGTAGACAATTTGCACTTACATTTTTACATTTGAAACTGACTTTTGCATGATTGTTTTGACTAGAAATTGAGAAAAAGAGTTTTTATTTATAAGTGGGAAAATGACTCAGTGTTGATGATAAAATTAGCCAAAAGTATATGAGCCGCACCATGACAAAACCAACATAATGGGTTTGCCACCAGCATGGATCCAGACCAGCCTGCACATCCGCGCAGTCTGATCAAGATCCATGCTGTTCGCTATCAGTTTCTCTACTTGTAATAGGGTTTGTAAGTGAACAGCATGGATCCTGATCAGACTGAGCGGATGCACAGACTGGTCTGGATCCATGCTGGTCGCAAACGCACTATGTTGGTTTTGTCATGATGCGGCTCATATATAGTTATTTGTTTTCTTAGTACATATTTTATTAGGTTATATCATTTCATCTATACACTTTGTTGTTGTAAATCTGTTTTGAAATATTGTTATTGTGGGTGTTGTAGATTCTGGCCCTTGGGCTCATCACTAACAAAAGAAAAATGTCATTAATATATGATGTATGTCCTGATATAGGCTATATATCAAATACAAAACATCACAGGTTCAAACAATTATCTAAACCCCTGGTTCTAATTTTTCACAAACCCATTTTCATTCTCCTTTGTTCTTTTGAAAACTTGAGGCAATAAAGCTTAAACCGAAAAAAAACCCCAACAAGATAGCGTCTTAAAAAGTCAAATATCAAAAGAAAAAATTAAAAGGTGAAGAAATTAAAACACGATCAATAGATTGAGTATTCTGATATATGTTAGAAATAGAAGGTTTGGTGATTTTGTTAGAATAGTAGGCTTTTTATTTTACTAGTTAGTGTTGTTGTCCAGTGTTCTTGATGTGAACTTGATGTTGTTTTTAGACTTGCCACAATCAGGGTATGAAAATGAGACGCCAGACGCTGATGTCACACCAAAGTCGTCACGCACTTTCACGCCCAAACATATTGTGACTCGAGATATTCGGGATGGAAAGACAACTCCTACTAACGTCCAGTGGTCTGGTAGGAGTCCAAGCCCAGCACGCGGTATATGTTGTTTCTATTTGCATGATTGTTGTTACATGTTGTAAATGGTGGACAAGTGGTCCTTCCCATTTGTTCATTATGCTTACAAAAAATTGTTTATCTATTTATTTATTTATTTATTTTGAAAGATTTAGATTTATTTTTTATTCTTTTGGACAATGACTTTGTCATATCTGTTCTTTTCCCTTTTCTGATATATTTATAAGGTTACTGAAAGTTCATATAGGAGTAATTTTTAAATTTATGTCTTTTTAATGTAAAAGCAAAACCTTAAAACAATTATTTATATGTCATTTATACACAACTGTCCGCCAGCTAAGTTCTATAGGGAAAAGATCGGATTACTAATCTAGAGGTTGCTGGTTAGATCCTAGGGCATGGCATAATTGTGTCTAATGTTCATTTGAGCCGCATCACGACAAAACCAACATATTGGGTTTGCGACCAGCTTGGATCCAGACCAGCCTGCGCATCCGCGCAGTCAGATCAAGATCCATGCTGTTCGCTATCAGTTTCTCTACTTGTAATAGGGTTTGTAAGCGAACAGCATGGATCCTGATCAGACTGCGAGGCTGGTCTGGATCCATGCTGGTAGCAAAAGCATTATGTTGGTTTTGTCATGATGCAGCTCATTTGTCTCTAATCACTGATTCAGAAATCATATGAGATTAGTAGCTGGTCACTTGTAGAAAAATTGGTATATATGGTGAGTTATCCAGGAAAGCCAGTTTGAATTGACTGCCTAGTGCTGAGATATGATTAAAATATGTGTAAAATATATCAAAACAATCAAACGAACAGAAGTCAAAGTTACTTGTGTTAAAATAGAAGAGATTGAAATGACCTGTATTTAGCTAGTAGCTTTTACTTTTTTTTATGTTTTTGAGTTTGCCTGTTTCTTTCTTTGATTCATATGCATGCCATAAATTACATTGAATAAGCGTACTAAACTGCAGAAATGGAGATAAAAGCAACAACATGGGTTGTTCTGACATTGCATGTTATTGTGACAAAAACATTATCAGGTTTAATAAGGTTAAGCAATAATTAAATTTCTAATAGTAAATACAATATTGAAGTTATATATTTTTACAGCAATGTCACCGAGCAATACAAGTGCCTTAAATAGTGGTGTTAGTATTTCTGCCTCCTCTATAACTGTGTCTCCCATAACAACATCAACTGTCAGGCTTCGCAGCAAACCAAACAGTAAGTTCTTCCTTCTAAAACAGTATAATTATCTTAACAAAATTACCTCCCTTCATACATGGTTTTTCAAATTACCTCCCTTGGTTTTCAGATTACTTTCATTTTTACAAGTATAATAAAATAACTTCCCAGTATGCATGTGAATGGTAAAATAAAAACCACCTCTTATATTATATAATTTACATTGTAAAATTACCTCCCTTTATATGTCAGTACAAAATTACCCCTCTCATATTGTACAACTTTACACTCATTTGTGATGGTCTGAATAAAGTTTCTGTTAGCAAGAGATACAGAAAATAAGTATCTTCACTGAAATCGCTTAAACATTCAAATAACTAGTAAATTACCTCCCTTGATAATGCTTTTAGAAGTAGCATATTAGGAGAGTGCTGGACAATGTTATCAATACTAAAACGAGTTGTTTGTTACTTAGTGACACAATAGGAAATAATCCAGTAAGCTTAGATTAGACTAGTTTTTTTCTCTATGCTGATCTTTCTAAACCATATCATTAAAATCATTTTAAACTTTTAGTTTTATATTTAGTTATTTTCCCCACATTTCCTTAAGATATTACCTCCCTCTCTTAAATTAAACATCATTTTAATATTTTGATAAAAAATTAACCACAATCAGTCCTGCCGTAAGGATACCATTGTAATTTGTTTTTAGCTCGACTATTCGAAGAATATGAGAGCTATTGTAGTCGCCCCGGCGTCGGCGTCGGCGTCAGCGTCCGCGTCCGCGTCTGCGTTGGTTAAAGTTTTTTGTAAAGTCAAATATCTCAATTATTACTTGAGATATTCAATTGAAACTTACAATACTTATTTATAGTAACAAGGTACATCAGATTGACAAGTTGGATAACTCTACCTACAATATTGACAGAATTATGCCCCTTTTTAACTTAGAAATTTTGGTTAAAGTTTTTTGTAAAGTCAAATATCTCAATTAATGCTTGAGATATTCAATTGAAACTTACAATACTTATTTATAGTAACAAGGTACATCAGATTGACAAGTTGGATAACTCTGCCTACAATATTGACAGAATTATGCCCCTTTTTAACTTAGAAATTTTGGTTATAGTTTTTTGTAAAGTCAAATATCTCAATTATTGCTTGAGATATTCAATTGAAACTTACAATACTTATTTATAGTAACAAGGTTCATCAGATTGACAAGTTGGATAACTCTGCCTACAATATTGACAGAATTATGCCCCTTTGGAACTTAGAAATTTTGGTTAAAGTTTTTTTGTAAAGTCAAATATCTCAATTATTGCTCGAGATATTCAATTGAAATTTAAAATACTTTTTTATAGTAACAATGTACATCAGTTTGCAAAATTGCATATCTCTGTCTGCAATATTTGCAGAATTATTTGCCCCTTTGAAACTTAGAAATTTTGGTTAAAGGTTAAAGGTCTTTAAAGATATTTACTTGAAACTTGACACATGCACTTATTGGAGGGTCATAATTGTATGTCACTGACCAAGTTCCACTCTATCTTGCGTTAAGGCTGATTCATATCCCCTTTTCTACTTAGTCTCTTGGTTAATGTTTTACATATCTCAAAATTATTAAAGATATTTATTTAAAACTTCACATAATTATGCATTTAGGGTCATAATTATAGGTCACTGACTAAGATCCATAATTCTATCTTGCATTTAGGCTGATTTTTCTCCCCTTTTTCAACTTAGAAATTCATGGTAAAGTTTTGCTTGTAAGCTGTTATCTCAATAACTACTGAAGGGTTTGTGCCTTTTTTGGGACAGTTTTATGCATTCATAATAATAAAGCAGTTATTTACTTGATAAAACATCTTGATAACAAGCCTTTTATGTATTCATAGGTTATTAGTATTATTATACTAGTACTCAATAAAACACCCTTGTGACAATACCTTCCGAATAGTCAAGCCAATACTGTATAATAAGACTCTCTCTAAGGCCTAAAACATGAATTTATAAAAAAAAATTAGCCCTTTTGTAAACTTAAAAAATTTAACATTATCAAGGCTCTTTTACTATCAAGCACTTAGAATAGTCGAGCATGCTGTCCTACCGACAGCTCTTGTTAATATTTCTAATCGTTCTAGCCCATTTTCATGGCAACTAACATGTCAATTTTTCTGTTGATGTATTGACAATAGATATTTATGCTGGAATGATAATTTAAGTTTCAGCAGAGGATTTTGAGACAAAATTACATCGTAGAACATCGTATCTGATGGCAACAGCTCCGGACAGATCAGCATCAAGCCTTAAAATGTCTCCAACAGTCTCTGTACCTCTAGATCCAAAGTAAGATTTACAATAATTTTTATGTTCTTTTGAAAACCTTATAGTGTCATTTATTACAGTAATTACTGGAGACTAGTGAAGGTGGAGAGCATGGGACTATGTAAGTTCTGTGAACATTAGACTATGTATGTTCTTTGGTTTGAATCCCATCTAATGGAGAGATCCTCTTTTATGATGGTGTGATTACTGGTAAAGACATAGAGGAAAGCAGTCTTCTCATGACTTTCAAGCACTATATCAAGGTCCCCACAAGAAAGAGTATTTGATATTAATGGAGAAATTAATAAAAAAAGTTCAAGTTTGAAATAATGCCTTGAGAAGCAACTAGGTTCTTTATTCTGTAAGTGGAAATTAGAAAGTCAACCTTGAACCTAAATAGTAAAAGCATTCCATATAAAAAAAAACAAGCTTGACATCACCAATTTATGTAAAGTTTAAGTAAATGCTGTTAAAGTCATATTTCTTGACTCAGATGTCAATATTGGGAACATGCATAAAAAACTGCATGGTAGCTTTCTATAATGATGATGAAAAATAATATAAACACCACTATTGTCCAATGAAAATCATTGTTACAAACATGACTTACTATAATAAAACAATAACTGTAATATCCACTTTGTCCTCCTTGTATGTTGTTGACATTATCTTCCTTTAATTATTATATTCTATTTAACCTTTCAGTACCCCTGCCACACTTAGTAAACACAAAAGTATGAGGAAGCTGAAAGATTTCTTTGGAGAAAAGGTCAGTTTTATATAAATCAGTACAATGATTTTACTGTTATTTAAAGCTATATGATATTGAATTTATTTTATGTTGCAATCATGAAGAAAGTTTGATATTGATGGTTTCTATCCACTTGGATGTCTGTAAATTGTTACTTGATTTGAACAAAAATCAACAGTGTAATGCATGTATTTGTATTTAATGTGGAGTGATTTGCTCATTATCAGTGTGCCTAATGATCAGAGCAATGGACTAGCCAATTAGTATTATTGATTTTTTTTCTGAGGAATTCTTTTGTATATACAACCATTCTTCAATGCTTATTAAATGATTAAACATATTCATTTAAACTTGATTGTGAAACATATATATGTAACTTATATAAATCATAAGCTAGACCGCTTCCTGGAGCTGACATGTAATTTGGTGTCGTATCAGAAATCATGGTGGTGACACAAGTAAGGTTCAAACTCACAATCCATGGGTTGAGAAGCCCTACATTGTTGAATAATTAATAAATTATAGTAAGGAGTAAGGCACATATTTCAGAATAACTGCACTGACATGTAGACATTTTCAGTTTTTTTGATATTTTGGGGGAACTATATACATGAATAAACATTGTTTTGTTTATATATTAAGACACCAAAGATTGTTGAAGCAACAGAGAGACGTATACCTGATCCTGCCAGCCCTATACAGCAAGTTACAAAAGAGGGAAGTTTGGGTGTAAAAGTTGATATGTTGGATGGCAAGGTAAGATATTTCAACAATATCTCACAGATCAAAGTGAATTAATGTTGTTTCAGCTATCACAAGTCAGTGGTTTAACCCAGGCCCCGTGTTCACAAAGAAAAGATCAGGATCAGGATAAGATGATCCTGATTTTATTTTCATTGTTTTATCAAACTAAAACTGATCCTATTATGCTAGAATTAAATGGTACATATTTAAAATATAAATAATTGCTTATTTGCAAAGAAACCAACCTATTATGGGATAAAATCTACAAATAACAAAACAAATACAAAAATAATCGGATCAAAATGAGGATCAATAATAGGATCAAGATCAAAATTTGGATCAACTGTAAAATGCCCATATCTTGTAAAAATAACAATAAATTTACTCTAAAATTTTTATAAACATGCTATTTCAAGTCCAGTTTTTACCAAGTTGATACTGAATATTTAATATATGAGGATCATAATGCAGAATATTTGAGTTTTTAAATTTGATCCTGATCTTGATCCTGATCCTTAAATCTTTGTGAACACGAGGCCAGGTGCCAGCACTGTGTATCTCTCACACATAGACTATTAATAAAAGTTAATAAATAAGTATATGGAAACATGCATATAAGGCCTACATATTGGCAATGATTTTATTGTTTTTACCTGGCTCACTCATACTCAAGTAGTTTACATCAAGGCAATCTTTCTTTTTGTGTTGTGCTTTGTTGTGCCACAGTGGAAAGTCTGCTCCTGGTTTCTTCTTCTAATATAAGTTTGATACATATCCCCTTTCCTAACAAAAGATAATGTCTTCTAATATTTTATTAAATCATAAAGGTTATTATTTATTTATTATCCTCCATAATACATGAAGATTTGAACGACAATTACACAACCAGTTTTTAAATAACTACAGACAAAACAAGTATACAAATGTGATATATACATTACAAGACAGAATATAGATAAACAAATGCAAGTACATCTAATCTATAAAATGTATACATTGGACAGCACAATTATATGATTTGCCCCTAACTGAAAAGTATAGCACTGAATAAGAATTAAGCCGGGGAAAAAATGCTTGTATATGATTTAGACTTCCCTCTAACCCTAGTACTAAAACGAAACACTAGGAAATAGAGAGCAGGGAAACAAATCTACAAGTTTTAATTCAATGACATTTTTATGAAAACCTAGCCCAGTTCACTAGATAATCGAAATGTCATTTTCATAAACAATATAAACGGTAACTGTTATGAAATTCATATTTATTGATTAAAATTCTTTGCATTTACCCTTATCAATGCTAATATCTTAGCATGACTTGTCCCTCTGTCAGTCTGGGCACAGATGTGCAAGCTAATCTAGGGCATGGGTATAATCTGTTGCTGAAAGCAATCTATGAGTAAATATAAAAAATATCCATGCAATGTTTATGCTTAAAATATTAAAGATTTAACACACACCTTTATTCATTTTTGTCAATAATAAAATTAATTTTCAACACAGATTTTTATAAAATTTTGAGGGTACTGCTAGAAGGAATTGCTATGTCTTAGAATATTTTGAGAAGTATTTAGATGGTGTTCCCATGATGTCATTAAACTCTAAAATTTGTATTACAGAGAGCCAGTGACAGGTCTTGGCGCCCGGTCTGGGCTGTATTACGAGGACATGCCTTATATCTGTGTAAGGAGAGACGGGATCCAGCAAATGTAAGCGTTCATTTAAAATCTCATTTCAAAATAATAATTGTGGGTGCAAAATTTGATTGAAGAACATTTTAGGTTTTTTTTATATTTTAAAGTGCAACATCCTTTGTTGATCAGAATTAAAAAAGCAAAAATACAATTTCACATAACTTAAGAATTTTAATGAGAAAGTATATTTTTTAAAAATTTTACTATGATTTATTTATACTACTGTCATTCAGAAATAATTTTAAACACTTTCATATGGTTTTAGACTTTGATTTTAGTACCAAAAATTTTTTTGTTTTTTTTCCCAGAGTCTTTTTCAAACTTAAAATTATTTTGACAGTCTTGCATCAAATTTTGCAGATTTTTCTATAAATATATAATATATATATTGTGTGGTGGTACTTACCTAGTCTTACTATTCACAGTATTAATGTTGTACTTGACACTTCTTATATAGTTAACAAGTTCAAATTGTCATAATATTATGGGTGTTGTTGTTTTATTTTATTTCCTCTTCTTTTTGTCATTTCAATAATAAAGTCAGTAACTGATCTTTAATTTCCAGGAAAAGGAATAGTAAAAAGTTTCTGTCTATTGTCTATGAAAATTAAAAAAAAAAACAAATACCTTCATTTTCTCTACTCGATGAAATACAAAATAAGGATAGATGTAACATATAAGTTATTAAAAAAACCCAAAACAAACAAAAATAGTAACTTTTATTTCAATATTAATCTTTTTACAGTTTGTTGCGCATGCACTCTCTGTCAAAGTGCGTGCTGGCTCTCAGGTGTGTATAGTAAACAAGAGTGATGTCCCTTTTTTGCAGAGTTGTGACCCTTGATTTCGGAGCTTTTTTTTTTTTTTTACATTTTTTCTGCTTTTCTACTTCTCTTTTTGCTTGCATTTTTGCAGATGATGCTGTTATAATTTTTAAGATGAAATATACAAAGATTAAAGCAGAACTTATCCTGACCCTCTTGAATTTATATAATGGACTTGACCGACTTTGAATTTGGAACAGTCCATTTGTTGATAAAGGGATTTCAGTATCAAAGTAATTAAATTATCATGTCTGACAGCATACATGTTTAGACTGGTCTGGCACTATACGAGGGCATAAAGTCTGTTGTTAAAGCCCCTTGAAGTTGATGGCAAAAAATGAGACTTTCTTTTGGAGAAAAATAGTAGATTGCTAGATCATGTGTCTTTGTTTTTGCTTATTTGCTTTTTATTGCCTAGAAACATATAGAACTATTTATTAATGTAGGATTAACTATTTATAGATTCTCATACTGTCACTGATTACGTACTTCTGAGTAAAGATAATTATTATATGTTGGTAAAATTTAAAAAAGTTTATAGTTTTTATGTCCTGCATTTAGGGGTGGGTGAGCATTTGGTTCTTCTATCTCACTGTTTGTCTGTGGACTGACTAAACAGTGGAATGTAGGGGCATTCATGTCCTATGGACAACTTTCTAATACATTTTTGTATATACACATGTTAACTCAAATATTATAAGCCAATTGCTGTTAATCAGTTGTGTATGAAATTTTGGCTTGTGAATTTGTGTTCTTTTAGACAATTTTGCAATTTTGCGAGATGGTTTTAATTTTCCTGCGTTTGTTTTGGGAAGGGGTGAGAGAGGGGGAATTTATACACAAGCACTATTCCAGTGTGGGGAAATTCATTTTACTCTGTGTACTGTTTAACTGATTTATAATTTACATTCCATACAGTTTCATACTATATATCAGTATAGCCTGCCATTCAATACATCTGTCTATATCATATATCAGACAAATAAAAACAGTATCTTTTTTGGGTTCATTTAAATAAGCATGTTTTATATTTTATTGCTATCAACTTTGAGAGTATGCTTCCTAGATATACTCAGCTCTTTACCCTGGTTTTCTTAAATGGACTTGCTCAACTTCCAGTTTTTAGGACTCTCCAGTATCGGTTATATTACTATACTGGTGGCTAAGGCTTATCACTCCTGTTTCCAGCTGGTTTAACAGTTAAACCAAATAGGGATTTAATTAATAATTAAAGAAAAACTTATAAGACATTGTATTTGAATGTAAACTGGTGATGGAAAAATAAAATTCTTGCTTTATTTGTCATGAGGGTTTCCATAGCCCTCATGTAACTATAATTCTGATGCTTGCTTATATTGGCTTACAGGGAAATTGCAGAAAATTGTGTGCGTATGATGGGTCAAAATCAAGTTATTATATGTTTAATGTTTACTATATTACAATTTGATAATAGAAATATAGTATGATATATTGAATTATTTAGTATAGAATTTTTTATACAGTGTAATATAGTATTTTACAGTAATAATCTTACATAATTATTCAAAATGATCAAAATATATTTGAAACTATTGCATACGTGGTATTACCAGTAAATGAAAATTGAATAAATTTGAAAAGTTAATAATTTTCTAATTGAATTCTCATTATTAAAGAGAGAATTAAAATTAAAACACCCTTTATAACCATTGTATAAAAAATTAAATAAATTTTAAAATTAAATGATATACTAATCAAGGTCTGATTACCGGTATTAAAGAATTGTTGAAAATAGAAATTTGAAAACTTCTTCATTCATGTTATGTTTTCTTCCAGCAGACGAACATATTCTCTTATGATGAGCAGCCAATTTCAATCAAATCTTGTATCGTGGATATAGCACACAGTTACACAAAACGTAAGAACGTGTTTCGAATGAAGACGTACAACGGGTCGGAATATTTGTTTCAGGCAGAAGACCATGACGAGATGATCTCGTGGATCAAGGAAATCAAGTGTAACAATAACCCAGATGCCGATGTGAGTATTAGAATTAATATTAAAGCATCGCTCAGTGAATGACCTTAAAAACCTAACCTTTATAATCGATGACTTCTAATCCAATTACCTCTCTGGCGTGGGTTCGATCCCCGGGAGATGCTTTGGTAGTTTAGCGCGGAGGAAGGTAGTCTAGTACTGGTGTAACTCTCCAGGAATGATGGTTAGGAAACTACCCACCGATATGACTGAAATACTGTTGGAAAAAGGCGTAAAATGAAACAAACAAACAAGTTAAAAGTCTCTTATGTAAAGTCAATTTCCTGTCTCTAGTATTGGAATACCTCCAGACACTTCAACAGTATTAAGGAATTTAACAATATTGGTGTGACTAGATAAAAAATGAAAAGGACATACAAAATGAAAAGAACATGAATGTTGAAAATTGCATCAATGATAACATTTGTACATTTCAATTGATGAATATTTTATTTATAATATTACAGTTCAGCGGGGTGACAAGCTCCGAGCTGATCATACGCAATAGTATAAGAAAAAGTCAAGAGCTTGTGGAGTCGTCGGTCACTACGAAAACCTCTCCTCCGCAAACACAAAAAATGGGCAAAAAACTTTCAATATCGTCAATAAAACAGAAAATGCCTCACTCACCTAGTCTGAAACGAAGAAAAACTACCTCCGGAGAAAAAGGTATACGTTTGATAATGGAAATAATTTCTTTGGAACAACTAATTGATTTCTGCTTTTCATACAAAATGATCATTGATAGAAAGTTATTTTAGTTTTTTTGATAATATTTTTTTTTGTGAACATGGTTTCTTTAAGGTATTTTAAAGTGGTTTATAATATTGTTTTCCCTTGAAAGAATTCAGTTTTTGAAATTAAATTGATAACAAACACAGTTTTCAGTATCATATGCAAATGAGAACCTAAAATCTTAATTGTAGCAAAATTTAAAAGTGCAGTTTATTTAAGAATTCACATTTTGTTCAGTTGTTCATTGCTCTGGCTTGTTTTGATGTCTCAGTAATAGCTCAATGATTAAAGTCTTAACTGTGCAAGCTTTGTATTTTATTTTATCACACACCCGTGCCGATTTTGCGACTCCGTAAATATGGTATTGCACGGCTGTGCATATATTTTAACGTGACGTCATTAGCGTTATACAAACATAGTGTAAAGATGCGCTAAATGTTAGCGTTATACTATAGGTGCGTCAATGAAAAATGACTCTTATTTCACTTAAATCAGTCTTTATTTTGGGTATGTGATAAATAGAATGTTAAATTCATGTATGTTCAATACTGAATTTATTGCACTTGTTGAATAAAAAGTATTATGCTCGCCAGAGGCTCGCATAAAATGTTATTCAACTTGTGCAATAAATTCAGTATTGAACTTACACTCATTCAATATCCTCTATTTATTGAAATACCTTTATGTATATCTGAGGGTTTGTACATTGAGTTATTATAGGTATCATAAAGTCATATATGTAGTAATTACCTGAGAGTTCATGTAATTATCTCTTGATTAGTTATAGCTTTACATCAAGGTTAGTTGATGCATTGAACTCTCCAACTTTCATTTATCATTTATTCTTATCTCATATTTTATATCAACAGTAGATGAGTCAGGGAAGCCAAAGACATGGAAGGGCAAGTTGGGTAAAAGTTTCAAGAAACAGTTTGGTTCGAGCCCGTCTAACGTAGACAGAATAACACCGGTACCCGAGTCAGTTGGCATGTTCGGATCTTCCCTTGATGATTGTACTCCATCCCCAAACAACGAAGTATGTACTGTTACCATAGTTTTATATGTTAACTCTTTATCTTATATATTTCTTACTTTTTAACCCTTACCATGGTAGATTTCTTTGAATTAAGAATTTCTATGGTAAGTTGGAGAGATTTACAGTATAGTCAAGTTCATAAATTATTAATTAGTTTTGAAAAAGTTTTACTATTATCAAAATTTGATACACTCAGTTGTTTGGTATTTGAAGGAGATTTTAATGTGAATTTCTGCTTTATATCTCGTCTTTGGACACGATATAAACTGTAATATTACATTAAATCACTTTAGTTATCAAAGTTTTTAATAGTAAATCTTTCACTGAATTTTGCAAAATTTTCGGTTCAGTTATTTAATTATTTATCTTCCGCAGTTTGTTCCCCTTGTTGTTGACCTATGTACTCAGTTAGTTGAGGCTAGAGGTCTAGAAATGATTGGTGTATACCGTATCCCAGGTAACAAGGCAGCTGTCACTCTTCTACAAGATGAATTCAACAAGGTAACTATTATTGTCATTAACTTTTATTTGTTGTTTTTTTACTCAGATTTCAGCTTATTTTTGGTCATTTCTTGGCTGTCAGTTCACCTAACTGGCTTTCCTATCTTGGCTGTAAGTTCACCTAACTGGCTTTCCTATCTTGGCTGTAAGTTCACCTAACTGGCTTTCCTATCTTGGCTGTCAGTTCACCTAACTGGCTTTCCTATCTTGGCTGTAAGTTCACCTAACTGGCTTTCCTATCTTGACTGTAAGTTTACCTAACTGGCTTTCCTATCTTGGCTGTAAGTTTACCTAACTGGCTTTCCTATCTTGGCTGTAAGTTCACCTAACTGGCTTTCCTATCTTGGCTGTAAGTTCACCTAACTGGCTTTCCTATCTTGGCTGTAAGTTTACCTAACTGGCTTTCCTATCTTGGCTGTAAGTTCACCTAACTGGCTTTCCTATCTTGACTGTAAGTTTACCTAACTGGCTTTCCTATCTTGGCTGTAAGTTCACCTAACTGGCTTTCCTATCTTGGCTGTAAGTTCACCTAACTGGCTTTCCTATCTTGACTGTAAGTTCACCTAACTGGCTTTCCTATCTTGACTGTCAGTTCACCTAACTGGCTTTCCTATCTTGGCTGTAAGTTCACCTAACTGGCTTTCCTATCTTGGCTGTAAGTTTACCTAACTGGCTTTCCTATCTTGGCTGTAAGTTCACCTAACTGGCTTTCCTATCTTGGCTGTAAGTTCACCTAACTGGCTTTCCTATCTTGGCTGTCAGTTCACCTAACTGGCTTTCCTATCTTGGCTGTAAGTTCACCTAACTGGCTTTCCTATCTTGGCTGTCAGTTCACCTAACTGGCTTTCCTATCTTGGCTGTCAGTTCACCTAACTGGCTTTCCTATCTTGACTGTAAGTTTACCTAACTGGCTTTCCTATCTTGGCTGTAAGTTCACCTAACTGGCTTTCCTATCTTGACTGTAAGTTCACCTAACTGGCTTTCCTATCTTGGCTGTCAGTTCACCTAACTGGCTTTCCTATCTTGGCTGTAAGTTTACCTAACTGGCTTTCCTATCTTGGCTGTAAGTTCAACTAACTGGCTTTCCTATCTTGGCTGTAAGTTCACCTAACTGGCTTTCCTATATTGGCTGTAAGTTCACCTAACTGGCTTTCCTATCTTGGCTGTAAGTTCACCGAACTGGCTTCCTATCTTGGCTGCCAGTTCATCTAACTGGCTTTCCTATCTTGGCTGTAAGTTCACCTAACTGGCTTTCCTATCTTGGCTGTAAGTTCATCTAACCGGCTTTCCTATCTTGGCTGTCAGTTCTGTAACTGGCTTTCTTGGATAACCAGTACCATTGTTACAAAAAGCTGAATAGGGAGAGTTGAAAGACTGGAATTGAATTTCTTCCTGTGAGGAAGCTATCAAAATATCTGAGGGAACGTCAGTGGTTCTACTTTGGTGTACGCTTATACCCGACTGTCTGCCTCAAATAGTAAAGTATGACCTTTACAGTGCCAATATGACCTAAAACCTGTTTAATTTAATCTAAATTAATATGTTGGAAAATTTTAGTTTATAGCTGTTTTATCTGATTCAGAAAATGAGAAAGCCTTTGTCATCAGTTGAACAGGCTGTGTGTTATTGGATGCTTAAATTTAGTATTTTGTATTAAAAACTTTACATTAACATAGGACAGTTCAATATTGACAGCAGGACAAGTTCATGAGAATAAATGTGATATTTTATATTACAGGGTATAGATGCTATGAATCTGGATCATGAAAAGTGGTCAGATGTAAATGTAATCAGTAGTTTACTGAAATCTTTCTTCAGACAACTACCAGAACCACTTATACCTGATGGTAAGTCATTTTAACTTCATTTAAAATCTGCTATGACTTTTAATCTGGTTGAAATGCAAGTGATAAGCTTTTGCCAACAGTATAGAGCTAGGCCAATCTGCACTTTCTTACAGTCTGACCAGGGTTTATACTGTTGGAAATAAGTATTGAAATCCCTTACCGGTATATTTGGGGGGGGGGGGGGCGTCCAAGGCAGAATGGTGAAGGGTCATTGACTTCAAACCACTTGCCCCTCACCACTGTTGGTTCAAATCCTGTGAGAGACTTTGAATTCTTTCATGTGTGGAAGCTATCCAAGATTCTCAATTTTAGCGCAAAGTCCTTGAACTTCTAATGGACTGTTTCCAAAGTCATAACAGATCATGTTCATAACTTTTAGTATAGTTACGGTGATAGAAAATGTGTTAATTTTAAATATTTAATTTTTCAGATTTGTACCAACCATTTATTGATGCTAACAGAATAGAGGATCCAGAAAGGAGAATGTTAAAGTTAAAACGTCTCATACATGAACTACCAGAACATCATTTTGAAACATTTAAACATCTAGCTAAACATCTTAACAAAGTAGCTCAATATGGAGATATTAACAGAGTAAGTGTGCAACTAATTTTTATATGGTATTGAAATATCACCTGAAGTGTGATTGACTCTTGAAGTAAGATGTTATTTCATTGTACATGTACAATTCTATAGATAAATCTGTAGATTTTATAGTACTACTTTACTACTTAAACTACTTGATAAATATATCAGTAAGTTGTAGATATAAATTTGGACTTCCATGGCCTTGCCTCTCACCACTGTGGCTTCATATCTGTAGAAACATAAAAGATGCAAATGAATAGTTGTGCAGACATCTAAAATAAAAAGGTCATTTTTGCCTCAAAATAGTTAGAATTGCTACAAAGCTTCTGTGAAAATAAACATTGAAAACTTAACGAGACATTGCTGTATCAGTTAAGCTGGAAATTGACTTTATAACCTCTATAGTGTTTGATGTAACTTTATCTTAATAAGAAGATTTCTTGTTGATCATATAATTGTCAAAAGTTGAAAGCATATAGAGAACTGACTTATTTCTATGAAACATAATCAGATTTTTGTTTCTTATGTAAGATTAAATACTATGGAAATATATGTTTGTATAATTAATATAGCCATTGTTGTAACTTTTACAGATGGAAGCCAAGAATCTTGCCATAGTTTTTGGACCTACCTTAATTAGGAAATCTGATGATAATATGGTATCCATGGTAACTGATATGTCTGATCATTGTAAGATTATAGAGAGCATAGTACTTCATGTAAGTATACATATACGTTAATATATCTCTGAAATAGTCTAAAATTATGTTTATGATTTATTCAAAGATAATGTTTCTTTTCTAAATAAATTCATTAAATAGCTCCTTAGCCATTTATTTGAGATTTTGACACCCGCTTGTCCATTTCTTTTCTCTTCTTGTTTTCTTTCTTCAAAGCAAAATTATGGTTTGCTATTAAGACTTGATCATTAACTGTAATGAAGGACTGACCATATGACAGATGTTCCTTCTTCATTTTGATTTTCTTTCGTCAGGGCATCCTATCTAACAAGTTTATTTTCTGAAATGATATGTTTACATGCTCTGTCATTAATTGGGATAAATCTGTGTTAAATATGTGTCAAAGTAAAATATTCAATTCTCCAGAAAAAAAATACATGAACTTGTAAAAAATAATATTCTATTTTCTTGCTTTATATTTGAAAAGGCAAAGTTTGTGTTAAGAGCATCTATTGTTATTTTTATGCTCTTGAAATAGATGGTTCTAGGAAAATGTGTTCATAAAATCTCATCTATAAGCTGCAGCCTTCCGACTTAGACTCAAATACCTCAGGTCAAGGACATTATTTTAATGAAATATGACATTGACTCTTAAATGACCTTGATTTATTTCTTTAATCAGATTTATTTATCATAACTTTATAGCTATTTGTTGACATATTTTAGATTGGGAAAATTAATATGTTATGAAAACATCTTGTAAATTAATTACTTTTATTTCAATAGATATCTATGAAATCTTGTAAGTTTTGCTTTAAAGGTATTTTTGGTTTATTTTCATTATTCCTAACATTATACATGTATGTATATGTATTGACTATTTCAGTATGAATGGTTCTTCGGATCCTGGGAGAATGACAATTATGTACCAACAGATGATGATGCTACAGAATGTGTGTCATTAATCTCTGGTGTAACATCTAGTACCAGGGATGATCCAGGTAATTTATACCTTAATTTCATCTTTATGGGTCCTCTATGACTTAATGGTAATGGTCCTTTACCCAAGCTCACTTACTGCTTTCTTGACTTTCTGCTATTTTTCCCAATAAGAATACTTATTTTAGAAAAACAGAGCGAGTGATTTTGCACACTCATTATTGGGCTAGACCTTCATCTAATGGAACATTAATCTTTATTCCTGTCATGTCAAAAAAAATCAGCGGAGTCCCTTTAAACAGTTTTCTGTAGGATATTTTGGGCTGATAGATTTTTTATATGTAAAAACGTGACCAATAAGGACTTGTTATTTAAATCAGTTTCAATATGTGGGACTTAAGGCTTTGTTGTTGAGATAAAATGTGTTGCACATAAATTTAAAAAAAAAAAAATGAAAAAAAAATGTACATGTTTTGATTATATTTTCTGGAGAATTATGTTTTACTTTCAGAAGTGAATCCACAGGAAATAGTGAGCAGTATAGTTGAAGCAGCTAACAGGAAGTTGAGAGGAGAGCTGCCACCTGCAGTTGAGAAACGTAGTGTGTCTGTATCCGAGGTACCTCAAGCCTTCAACGAAAGAAATATAGATCAGGAAATACTTCTTCGTACCAGAAAAATAGACAATACATCAAGAAGTAGTCCAAATCTGGCTGCAATGCAGCGATCAACAGAAGTCATTAAACAGTCCACTACTGAAGTTGTTACAGACCGACGTATGGCCAAGTCTCAGGAGTTCTGTGACAGGGAATTCAAGGATTTTGATTTTATCGATTCAGATAAGGAAAGTTCTTATTTAAATCCAACAACCAGGTATTTTTCTGATGAACTGTTAGACAGAAATGATGAATTAGAGTTGTCACACAGTACGTTAAGTGGCAGTTACAGTAGATTAAGTAAGGAAACTATTGATAGTTTAAAGAGGATAGAAATGGAAGCACGGGCATTAAGGGAGAGGGAAGAGAGAAGGCAGAGGGACCTGGAGAAAAGAAAGTTGGAAAAACAAAGAATTGAACAGGATATTCTACAAACACAACAAGAGTTAGAAATTGAAGACAGACATAGTGTTGAAGATCTGTTAAATGCACAAGATTATGGGAAAATGGGAATAAATAAAGATTTTTTAAATAAGCGTAAGATCACTTCTAATGACTACAGGAATACTCGTGATGTAAATCAGTCAAGTGGCAGTAGACAACAAGGTGGAGGTAAATACTTCGTCGTGAAAGGAAACACTTCAAGCTCAAGGTCGTCTCGACCTCCCAAACAAACAAGTGTAGAATCTTTAGTAGCACAATCTAAGCGTACAGGTTCACTTGAAAACATGGCAAATGGACAGAAAAAAAGTCCAAGCAGACCTTTAGCTCAAGTTAGAGCCAGAAAAGGTGAAGACCGCTCTAAAAGAGATTCTGCAGAAATAAAACGTAGAAGTGTAGGACTTGCTAGAAGTAATTCTGTGCGTAGAGGATCCTTAGACTCTTTGATAGATCTTATTGAAAAAAGAGATAGCAGAATGTCATGGGCATCAACAGATTCAGAAGAAGGACTTGATTTATTAACAACTCTTACCTCAACATTTGATCAGAAACTACAGACATTATCTAGTCCAAAACTTTCCCAGTCTGTATCTATAGCCCCACCACCTCCAAGGAGAGTGCCAAATTATTCTAGTAATTCAAGTTTAAGTACAAACACAACTACTTCTGAGTCCGGGGAATCACAATCCGCCCAGCATAGGTTACCACCACAGGTTCCTCTGTCTTCTGTTATGAGTCGACAAAACAATTCTTCAGATTTCCCATCAAAACAGTTCCGAGATCCGAGTCTACACAGGACTCCCCCAAAGTCGGATACTAAAATAGGTTTCGCAACGCGATTCGAACGATCCACAACTCATAATCCTATGTATGAGGGAAATAGTGAACCAAACTTGAATGCTTTGTCAAGGAGTGGTAATAGTTATGGAGTAAGTTTACAAAGTGATGTAACATATTCAGTTGATAGTGCTATATTAAGTGGAAGTAACAGAGGATTAGAGAGGCAAGATACTGACTCTAGAGTGTCTTCTGTAATGGTTGTAATTTCGAGTCCATCAGTAATGTCTGCCGACAGCAGACACAGTGCTGGATATTCTACTCCTCAGTTTGTCTCTAAACCTGTAATGTCGTCTCAGTCGAACGCTCTTCCCAAGTGGGAAACTTATATACCTAATTCTCCAAGTAGAACAGAGTATAGACCCATATCAAAGTCAGAGAAAACTGAGGTTAATGTTAAACTGTCTCAGAACGTTGTAGATAAAAACAAAAATTCTAATAATACTGACATTCCTACAAGTTCAAAATCTAGGTCGGCTTCCCCGCCCCCAACTAATCGTAAAAGAAGTGAGAAAAGGAAGCGTAGACGGCACACAGTCGGCGGTACAAGTGACGGTGAGCATATGAAAGCTATCTCTAATGCTCTTCCTAAAGAAGAGCAGAGATTGTCCGCGTGGGAGCAACTGAGGCCAAACATTAGTCAGAATAGTAATATTGGACCAAATAGCAGTATGTTAACGTGGCTGAGAAATGAACGTATTCGTGGCAGCTCCCCAGATCTGTCTATGACACGTAGAGACAAAACTAATGGCAACCAATATTAAAATATCATATATTTATAACATTTACCAATATTATTAAAAATTTGTGTTGTTTTTTATTAGTTTTTTCTTGTCTTTTTAATTTTTTTAAAGTACATACCTTTTTGTTTTAATAAGGTGACAGTTATATAACATAAGATTATATACAATTTTGTTTGTGTCTTAATTCACCGTCATGTTTCTAAAATTGTCATCATTTTATAACCAAATGCTGATTATTTTGACATCATATTTTATACTAAGATTCATGTAAGTTGACAATCAAATTATTAAAACCACCTTGTTTACACATATTTGTATGCATAAACCATTTTTGATCTTGACTAGATGTAGAAACTTTGTTTGAAAATTTGACGGCTGTTTGATACTTGCCTTTGCATAAAGAAGGAATCAGTTTTTAAGCAAATGTCAAAAATTTTCTTGCTTCAAATTGTATGAAAAATTCAAAATGTAATTCAAGTATTATATACCAGACCAGGTATCTTGTGACATTTAAGATATATCACCCGTTTTGATATTATAACCATTTCATTTATATAAATAAACATACATATGTATATGTCCAGACAGAAATTATAAACTGCTAGTGTTGAAATGAGTACAGTTTATTTCTTTCATTTACATATCTTATACCAGTTTAATGGCTTTTTTGTATTGACATTTTTAACTTTAAATTTGTTTATAAGATTCAAAAGTAGTCCTGCAAACAGCTATTATTAATAGTTTTTTTAGTACATGTAAATAAATTCATTTCTTATGATACCAAATTTCATTGCTTTCTTCATTACTTAAAATAAGTGTTGCAATTAATTATACCACACCTCCGAGATTATTTTTAGGTCTTTTTAAATACTGATCATTTTAGAACAAAGTTAAATTTGTATGATAGCTTAGATTAATTTTTTTAGAGTAACATTTAACTTCATATTATAGCACGACTCATTCACTAATTCAGTGCTGTTGAATATAAGACAGCCAATATCTTAAGATACTTTAATGCATCATTCTCATTTCAACGTCATTAAAACCAGTAAGTACTATGCACACAAAGTCATTTGTATTTCCATCAAGACTGTTAATCAAGAAAACAGAGAAGAAATATTTTTTCATAGAATTCAATCATAGAATAAGAGGGTCAGGGACACACAGGTCGGTGAATGACCTAGACGAACTAACCATGGTGTTTATTTATCATCAATCAGACATTTATACATGTATAGCAAATATTACTGTTATGTTTTAATGCCATTTTTAAAACCATTTCTTTCGTCCTTTCGCTTAGTTTTTTAAGGATAGTTCACTTTTATTGCAACTGTTGAATTGTTTAATTTGAAGTTTAAGTTTATTCTCACATCTTTCATTAATGCAAATAAGGAAAGAGTTTGTATACATTGACTAATATCTTTTTAATTAAAGATATATTTTGTGACATCCTTTTAGCATTGGATGATATTTTTAATTTGTTGAAAATGAGTGTAATAATTACAACAAGAGAAAAATAAGTGATTTTTTTCACAATTTCTCCAGAGAAATGAAAGATAGTAAATTAAGATGTGTATTAAAATAATGATTTTGTTACACATTTTGGTAATTTTTTTTCAAACTTTTGGTAGATATCTTGTCTCTTTAGTTGTTTTAGTTATATCTAGTCTTACTACTAAAATCTTTCGTACAGCTTTTTATTGCAGCACTTGACTGATTTGAAGCAAATTTTATATTTTTCGTGATGGTAGTAAGACTAGGTTTATCATAACTTTACATCTTCACAACATAGAATCTTCTTTAACTATCCACATGCTTTGTCTTTAAACAGTGTGTCACTAGTCCTACAGGCTACACACATTTTAAACAGTGGTACAACATCTTGATGTGTCCACAAACACAATTTTCATTGTACAAAAGTATATATAAACACACATTTTACAAGTTGTACATTGCACAGTATGATAATTATCTGACAGGTAGTGTTGGTATTATACTGGAAATCAGATATAGTTAACAATAAATCAAAATTTACCCGAGATATGACAATATTGAAATTTCTTTTTTCTTTTTTTTTTTGTATTTTTGAAAATTTGGAGTATGAACTTTACCTGATGAGCTAGCCAAACATAAATTTTGAAGCAGTTCATTATTTATATTACAGATATTTTGATGAGCTAAGAAGTTTGAGAGCTAACATTGTAGAATCTGGTTATAAATGTGCAGGCTAGCTTATTTCTATAATGGCTAGGCTTTGAAGTTTGTTAACAGACTTCAACTTAGCAGAAAAGAAAGGGTTAAATATTTGCTGTTTAATGAAAAGTATAATTTATCTTATTTAATTCAACTTGGTTTCTGAAACTTACCATGTAAATATTTTAGGTTTGCTTATTTATAAAGCAAACTATTTTAATATATATATAAATGCCAAATGTTTGCAAAACCGTTAATATAGTAATTTTTGTATGTCTTAACTTAATTTTAATTAATGCTAACATTGGGCTATGTTTGTGTATATATACATCAGAAATTTGACATTTTATTATGAAATATTAGAAGAAAATATATCAAATATTTCATAAAAGTTAGGAGTCTATGATATTTTAGTATTTTTATATGCATGAATGTTATTTTATTCTCAATTATTTAATGTTAACAGCTGGAGTATTAAAAGTTAGTTTTAGATTTTGTTATATAATCTAAAAACACCTCTGAAATGCCTGTCTGAGATTGATTTAAACATAAGTTTTTGTTACAAGTAACGGCTCCATATCAGAACATTCACTAAGGTTGTTTTCTCAAATCCACATCTCGGTCAATAATAATTTCTTTCAGTATACATGTATATCATATTCACTAGCTAAAAAGTCTATATTTATATCATACATACTACTCTATATGAAATATGAAACACGTTAATAATGTTGGAAATTATTGTGTAAGATATTTGTGGCAGTTGAAATGAAATTCTGCTTATTTAAATCAAGTTACCTCAAGTTGGTTTTAACTCTCATATCATAAAATTTATGTACAGGATTTTGCTGTTTTAAATTTGGAGCTTTCTGTTGAATATTTTCAAAAGGTGAAAAATTACAAGTCAACAGGATAAACTTTGACTAGTCAAACTTTAGAGATAGCCAGGCTTACCTTGATCTATACTTGTCAATAATGGCAGAGTTAAATTTGTTGTTTTAAGTCACAGAGATACTGTAAAGATCTCCAGAGTTAAAAATGCTTATTGCATGGATTTGCAATTTATTTTGCTTCTGACAAAAAATAAGAAATAAAGTGTAAAAAAAAAAATCCAATTAAAGTTGTAGCATAGATAGCTAACTTTGGATAGTCCAGTTGTTAGTTTAAATTATTAATATCATGGTTTATTTGCTTGAACAGTTTATATTTATAGTTTTAATTTCAGGTTGAATAGTTTTAATCAGTTGTGAACTGACATTGTCATGTTTTAGTCACTAGTTTTAAATTTAGCCAGTGATAGTGTTGTTTTAACAATATGATTTTAAACTTATTACCTGTCTTTAAAATATTCAAAAACAAGTTCAGCAAATATTCCTTTATGAATTTTGAGATCTTCTGTAACATTTGTTTTAGACAGTTTTAATCAATTTTTATGTGTTAGTTTGATTAAAAGATAAATCTAAATTGGTTGCAAGTTATAAAACTTTCAACTTCATATACTTACGGTACATGCTTACCAGTGGGAGAAAAAAATGATAAATGGTCCTACCATTCTTCTGTTATATCAGATATTGAATAGATAGATATTTTTTATGAGAATCAGAAATGATTGTTATAGTAGATCTTAAATTCATCCATCAAGAATATTTTATAGTGTATTGTTATTGATGGTACTTGAATGTACTAATACATGTGGAATAAAAACACTTACAACTGTTCTATTTGTTTGTATTTTCTTTAATTTACTTTTACGATATCTTTCTACTCAATGGTTACCATTATGAAGGTAGGTTTTCCCACCTATATGAGAAGATCTGCAAAATCATGGCAAAATAAAACTGAACACACCTTAATTATTGATTCCTCTACATTTTATTCAAAATGAAAATAAGGTATCTTACCAGATTTTGTTCTGTTTTGTTTTTTTTTTATCCCTCACCGAAAGGTGGCGGGGGATAAAGAAATAGTCTCCGTCCGTCCTTCTGTCCGTCAGACATTATTGTCCGGAGTATTTGAGGTATCGACTTTAAACTTCATAGGTGGATAGATCATATTGAGGAGGAGTGCAGTGCACAAGAATGATAACTCTACCCTGCATAATTTTTCAGTTATTGCCCTTTGTTATTTTTCATGCTTAATTTTTGTCCAGAGCATAACTATAAAAGCCTTTGAGATATCAACTTGAAACTTCATAGGTGGATAGATCTCATTGAGGAGGAGTGCAGCACACAAGAATGATAACTTACCCTGCATTATTTTTCAGTTATTGCCCTTTGTTATTTTCAGCCATCAGTATTCACATAGGTTTCAAATCTGTAATCACTTCAGCCATCAGTTTTCATTACCAAAAGACCTCTTAAAATTGAATTATTCTGCTCTACTACATATATATTCTTCCAATGAGCAAACACATTCGGCGAGGGATGGCCATGTTGACATGGCTCTTGTTATTTAATGGGGGGGGGGGGGTTTACGTCACATCAATGCAGTATAGGTCATATTGTGACGTCCCAAGGAAGACCTCAGGTGCCCTTCCGTGCATTATTTCAGGCACGAACAAGCACCTAAGTAGAACCACCGACGTTCCATAAGCTAGCTGGATAGCTTCCTCACATGAAAAAATCCAAAGTCCCTGTCGGGATTCGAACCCACAGCGGTGAGGGGTAAGTGGTTTGAAGTCAACGACCTTAACCACTTGGCCACCGACGCCCCGTTCTGGTATTTAATACAGATAAATCAAATGATTGTTGAATGGTTACCACCTTATACATTACCACAGCCATGTTTTAAATATCTTAGCTCTAGCTCTTTGAGTTCTTTAAAAGAAGATTTTTTAAGTTTTTACTATATGCATATAGGGAAAATCAATGACCCCCTGGGGCAGGGCCAATTTTGACCCCAGGGCTTTTATTTAAACAAACTTGGTAGATACTCATTAGAAGATGTTTCATGCTAAATATCTTAGCTCTAGCTCTTTGGGTTCTTTAAAAGAAGATTTTTTAAGTTTTTACTATATGCATATAGGGAAAATCTATGACCCCCTGGGGCGGGGTCAATTTTGACCCCAGGGCTTTTATTTGAACAAACTTGGTAGACATTCACTAGAAGATGTTTCATGCCAAATATCTAAGCTCTAGCTCTTATGGTTCTTTAAAAGAAGATTTTTTAAGTTTTTACTATACGCATATAGGGAAAATCAATGACCCCCGGGGCGGGGCCAATTTTGACCCCAGGGCTTTAATTTGAACAAACTTGGTAGACACTCACTAGAAGATGTTTCATGCTTAATATCTTAGCTCTAGCTCTTTGGGTTCTTTAAAAGAAGATTTTTAAGTTTTTACTATATGCATATAGGGAAAATCAATGACCCCCTGGGGCGGGGCCAATTTTGACCCCAGGGCTTTTATTTGAACAAACTTGGTAGACATTCACTAGAAGATGTTTCATGCCAAATATCTAAGCTCTAGCTCTTACGGTTCTTTAAAAGAAGATTTTTTAAGTTTTTACTATATGCATATAGGGAAAATCAATGACCCCCAGGGGCGGGGCCAATTTTGACCCCAGGGCTTTTATTTGAACAAACTTGGTAGACACCCATTAGAACATGTTTCATGCTAAATATCTTAGCTCTAGCTCTTTGGGTTCTTTAAAAGAAGATTTTTTTAAGTTTTTACTATTGGTTGCCATGGCAACCAGAGTTCTGCATGGAATTAAATTCTTTGAACAATTTTTAAAGGTGACCACCAAAGGAACATTCCTGTGAAGTTTGGATGAAATTGGCACAGTGGTTTATGAGGAGATGTCATTTAAAGCAAAAGTTTACGGACGGACGGACGACGGACGAAAAGCGATCACAAAAGCTCACCCTGTCACTTTGTGACAGGTGAGCTAAAAAGGCCTCTAACGTTGAATGAAAATCATAAGAAACTAAACACAATAAATTTAGTCTTAACATTTTAATTCACATCTGAAAACATCATAATTTTTATTACATAAGAATATTACACATTTAACCCTACAGTACAAGAGATAAAGCAGATGACAGATCCATGGACATTTGATACCCAATTTTTCCTTACTGTGTTTTAATCAACATCTTGGAGACAAATTAGCCAGGTTAAAATTTTCCCAAGTTTCTACTTTTATCAGATACATTCATAAAATATATAGCAAACATTTGTTTCCACAAAAATCTTTAATTTGTGAGTTTTAATCCCTTGCTAAATTTCTGATTTTACAGTTAACTGTCAAACTTTCTCATAATTCTAAGAAATATACAGTAGAATTATCACTTGCCTTTCAATGTACATATATAATGTTTTTGAATTAAACAAAATATTAACATAAAACAGTTAGTAATAACTCAGGAACATCCTGACCCACCTTTCTGATATTAATCCTCACTGTGTTGAATATTTTAAAGGGAATTGCCCATCTTTCAATCCACCAATTTAGTGCCCGGTTGATGTCATGAATATTAAAGCTTTATCATTTGCATACAATGTCCTAGCAAACATTTTAATGGATAGGATGTGATATCAGAGCTGCATATATGACATGGGGCGTCAAATGTCCATGTTTGTACATTATGATACAAATAGAACAAAACAACCTTAATAAGTATAATCCTCTCTCTATGTTCTATAAATAGTGGCACACAATCAATGAGGCAATATCGTACTTACAAATTGAAAGAATATTTTATATTGTAAAACATATGTTGACTATCAAAATAATAAACTCAAGCAACTTGTACAATATTAATTTTGTACATTCTGTATATCTGTAGGTTAAACTAGTTTTGAAAAATACCTATATTTTACAGGTTCAAAACATAAACAAAATTCATTATAAAAACATTAATGTAAGAACACTATGCCTAAAACATTTAACATTCTTGTATAGAATATAGATAATTGCACCTTTACATGCATGATGACAGTGATAAAATGGAACAATTATATTGCAAGAAGATACCATTTGGAATAAAGAAGATAACAGTAAAACAATAACAATTTTCAAGTAAATTCCGAGTTCAAAAAGGAAATATGAACCTTACCACATATGATGTGAGTGATGATGAGGATCATAATTATTTATGTATTTTTCATTTTAAAGTAAATCTCTCATAAGAAATAATGATGTTAAGACTAAACGATAAAAACTCTTAATTCTGTAGGGGAGATAAAACTTGAAATATTGGTGCTGGAGATACCAACCATAACATTATACAGTGTAACTTCCGAAAACCGAACACCCATGGGACTTGTCAAAAAGTTCGGATTTCAGAGGTTTCCGGAATTCAGAGGTTTATGATAATGTGGACAAGACTTAATATCACTAAATGTTAAGGACGATGTGGCCATTACTGTAATATCATATCAGTTTGTAAAAATGTTGTTAATTGCATAAACTTACATATCGTCCGATGCTAGTTAATTAATTATTACATCAAATGCAATAAAATCCCTAAAGACGTTTGATGCATACATTGTCCCATTAATTGTCATTTAATCCGCTAATAAACACTTCAAATTAACTGACCGCCGTAAATTACTTTGACTAACCGCATCACTTGAAACATACCATTTTAGTTTGTGATTTTAACGCGTGTCAAATTACACGATCACCGCTAATTAGTAAACAATCGATAGGGAGATTAAATCTTCCTGCAGGGTTTCCAATGTATTTCACACCTTTGGATATTTCCGGTATTTGGAGGTAAAATTGCCTTGATTTGACTCTAATTTTTCGAAAATATCGTCCGGAATTCAGAATTTAGAAGTTCCGGAATTCAGAAGTATTATATTAATAGAAAATAGAAGGGAAAAATCGGGACCGAAAAAATTGTTCGGTTTTTAGAAGTTTCCGGATTTCAGAAGTTCCGGAATTCGGAAGTTACACTGTAATGAGGAACATGTATTTAAAGTAAATCACTGAAGAAATGAAAAAATTAAGAGAAAACAAAATTTTAAAGTAAAATGTACATTATAGGGGGAGATAATTCTGATATTATTGGTGTTAGATTTATGAACCTTAACACATATAACATGGGTGGTGATAAGAAATATAATTTGAAATTTGAAGTAAACATTTTGAAAAATAAAGAAGTTATAGTAAAAGCACAAAAAACTTTCATCCGAAATATTACTTATATCAATCACTGTGTATAAATTTGTCCCTCGCTGCATTAAAAAAAATTATCAAGAAAAAATTATCATTTGATTATTACTTATATCACTCACTGTGATAAATCAGAGTTCAACCATGAAATAATACCTGTATCATTCATAACAAAACTTGTAAAAAAAACAACAGTGTAAATATTAAGTAGTTCAGACATATTACATATTACAGATTTCAAATCAAACTAAAGTAGTTAACAATTTTCAAAAAATGTTAAAACACCAAAAAATAAATTTATTTTATATTTAAAATATTTAACAATACTTTAAAATGTTGTGATTTTCTAGAAATGTTAGCAGCAGCATTGGCGATTTCTGTCATGAATAATAGTTTACAATGTCGTAAGAACACAGAATGCGAGAATCAAAATATTGTAATATTTATGCTTCATGCATGTAAATTATGTAATTATTTCTCCCTACTACAGTCATGTCCGGTGATCTTGCGCGGCCGGTGATCTTGCGCACTTGGAATTTCCTTTCGTTTGGTTGTTTGTTTATGCTGTCGCTAGAATTTTTCAGCCAAAATTTGTGACTTGGACTTACTTTGAGTTATAACAAGGTAAGAAAGTTAAAAAAATATCTGTCAAACATGTTTGTTTACATTATTTCGTCATCCTAATTATTTATTCATAAACACGCCCACTGACCTATTTTCCCATTATATTCCTGTCTATTCAATCAGTTCCAAAATTTTACGTCCAGCAAGAATGACAATCAATATCACACATTTTAAAACAGTATTGAACCGATAAAACGTTGTAAATTTCCTTTTTTTTCCCTTTGCAAATAAAGGTGTGCAGTTGTTATCTCCTGCCGATTCCCGCCATCTTGTCACAATGGAAAGCCCCTCCCGCGCTTTTCATTTTTTTTACGGAAGCGTAAAAGGGTCTACACAAGAGCATTTAATTTGTTAACTGGGGGTGTGTAGTCAATGCATCTGAAATTATGTACGGAAATTGAGACATTGACTGGTAGTGATGATTTCAGGTGTCCCAGGTGTAGATCTAGTAGTGAACAGTAAAATAACAAACCCTTGATGTAAATAAGTTTGTGTTACAGTTTTGTTTGAACAGTTTAAATTAACTTTTCATTAATTGGGCTCACAAAATTTATATTGATAGTACTACTTGGACACCATACTTTAAAAACAAGCTACCAATACGTCATTCATAATACATGCGCAAGATCACCGGACAATTGAATGTTGGGATTAAACATGGTGGTAAGTGTTTACATTGTTGCAAGTCTGCAGTTAATTGAGTTATTTCCAAAAAATATTTGTGTCATTATATGTCTTTATGATTTTTGCAAATAGGAAAATAATTTTGATTATTTTGTATTTATTTGAATTGTAGTAAATTAGCCGATAAGTGTTTAGGTGCGCAAGATTACCGGACAGCATCGTATATAAAGAATAACAGTCAATATTCACAAAAAGGTATATACAAAATGAACTCTTTTGATAGTTAAAAATATAAATCTAAATATATATATATATATATAACTCTCAAGATATTTATTACTTTACTAAGACTTAAAAATGATAAGTATGATCATGTTTTGTTTTCAGTCTTAGAATGAAATTTACACCTTTTTCTTCTATCACTGACAGTTCCATCTGCCCTGAATTATTTTAATAACAGTATCATAAACAATATTAAATTGTTTTATGGATATTTACACTGAACAGTGATGATGCCATACTTTATCTGTAGTGTTTCCGTCTCAAAGGTGGGAGGTCATTTGTTGGAAGCGGTGGGGCAGGTTCAGTGGGTAAAGGTGGCTGAACCTGAGGAACAGGCACCGGAGGCTGCACCTGAGACACAGTCTGAGGTGCTGCATTTGGTGGAGCCGAGTGATAGTTATATTGATAATATTGAGAGCTGTACTGACTTGCTGGTACTGGATTGGCTGATGAAGTCACATGACCAGAATGTGAGCCAGACTGACTGGCTGATGAAGTCACATGACCTGCCAATGAAGTAGCCTGACTGGCTGATGATGTAGCATAATTTGTATATGGATTAGGATAAAAGGAGGTACTAGTTGATGCAGGTACATGTTGATCCGTACTTTGAACATTGACTGAAGAACGACTAGCTTGACTGACAGTTGCTGCCTGAATTTTCTTCTTTAACAGTTCTGTCTGTTGTCTAATTGATTCTAATAACAGTTTCTGTGGTTGATCAATATTTGCTGTATTCGGCACAGGTTTCTTCTGACTTTGACCAGCTGTTAATACATGTGGAGGGGCAGGAACACCAACTGGGGCTGACGATATACTTGACGTTGCTCTGTTAGATACTGCTGAAACAGATGCATAACTTGCTGCAGGGTAAGATTGAAGACCTGTGTTTGATGTGACAGGTTGTGAAGTGCCTGTATAAGAAGTGTATTGTTGATGCTGCGATGCAGTAGGATAACTTTGCTGCTGGGAATAAGGTAGATTACTACTTGTGTTTGGTACAGTTGCTGACACTGAAGCCTGGTATACAGGTGTATTACTGTTGGACGCCACTTGTAATGGACTTCTGACACTATCTGTAGAAGAACGCAAGAACGACGGAACACTACTTGATGTTGTACTTGAACCACCAAGACCAGGAATGCTTTGCTCAGCCGGTCTCTGCTCTAACATTGGCTCAAATGCCTCTTTCAAGGATGCCATCTGTAATTAATTAAATTATAATTATGATTATAAGTATTCCTCATGTAAAAGTAGCATTTAAAAAGATGTACCTGTCTTAAATAATAATTTTCTGTTTGAAGTATTTTTTTGTTTAATATCTAACTTTCTATTATATATATATATACATATGATTATCAAGACACCATTACTCTGTTACTTTGTGTTCAGATGATTAATATATATAAATCACTGTTTACGTATTAAACTGTGTGAATACTTAGAGAGCAAACTCTTAATAAAAATCTTTTATATAACAGACAAATCATTATCACTACAAGCACAGTATTATCAACAGATAAAAAAAACTGCCTCCTTGTTATTAATTAATACAAGAACAGGTCAACCTTCTAATACATTCAGTTACTACACTCAGCAATAGGGCCTACAATTTCTTTAAATTATAAAAAGAATTAAAATACCCAGGAGTAAAAAAATTTTTTTAAAGATTGCATAAATTTTTATAGTTTTATCCCAACCCCATAGGCCCCAGGGGGGACAGGGGCCATGGATTTCACAATTTTTGTTTCCCTTCACCCATAGATGCTTTATGCTGAATTTGGTTGAAACTGGTTCAGTGGTTCCAGAGAAGCTTAAAATGTTAAATAGAATGTTAACTCAGGACACACAACACACGACGACGGACAAAAGCAGATAGCAATAGGGCAAATTAAAATAATAGACCTAAAAATATATACTTACTGATTTAGGAACATTCTGTAGCCTGTATTTCAAAAGTGCCTGAGTAAGAGCATTTGATACTTGTAGAGCCATGGCAGCATCATCCTCTGTTGCTATCATTGATGATGACTGGAAATATATAATCATATGATGTTCTTAATATGTCTATTTAATATGAATTATAAATAAATATACTGTTTTTAGTTTTTAATAAATAGATATACTGTTTTTAGTTTTAACATTATTTAATTGATTAGTTGTACAGTTATAACATTTTCTTTTTATATCAAAGCAAGACTGGATATATCATTACCTCTCCAATTAAGGTAAATTTTCAAAAATGAGAAACAAAGAAGTTGCTGTTAATTCTGTATTCATAATACATATTTCTATATATAAAACAAATTTATTGTATATAATATATCTATTTACATTAGATTATTATTCAGTGTTCTGTACAATATAGAAATATATTTGGATAAAGACTCGAATGATGATTCTGGCAAAGAAGACAATCCTTGTGGAATCTTCAACCTTTAACCCTAACCACAATAAATCATTCATCATTGTTAGCGACAATTTCCAAATATTGCACTGACTATATAGCAAACAGTGCAGACCCCTGATCAGACTACATGGATGTGCCAGCTGAACTTTGTCTGCACTGGTAACATGGGTAGAGTCGATTGCCACCAGCAAGTTAAAGGTTAACCCTTTCGCTGCCAGAGGGTTATTGTTTTATTGTTCACCTATTTGCCAGAGGATTTTCTAAGAAATTACTATATTATTAATTAATATAATTATTATCATTTGTTATTAGTATTATAATAATAATTATATATGTTTCCAATTCTGTTAGTATAATAATAATTATTGTCGATGGTATAATTTTCTTTATATTTATTATTATTTTATTATTATTATTATTAATTTATTATTATTACTATTATTATTATAGAAACGGCTTAAGCCGTCCCTATGGCAGTGAAAGGGTTAAAGCCAGCTTGGTACTGTCACATTATGATAGAGTTTGAACTCTATGTCAGTGGCTGGATCTCAGAGGTGACAATGGTGAGAGACAAGAGAATCAATATAAGGAAACTTTACAACTCAATCATGGAAGTTCCAAATGTTTTTTTTTTATAAGAAATCAATTTTTGATTGAACAGATGAGCCGCGTCTTGACAAAACCAACATAGTGGGTTTGCGACCAGCATGGATCCAGACCAGCCTGCGCATCCGAGCAGTCTGATCAGGATCAATGCTGTTCGCTATCAGTTGCTCTACTTGTAATAGGGTTTGTAAGCGAAGAGCATGGATCCTGATCAGACTGCGCGGATGCGCAGGCTGGTCTGGATCCATGCTGGTCGCAAACCCATTATGTTGGTTTTGTCGTGACACGGCTCGGATATATTGTAAAAGAAAATGTCTTACCAGATTAGTCATAATTTCTGCAATATTCACATGGGGATTTTTAGCAGCTTCCTGCAAAAATATAAGATACATGTTAAAATCTTGTTCAAATGTGTTTGCAAACCTTCATATTGTCACCTTAATGCAGTAAATGGTTTACTTTAATCAAATATATAAGGACTTACCCTGTTACTGCACTAAATCACATCTTTCCATTGAAGAAATGATGCATCTAGATCAATGTTTCTGTATTAAACACTATATTACTTTCAAGTCATAACTTCAAGAGTATACTTATAAGTTATATTTACAGATAGATAGATATTTATTTAGGTTAAAACACACATATACATAATACAAACACTAACGCATTTGTATTTAAAAAGGTATTAAAACAAAATTGTAATAAAATATTTCGGAAGTTTGTCAAACATTACTATCACAGGAGGGTCATTAGATAATAAGAAAATATAATAAAAAACTGAAAATTACACAATTTGCAATTGAGACAAGACCAAAAATGTATCTCCCTTTTGCTTGACTACATATTTATTTACAAATTATAGAGAATGTCAATATGTAAGATGCTTATTTTTCCAGGGGAAAAATCCTTGGCTTTTTTTTGTGCTTTTTTTTTAAGATTTAATTAATTTTCTGCATTTGTAGTCATTCATGTAGACTTGCAATCCTGATTTACAGAAATTCCTGGAAATTAATTAGCACTGGGAATTACTTCTTTTTTTTATCATCTCTTTGTTGGGTGTAAGTCACACTGTTACGGTAAAGGTCATATGGTGATTTTCCAGCTATACTAGCGGAGGAAGACCTCTGATTCCCCTCAGTGTACTATTTCAGGCATGAGTGGAAATCAAAAGTAGAACCACCAACATTCTGTAAGGTAGCTGGATTGTTTCCTAACATGAACAAGCAAATTCGTTGAATTTATATCCCCCGCCGAGTACAGGTTATTACTAACACAACAACTGAAGACATAAAGCTTTATTTATACATGGCATAAACAGTAATATTCTTTGAACTTGATAAATATTCAGGGCAATAATAGAGCCATAACTCTGTGTTAAATAGTAATTTCTGGAAATGCCAATGAGATGTATGCATACTGCATAACTAATCCAGGGCCATAAATTTGAGTTATAAGTATCTGACCGGAACAAGGCGACTATATGCACATCTCCTCTTCGTATCCCATAAAGTTTCATTGAATTCCAGCCAGTAGTTACAGAGAAGTAGCATGGAAACGATTATTGCTCTGGTTGTATATTGCATAAGTTATCAAGGGCCATAACTCTAAGTTAAAATGTCTGACCCGAACAAGGCGACGATATGCCCATCTCCTCTTGGTATTGAAGGTTCCAATAAAGTTTCATTGAATTCCAGCCAGTAGTTGCAGAGAAGTAGCGCAGAAACGAATATTTTTCTATAAGCGTAACTAATCAAGGGCCATAACTCTGAGTTAAAATGTCTGACCCCAACAAGGCAATGATATGCGCATCTTCTCTTGGTATTGAAGGTTCCCATAAAGTTTTGTTGAATTCCAGCCAGTAGTTGCAGAGAAGTAGCGCGGAAACAATTTTTGCTCTATATGCATACTGCATAACTAATCAAGGGCCATAACTCTAAGTTAAAGTGTCTGACCTTAACAAGGCAACGATATGCTCATCTCCTCTTGGTATTGAAGGTTCCCATAAAGTTACGTTGAATTCCAGCCAGTAGTTGCAGAGAAGTAGCGCGAAAACGATTTTTACTCTATATGCATACTGCATAACTAATCAAGGGCCATAACTCTAAGTTAAAGTGTCGGACCGGAACAAGTCGACGATATGCGCATCCCCTCTAGATATTAAAGGTTCCCATAAAGTTTTGTGGGCAGAGTAGTTGCCAGTAGTTGCAGAGAAGTAGCGCGGAAACGATTTTTACTCTATATGCATACTACATAACTAATCAAGGGCCATAACTCTGAGTTAAAGGGTCTGATTGGAACAAGCCGACGATATGCGCATCTCCTCTTGATATTGATGATTCCCATAAAGTTTCGTTGAATTCCAGCCAGTAGTTGCAGAGAACTAGTCCGGAAGCGAAATTCGGATGGACGGACGGACGGAAGGACGGACGGACAACGCCAAAACTATATCCCCCTCCTGATTCCATCGGCGGGGGATAATAAATAGGATTTGAACCTACAGTGGTGCGGGGCAAATGGTTTGAAATAAACAACTTTAACCGCTAGGCCATGCACTGAAAAGTTTTATAAACAAACCTGTTTGAGAGCCTCAGCAGCCTGTTCTTGTCTAGCTGCTATGTTAGGATTACTGCTCTTATGTTCCGATAATCTGAAATATAACACAGTTACAAATCATGCTGAACTTTGTTAATCAATGCACATTCCGAAACCAACAACTGAGTACTTTAGGAAATCACTTGACTATTCTGGTTCTAAAATATGGAATGACATCCCAATTTATATTCGAAATTCAGATACTTTGAAGAAATTTCAAGCCACATATATTAAGTGGCAATTTTCTAATTGAATGAGTGTACATTTTGTTGTTATGATAATGCCCCACAAGAATAGAATGTATAATGTTTTGTTTTTACAATATTGTTCTAATCCTACTTGTAAAATAATGTATTTTTCATGCCCAGGTTAAGAAAATTTGGTTTCTTGATGTTGTTTTTGTTTGTATTTTTTTGTGTTTTTTTCTATTTGTGTATATATGTTATTCAAAATGTGTAATGTATATATTGTTATGTATATGCTATGTATATGCTGAGGCCCGCATGGAAGATCGGGAAACCAAATGTGTTAGCCTCATTAAATAAAGTCGTTACTTACTTACTACCCTACTACTTTACCTTACTGATATTTCTATGATTTTCATTGACTGTCAATGATATCAAGGTTAATTTTTAAAAATTCCATGACAAATTTGAATATGCATGTATATATACATGATATTTTCATGAGAATTTTGAATCTTTGCAATTCCATGATATTTTCAAGTGTAAGAGAACTCTGATAAAGTAAATTCTAGTCAGTCTGTTAACCCATTACGCGATATACACTCCTTTTTCACCCCCCCCCCTTTTTTTGTTGTCTCTAATGGTGAAAAAATGCCTTATTTAGGCCCCCAACACTTGTTTTTGTTTGAGAAATGTTGTTAAAAAAAGTGACCAGTTTTTCGGCGCGGCCCCCCAATCAAAAGATACTTCAGGGGTTTGCTAGAAGGGGGATGTGCCCCCTCATCGCCAAGAAAATTTTGGACTTGTGAGAGGCTATAAATGACCCCAGATTGATCATAAGGTAACATGTAACCAACGCTGAAAAGCATTTGACTCTATCTCAATCCATTGAGAAGTTGCAGCACTTTGAAATCAATTTTGATGGAAAAAATCAACGCAAAATAGTGATTTTTGGCAATTTTGAGATGTCCCCTCGTTGCCATGGTAACAGAAAATTTAAGCCTGAGCATGTTGTTTCAAGGGCAATGGTCCAGTCAACATTTGTGCCAAGTTTGATTAGTGTTGAAGCAGTTTTTATAGTATTATAGCAATTTGAACTTGTAACAGGAGACTTTTCAATGAAAACAGCCATTTTTCACAAAATGCTCATGAAGTAATGGGTTAACTGTATGTCAAGATAAAAATTCTTGCCATTAATTCTAAAATTATATCAACATTCATACTTGTCTTGTATAGCTTGGATAACCGGTTGTTGAGTAGCTGGTATCACATTAGCAGGTACTGTGTAAGCTGGCACAGTGTTAGCTGGCCTGATGTTAGCTGGCCTGATGTTAGCTGGCACAGTGTTAGCCGGGGCTACGTTAGCGTGTAGAGCTTCTCTACGTGCCAGCTGACTATCTAATCTTGACTTCTCTTCCGTACTCAGACTTGGACTACTACTGGCTGGAGCAGCTTCCCTAAAACAAGGATAAATGTGTGCTTTTAATAGAACTACTTCATTCCAGTTGATAAAAACCCAAAGAACAATAAGTACAGCAATCAATGACTGCCATATCATTCTACAGCCTATATAACAATATTCTTAGAGAATCATATCTGAAAATGGACATCACAAAAATAGACTGTCCACACACATGCTTTACTTATATTCAGTAGGATTAATAGATGAAAATACCTCAAGCTGTCTCTTAGACAGAAAATACATGTATAACTCAGTACAGTAGAATACATTTTTATTTTGTTCAGTTTCAGTTCACATCAAAATTGCAAATGTCAAAATGGTGATGTTACAAATAAGACATAGCCAAAAAGGCATGCTTGACAATTTTTGATACTTTGATATATGATAATACAATGTACATATGAAATGATATCAATCCATCTTATTCGTAATTATTTTTTAATTGTAAATAAAACAAATCAATTTGTTTTCATTAGTACTTACTTACCCTTTGTTACTTGTTACAGTGTGTTACATGTCACGGTATCTCACAAATAAAGACAGCTTATTGTAGGTCAGTGGTTCTACAGAAGAGCTTGCCTGTAGGACCTTACTAAACCAATAGAGCTAAAGATTGCCTTACAACTCAACTAGTCTCCAGATAAACTCAATCAAATGTAAATGAAAGACAACAGATGTGTTTTTTTGTCCTATAAACCAAAATCTCATGACAATCTTGATGAATTATTAGGAAAGAAAAATTTAACTGGAAACACACCTGCCCATAAACCTTTGAAGTCTAAGGAAGTCAACATCAGTTTCCTGTAAGCGTTTTCTTCTTTCTAGAATATCTGTCACTCGAGACTTTTCAAGTTCATCAAGGTATCGTCTTCGTTCTAGGATGTCATCTATCCTGCGTCGCTCTGCATACGGGTCATCTAGCCGATGTCTCTCTCCCATCAAACCATCAAGACGTCTACGTTCATCTAACATTCTCCTATAATTAATATAGAAAATCTCACACTTTAAAACAACTATCACATTAACGACTTTCAATAATTCCTATTGTAATGTTGTTGATTTCAAAACCAGTCAGTATTCTAAAGTCATTTTAGAAAGCTTGCTTAAAGAAAGTTTATACTTCGTTCCTAGCCTATTATGCTTGAAATAATGCATAAAAGGATGTTGGAGGTCTTCCTTTACCTATTAAATCTGTCATATTATCTCCATACTGGTTGTGGTAATTAAAATCCAATATTAGTGGTATAATCAATAACCCTATAATGGTCCCAATACTGGTGGTATAAATGACAATCTTATATTAGTGGTAATAGAAAGAGCATCGGAACACGAGGGTATCTGATTTGTACGAGGGGGTGTAGTCCCCGAGCATAAATCAGATTGCTGAGTGTTTTATTTGTAATATAAAACATAACCCAGTATGAGTGATATAATATGGGGGAGGGGGTTGTAAATTTAAACCAAACAATTTGGAGCATAAAATATAACCCAATGTAAATTATCATCTAACATTGGTGGTATGACACTGCAACCCCGTTACAATGCTCATGTTGGGGTTCAAGGTCTTAACACTGCGTTATAACCCGGTGCTGATATATAACCTTCATTGCAAAATTACTGCATTGACTGTCATATTGAACAAGTGTTATAGCAGATACAGTGCAAAAAAAAATACACATGAAAAAAAATAATGACAGGTGAACAATATGATTTTTTGGGACCCAAGGCCTATGAGTGTTATATTGAGTTTAGCGTTATAACGGGGCGCATTATAAGAGGGTGGCTGCTTATAAACATAACATACCAAATCAGCATAAAACAAATAAAACATGTTTCTAACCTTTCATACATGGGATCATCAACACCATATGGATCAAATCTGTCCCGGTATGAGGCCCTGAAATCATCCGGATATCTCCTCCTATAGTACGGGTCTCTAGAATCATCATATGGCGGTCGCCGTGAATCCATATAAGATGGCCGACGTGGGTCATCGTATGGTGGTCGACGTGCATCATCATATGCTTGCCGTCGTGCCTCATCGTATGGTGGCCGCCGTGCATCATCATATTGAGGTCGTCTTCTGTCATCATATGGTTGCCGTCGTGCTTCATCATAGGCAGGTCGTCTATTATAGTCATAGGGATCTTCTCTGTTTCGCTCATGGCTTTCCCGCATTGACCTTGACCAGACAACATGACACATTTATTACTACTTCAAGTCAAATAAGAACAGTCATATAAACTATTATGTACCTTGTTATTTGAAGCTAAAATAAAAGCTGTACAAATAGATTTAAATTAATGTTTTCCAATGTGGAAGGGCTTTTGTTTGCAATTAAATTTAATAGGATGGCTTTTGAAAAATTAATTGGAGCTATTGTCCCTCCCAAAGTTTTTTTTCAGTTTTAGGGGAATGGTGCAAGGGCCAAATGGGATGGGAAAAGTGTGTCACTGAGGGGGAAAAAGAAAAATCTGGAAACAGATAAAACAATTCTTTTTCTGTTAAATTGTGATGCAATACCATTTTTGTTTCAAACTACATGGCCCCCCTATGTCCAACTCATGATAAAATGTATCTTTTTTTTAAAGGGTAACTTTTTCAGAAATAGGGAAAAAATATATGCTATTTTGGAAAAAGGAATGGGGCAAAATTTTGGTTCTAAATTGACCCTAAAAAGAAATGCTCCCTGCTAGATGGGAAGGTATGAGGGTTTTTGTCTTACACTCTAGTAATGTGGTGAGGTGATTATACGTAACAAATACTTTCTTAAATTTTAAGTAATATGTATAAATTCAAACAGTAAATGTATTTTCCGTAGAAAAGTATTAGTACTAAAATATAAGTATTAAAATTTAGCAACAGTATCAAACTTAATCCAATCAAACTCTCTAATTACAATGTCCAATGTTGTCCTCAGCTTAAATGTTAAAATTTATTTTTTGAAGTCATTTTTGAAACTTAATATTAGAGATGTATTACAGAATTTTTACATGTACAGAATTACATCATATTAACATACATGTATTATTTCAGAAAATAAAATGAATTATTAAGATCATTCTAAAAGACATTCTTAAACTTCTGATCAAATATATTGACTAAAGAAAGCTACAGAAAATTGGCTGTTATAGAAAAGTATAGATCTTTCTACCTTCCCTCTGGAATATTTTCTGCCATCTTTGCCTTCTTATACGGGGGTTCTTTCACTTTTGACATTGATGGTAATTCTGAAATAAAAAGAAATATAAGATACATATTAGAAAACATTCTGAAAATCCTACATTTACAGCAATTTTGTTTATAATTTCATGCAGAAAGTGAACCCTTTAACAAGTCTAAGATTCACAATCAAAAATACTGCAAAATCATCATTATTCAATGAGCACCATTTTTTTTTGTGATTTTTGAGTGAATAGGTCTATCCACAAATTTAAGATCTAATGAAATTTTCTTTCATTTGCTGTTATGATTATTTCCATAAAATTATGTGCTTCCATCTTTTCTTGTTCGCAAAAACAGACAAAAACGGACAGTCCTCGAAATTGAGAACCCAAGAAAATGTCTTTTTTTTTGGACAAAAATACAAATTTCATGCCCACAAAACTAAGTGAATTCACAGTTATCATGAAAACTCAACCAAATCTTTCAAATCTGATAACATTAATAATATCAAAGATGAAACATCTGTGTTGCTGCAGTACTTAAATGTAAATAACAAATGACTACATGGTACTTCAGACTTTATCACTCAAATGTGCAGATATCTAATTCTGATGACAAAATCTCAAACTTACCGTAATGAAAACATTTGTACCTGTCATGCTTTGAATTCGAAAAACTGACCATTGGTAGTTACATCAGGAATCTCATTACCATAATAAATAAAAACTCAAAAGTGGGTTCTGACAACACTGCTTAAATGTAACAGGTAAGACTCCTTTCATCAGGGTAAACACCTATAATTATCACTTCTGAACTTGACAATGTTACCTCTAAACTTACCTTCATCAAATGTATCAGTGACACCTTCTTCTAACTCCTTAACTTTAACAGCCAATGCTTTTGAATGTCTTATCATTGTTTCCTGTTGGAAATACAGTATAATAATTAACATAATCATCTCAGGGACATGTTGATATTCCTTGCTTGACAGAGATGTATTTTTATCCCATTCCCTCCCCATCAACTTTTATATAGCAGATATTTCCATGTGATATTACTTCAATCTTTGTCAAACTTTGTATTAAAATGCAGCAATCATGTTTAAGGTTTTCAGACATGACAGTACAAGAAATATCTTTTCTGAGAGTTTTCAACTTTTTGATGTAGGTCTATAACAATAACTTGTGAGCAAAATTTCTTATTATTCACATACTTGAATTTTTTTTTTAAATTATTGCCTAAAATTACCAAAAATAGAAAGTTGTTTAAACCCTTTTAACACAAATTAGACTAAATATTGTTTTTTTTTTCAATTTACCTCACAGTATAATTCTTTATCATCTTTTCGTATTTTACCATTTTAAGAGTGCCGGTTGATCTTGATTTTCAAATGTCAATTTTTTTTAGACTTTTGGACCTTAGTGCAGCTTTTTTTTTCTCTAAAAATCTAACAATTACCAACCTTCAATTCATCTTCATCATCAAAGTTTTCAAGTTCAACTTTTATCTTGACTTCAGAACGCCCTAATTCTTTCTCAATCTGGATGGCAAAATCTTCAAGGTTTGCATTCATCTCCGATTTCTTTTTCTTTGAATTAAACTTTGTCATATGCTCGTACATCTGTGGATTCTTTATTTGCTGAAACAAAAATTACACCTCACCTATTAATGCAAAATGATAACCCTTAAAAACAAACTAGAATGAGATAAGTAAATAATTATGTAGGTGGGATATTTGTGTCAATTCTTCAAAAACAAAGGTACTCAACCATTACAATGCTAAATATCTTAAATACACTAATTCATCTGTCCATCTTGATGAAACAATTCAGCATGGGTTTTTCATATTTTGTTTGGTTTAACAGCCCACAAACACAATTTAGGTCATATGGCGCTGAAACAGGAAAAATAATTTTGGCTAACATCGGGTGTTACAAACAATTCAAAACCATTAATTAATTTTAGGTCAACTTTCAAAATAAGAAATGACCAAAGAGAGACCAGTGCAGACCATGAAAAATTGATGTAGGCTGATATAAAGTAATTTCATTTTATAGTCTAAGTTTCATGCTTACGCACGTTCACCGACTTTACAGCTATTACCCCTGGTCATCGGGCTACTGGTATCTATCTATCAATCTCCCTGGGGAATCTTTTAACTCCGCTTAGTGCAGCCGACACTTTGGCGCAACAGAATTATACCACCCTCGCAGGTACCCATTTACACCTTGGTGAAGTGAAGCAATCGCAGGTAAATTTCTTGCTCAAGGAAATTAGCAGTGCCCCTGGTTGGGTTTTGAACCCAGGACCTCTCGATCCCTAAGCACGCGTCCTACCACTGGACTACTGCTCCTACATATAAGTCTGCACTACTGGCATGGGTAGGATTACTACAGGATTAACTTAAATGTATACCTTTATTTTTGTTCAATGGACTAGGCCTGTATTGAAGGTGAAACTGCTGAATGCTCATATTGGAATTTTAACCTTTAACCTGTTGAAACTGAAAGTGATTAGCCTAAGCAACCAGTATAGAGCTTGGCAACACTGCATTTTGTTGATAGCTCAATTCTTGTATTCTAATATTGAAATCCTTAAACATAGATTGGAGTGTTCTAAATTCAAAGGTGGGTAAATCTATTAGACAGAATCAACAGGTTAAGAGTTTGAAATGTGTAAGTAAATCTACTGCTAACAATTTAACATCTGGTTAAACTTAATGGATACGCAGGAAAGCCCATTATAATGTATGTACATCTGGTTAGACATCATGGAAATGCAGGAAAGCCTATTCTTAGAATGTATGTATTTTAAGAAATTAGGGAAAAGTCTGTAGGAATCAATACCAAGATACTGAATTATGCAGTCTATCGCAGTTTATCTTTATAGATATATTTAACAAGCAATGAACTGTTTTGTCCTTTTCTAAATTTTCCCTAATTTCCCCTCTGTGACACATTTTCCTCAGCTTTGTGCCCTACACCAATTCCTCTAAAGGTGAAAGAAGCTCTGAATTGAAATGAAGACTGACTTCACTTTGATGGCTTACTTTTGTCAATTATATAGACTAAGTAAACTTTTCAAGGAGGCAGAACCCAAAAACTATGCCAGACATACAAAATACATATCAATAAAGTAGAAAATATTTACCATGTATTTAAGCCTATGTCTGAGCCCAATAACATGTGGAATAATTGTTGAACCGTCACATTTTGACTCGCACATATTACATACGTATCTTGCTGGGGACTTTATGTCAGTCTTCTGGAACTCTGTCACATACTCTAGACCTGAATATCAAATAAATGTACAAATTTTGTCATCTACTCTAGACAGACCTGAATATCAAATATAAATTTTGTCACATACCCCCAACCTGAATATAAAATTTTAATTTTTACAAATACTCCAGGATACCTGAATAAAAAAAAAATGCATTACTTTATATTCATGAAAGAAGGAGCCTAAATGGAGAATATCACTTTCCTTTAACAAATTTAGCTCTAATTAATGATTCATGCTAGTGACATTGCTTTAAAGCTATCCAACTATCCTATGTAAGCTCAATGGTCCTACACAGGTGCTTGCTTGTGTCTAATATTTACAACTCCAACCACCCAAAAAATTGTATTTGTATTATAAGACTTTGAACTTAACTTGTAACAACTAATTGTATGCCATTTCCAACAACTGTGTTGCTCTTGTGTTTCCCATTTAGCAACATGACTAAAGTGTTGTCATACTTCTGATGATTCTCAGAATGATTTAACAATGAAGCAAGGATAGTAAAAATAATGTTAGTGATTAAATCACAAGACATAATATCAACAATTCTCACCCAGTAAGGGTGCTGGGTTGTCTTTTACCATATCAGCAAACTTTGATGGTCGGTCTGTTGTTTGTACCATGACACCACTTGATGCTTGCTTTTTCTTCTTGATCTTTGCTGTAAAAAATCAATTTAATTATAATAAAAATTCTTCAGCTTTATGGACAAAAATCCACTGAGTAGTAACCCTACCTGAAGACCTAGCTTTACTCAGCATTAACTCTGCATTCTGCATACATTCCTGGCCCTGACTGAAGTACAAATTGTTTCATTCAGCAAGAAACTGCCAACTTCTTCACTTTAAACAATAAATGTTTCTGGGGTGAAGGTTGAATGGTTTTTGACATGTTTTCTTTACTGAAACTTTAATATCAAGGCTGTGCCTTTGCTTAAACCTAACATATCATGTTCAAAAACTCTTCTCATGGACTTATTTATATATATAATATCATATTTGTATTTCCATACTTGTGAAAATAAACATAGTTCTTGTATCTCAGTTATTGAAAATAGATTGTTTCAAAACTGAAGTTGGACAAGTCCAACCAGTTTTAGAAAATCCTGTAGGGTAATCAGGCCTAAAATAAAACATATTGCAGTTCTGATTGTATACATAACTGTAAGATGATCGCTAATCTGTTTGATATATATATATAGTTTATTACCGAGTATCAATACAAATGAAAACTCTGTTCCTCAAAACATTATCTCATAGTCTATTGGTCAGGTTCAACATATTCAAAACTATATAGCAACATATTTTTGAATAATATATTAATCATATATAATCATTTAAAAAAAAAAGCTTGAAGAAAGAGTATCCTAAGCAGTATTTAAATTTTCAAACATTTAATCATAAATTTTTTATAAATTCTATGTGTTATTATTAATTACATTGCTCATTAGCAATAGGAGAGGCTCTCCTAAAGTCAATGCACTTTTTTTTTTAATGTAAATGATTATTATTGTAACAGACTCAATTCAACTATCTCTTTATTCTGTACTGTGAATCTTTCTTCTGTCTGACATTTTTCATGTCTGCATATACAATATTTCATTTTATTTATCTTGATAGAATCATGTGTATTTTCTAAAAAAAAATAATTAAATAATGGTACAGAGAAATACAATAAGAGACACAATTGTATTTTCCACAACTTTTTTTTAAGGATGGTATTAAGTTCGATCAATTTAACATGATAATATTTTTTCAATTAACAATCAAATTATAAATAAATGCATTCTAAGCATCCTTATGCATTAACAAGTGAGTACAATATCTTTATATACTAGGATGAAAAAGAAACGCCGGGTACATAAAATATGCAACACATATTTTATTGCTTGGCCTAAAATAATGAAAATCGGTCAGATTTATATAATGCCCCATGTCACCAGAGTTTGCCAGCAATTTCTTGCCAACAGTAACATACACCCACTCGATTGGCCAGCATTCAGTCCAGATTTGTCCCCAATTGAACATTTGTGGGACGAACTGGATAGGAGGGTAAGGAGACGTCCAAATGCCCCCACTAATCATGTCCAGCTCACACATGCCTTGCATGAAGAATGGAATAACATCCCCATGGCCATGATTAACACCCTTGTGAATTCCATGCATAGACGGATCAGGGCTGCCACAGCTGCGCATGGAGGACACACAAGATACTGATATGTCCGGCCGTGTTTCGCAAAACAAGAAGGGTCATCGTTAAAAGGGGGTATTTTTTCACATAATCAGCATCGGAAATCGATTGAAACTTCAACAGCTGGTTCCATACAGATGACATTTCATACAAAAATGAATATAATAATCCAATAATACAATTTATCCCTTAAAACAATCATTATAGGTTACCCGGCGTTTCTTTTTCGTCCTAGTATATATATTTTTTGTTCATTTTGATTCACATGTATGTTAAGCTACATATTTTAAAAGTGATCTGTATCATAATCTTATAGTATTTGAAAATTATTATTATAATAGTCACTTCATGCTTTTAAATAATTTTTTTAAAAAAGAGCTAAATATTAGTTTTCTTTCATTTTCATATATTTTACTTTAGAACAAAATAAGGACTAAATTACAGAGTAAGACTAAATAAAGTGTTCACTGTTAGAGCACCACACTAAAATTAATACTGTATTCCAGTACATACCATACAAGGCGCTTGAATGATTAAATGCTAAAATCTTGGCTTTTCATCCAATGAACTGAACTTTAAAACAGCTAATTCCTTACTTAACACTGGTTTATAAATGATAACGTATGAAAAATGTAAGAATCAGTGAAACAAGAGCTGTCAGAAGGACAGCGCGCTCGACTTTTTTAGTGCTTGCCTATAAAACAAAACTTTGACAGTTAAGGGCACACAAGACTTTAACTAGGAATTTCTAAGTACAAATCAAGAAACATTTTCACAGAGTTATCTTCTCTTGCTTACAGATAGGTCTCATGATGGCACATAAGAACTCCAACTTCCAAAGTAATATCTCAAATGGTTAGGTCAACAAGTGGACAAGAATGAAAATTTTAACTGAGTTTCTAAGTCAAAAAGGGCCATAATTCAAATAAAATCCTTAACAGAATTACCTTCTCCTGCCCATGTTTGGGACCATGATGGTAAACAAGTATTCCAACTTTCAATTTAATATCTCAACCAGTTCAGTCAAAAAGTTGACTGGTACAAAAAACTTAACCAAGATTCTAAGTCGATAAAAGGCCTTAATTTTTAAAACAAATCCCTGACAGAGTTACCTTCTCTTGCGTACAGATGGGGGTAATGATGTGAAATAGCATTAAAAGTTTCAAAGCAATATCTCAAAGGGTTAAGGCAATAAGTGGATTTTACCCATATTCAATGTATTTTCTAAGTCAAAAAGGGGCATAATTCTGTCAAAAACCTTGACAGAGTTATGTCCTCTTGTCTGTTGATGAAGGTCGTGATGGTAAACAAGTATGGTCAGTTTCAAAGCAATACCTCCAATGGTTTTGAAATAAAGTGAGGTGGTACAAAAAACTTAACCAAGCTCAATACACTTTCTAAGTCAAAAAAGGGCCATAATTCTGTCAAAAACCTTGACAGAGTTATGTACTCTTGTCTGTAGATGGAGGTTATGATGGTGAACAAGTATGGTAAGTTTCAAAGCCATACTTGTAATACTTCTGAAATAAAGTGGGGTGGTACGAAAAACTTAACCAAGGTGTGACGCCGACGCCGACGCCGGGGCGAGTAGGATAGCTCCCCTTTTCATAGAAAAGCAAGCTAAAAAGCGATATTTTCAGTTACAGAAGTATATTAATGTTAACTCTTCAATTGCTGATTTTGTATTATAAATTTGTCCTGCACTGAATTTGGAACAGTTCACTTGTTTGTTTTCATTGTGTTTTACATCACATATGGCGACGTTCCAGCTTTACTGGTGGAGGAAGACCTCAGATGCCCTTCCGTGCATTATTTCAGGCACAAATGGGCACCAGAGTAGAACTATCCACGTTCCGTAAGGTAGCTGGATAGCTTCCTTACATGAAATAACCCCAAATTGGTGAGGGGCAAGTGGTTTGTGGTTTGAAGTCAACGACCTTAACCACTCGGCCACAGACGCCCTCCAACAGTCCATTTGACTGAGGGGGTAACAGTACAGAGCCTGGTCAGACATCACCAATGTGCAGGATGACCTATTGTAGCAAAGGCTAAATTACTTGAACGGTAAATGTATTACAAACTGCATGTTGCCTTGATTGGACAATGTAATAATGGGCACAATAACCATGTGGATCAGTAGATCTGTAGTACTAAGTTACTATCTACAATTTGCTATTAATACTTAGCCTGCTAACAGCCAGTGTTAATAATGTAACCAATGAGACAAGTGCAAGATCAGCTGGCACATCCGTGTTGTCTGATCATGGTCTCAACTACTCAATATTCAGTCAACACATAATTTATAGTTTTCCCATAAAATTGATAAAAGGTCTTGTCCAGAATGTGAAATATGGACAAGTCCATTTAATATATTTATTTAGCATGGTAAAGATTAAGCTACCTTTCGTAGCATCAGTCTAAGTTACAATCAAACTAGCATTCACACATGAAATTATGCATTAAAGAGAGATTATCTTCGTCTTCTTTATTTGTTTTCCTGTATCTGGATCAAACACATTGTTATTGCAACTTTGACATTTTATATGTCAGATCATATCTAAAGAATGGCATAAATAGAGAATATTGAACGAGTGTAGGATCAATACTGAATATATTGAACAAGTTGAATAAAATTATATTTTATGCAAGCCTATGGCGGTCAAAATATTTTTTTATTCAACAAGTTCTTTAATTTAGAAATGAAGCTACACACACAAAAAAAATTCTCTATGTATCACATACCAAAAATTAGACCCGTTTACAGTAAAAGACATCACTATTTCATTGAAGGGCATTTCAATTAATGCTGACAATAAGCAGGTCTTTATATTATATTTGTATAATGCAAATGATGTCATGCCCAAATATATGCACAGCTGTGCAATACCATCTTTGTAAAAGCAGCACAGTATGTGATAATTTGTGTATTGAATACAATATTCTATTTATCACAATTTTTCATTGACATGCCTATAGTGTAATGCCAACAATAGCACGTTTTATTGCTACGTTTTTATATATTGAAAATGATATCACATCAAAGAGTTATTACTGTTTTTATTAAATGGGTTTGTTTATTACACTCCAGCTGTTGTTGAAAGATAAAATTCCCCTATTTTCTTCAAAACAATGCAGAATTCTCCTACCTGAAGGCCCCAGTCCCTTTTATCAAGCAGTTAGGTCCATGACTGTACAAAGTCAATACAAAGGTGTGAAATCATTTAAGAGTAATAAACTTATCTGAATATTGTAAACCAAATATGAGATCAGGTTTTTTTTAAATCCCTTGCCCCACATCATTACAACTGTGTTGTAAATACAACTTTATCTTAAACAGTGAATTCACATCTGATTTCATCTCAACATTCAACTGATTTTCTCTGATAAACTGCATCCTCCAGAATATAAACATTTTGTAAATTCTTCTTTTCATTATAAAGTTTTGGCTTCTTGGCTTCTCCTGAATATGTATCAACTTCTGGTGTTAACTCTAAAACACTGTTGGCTTCCATAAGTCTCTAAACAAAACATTTCAGCTTTGGTGTATTCTTTGACAGTTTTTTCATTTGCAATAAGACATGTCTCTTGTAAGTCTCTGCTGACAGTTTCTTTATATAATCATTCTCCTCTGATTCAACTCTCAAAAACTTGAGATCACCAACATTGATGTTTTCATCAAAATACCATGTGACAATACTAATTCATCTGTTCCGCAAAACTTCTATACAAGTTGTTTTTTTTCAACCTATATTCCTGTTGCTTTTTTCTCTCAATCTTCTTATAAATTCCTGTACAAATACTTCTTAAACGATAAACAAACTGCAGTGTAGCATATAATACTTACATTCTTACATATGAATATATTTGAGCCGCGTCACTACAAAAGCAACATAATCTATGCTGGTCACAAACGCACTATCTTGGTTTTGTCGTGACACGGCTCATTTCCTGAATAAGAATACAGCATGTCCAACAGAAGGCCTTAATATGCTGATTGCAGTCATTTTCAAGTAGTAGAACTAAGCCAAAAACTGTCAAATATGTAAAATACTAGACTTCATAATTAATGAGTTGTGATATGTCAAAGGGAATCCAGTATTTTGCTTATTGAACTGTTTAAGGCTTATATCTAACTTAAATTACTGCTTTGAATATCAAATTTCATATTATTTTTTCTCATGTAACTATCAATTCCTACACATGTATATCAGTTAGAACAGGGAGATGTAGGACAAATGTCACACTGTTGACAACTAGAGCTGTCATCGATATCGACAATATCGATGTATCATTGATATTTTTTTGCCGATCAATAATCGATACACATTCTAAAAAATCGATACTTTTGACTAATAAATTAAATGTCTAGAAATTATAAAATTCACCCAAAATATATACAGAAGCAGTTATTTATATCTAATGTTATGCTTTTGTTATATAGTGGAATTATTTCATAGCAATGGTGACAAAAAATATTTTCTAGAAAAAAATCATGCAGTGGACAAGACACTGTACAGAACATGTTTTTGACTGAAATCATTGAAACAGGTATGAAAGTGAATGACAGACAAGTGAGTATAGGATATTATCGATATATCGGTGTATCGTTGATTTTAGTCACTTGATATCGATATATTGTTGATATGCTTTGCACTGAATCAATGACAGCTCTATTGACAACAAAATTGCCACGGAAAAACCTTGTGCGTCTAATAGGGGATTTACACATGAGAAACCATCATGTTCTTGACACAAGTCATATAAAACGAATGTGGAAGAAGAAAAGATTGTAATATGATGTATTAAACAAAATCGTTGAAATTATGGACTGTCAAATTTTTTAGACAGTGACTTCAAAAGGATTTATTTTGAAGGAAATATTCAATTACAAATCAAATCAAAACACTAAATTTGATTCTTATAAGGGAAGTAACCAATTAAATGTTTGCTTTTCTTTACTGCAAAGGCAGAAAAATCAACTGCCAGTATTGCCCAGATTGTCACACAGTCTATCGAACATGTGAAATTTTACCTAAATTGACTTTATCATACAGACAAGTAAAGAAAGTTGAATTAAGAATGAAGTATGTCAAAATTTTGCCGGTTCTAATTCCGCTACATTAATCTTTTTTACATTTTTTGTTTTTTTGTTTTTTTGTTATTTTTTTTTTTGTTATTTGATATCTCCTTTTTTGATTCAACCATGTCTTAATACTGGCATGAAATTTCAATCATGACTGAATTATAAAATTACATTTAATCCTTAATATACCATTTTTTAAATTTTTAATTTGTTTTTTTTAAATCTTATACAAATTTAAAGAATGATTTGGTAAAGTAAATTATCATTTCACTCACCACCCTGTTTAGCAGCCTCTATGTTCTGAAACAGAAAAGAAAAAACTTGTTTAATACAAAGTCATTAAAAACATAAAGTTACAAAGCTTTTAGCCTACCACTTTTAAAGAATCACTTAAACTTTTATTTAAATAAAAAAAAAGTTTTGTATTTTTTTTCTCATTTAAAGGATAAGAAATTTTCATTTATAAAGAAAATGAAAAATATAAACAAATGGCATTATAAAGTAACCCTTCTTAATTAACAAAAACAATATGATAGTGTATGGATATTGTGCCTAGGATTCTATACATACCATTCTCACCACTGAAATATGCCCTGCATTCTTAAAAACCCTATGATCAACTTATGTTACAAATCAAAGGAATGACAAAACTTGCCTTTCATTTTTTTAAGGGGGTTGACTACAACACAGGTGTTCTCCTAAAATTTTTTAATTTTTCTAAAAAGAAAGTTTGCATATGTACAAAGGGTTTTCAGCAAGGTTTAAATTTCCCCTTTTTGGAATCTTTTTATCCTTGCATTTAAAAACTGTACCCATTGTAAAACCAATTGGGATAACAATAAAATCAACAAAGAGCTTTTCATAGTTGTTGGGAAAAGCAAAAGCCCCGACTATTCTTTAAGTTTTATAGTGTTTTTAGAGCCCAGATAAAGTTAAAAAATTACAAGAGGAAAAATTTCAAAACAAGACGGAAAAAAACCAAAAATGCTCGACTATTCTCAAGGGTTTATAGTGGGTTTTTCATTAAAAAACAGGAAACTTGAAAAATTTTTCCCAGAAAGGGCATTAAGTGACAAAAAATTTATCCCCAAAAACCATGCCAAGTTATTTCTTTTTGGAAATGACTTTTCCCAAATATAATTTTGATATATCATTTAGAATATACCATCAGCAAGTACCTTTAACCAGGAATTTTTTAAGTTCATTAAAGGCCAGTAATCACTCAAAGTTCATGTCAGAGTTATGGGCCTTGGACAGTGACCTTAATCATGATCCTGGTCTTCTGCTGCAGAAAAGTTTAATAGTTTAGAAGATTGAAATTGAATCAGAAACATTAACAAGAAAATTTATTAAGTTTACAAATAAACTAAAATTCATTCAAAATCCATGACAAAAGTTGGTCTTGCACAAAGATTTCTGAAGGCATGTTTTAAGTTACAAGTGAATAAACTTTCAGTAGTTTTGAAGACTGATCTTTCATGTAAAACTAGGAATTTTCTATTTCAAAAAGTCCATAATTCAATTAAAATGCATGTCTGCATTTTATTCCTTGGATAGTAACTTTAGATTATGACCTCAAAGACATGGGGTAGAGTTAAAAGAAAATATTTTTAGAAGTTGACATGATATGAGTATGTATGCAAAACTTTAAACCAGAGTGCTAAGCCAATGATCACACCCATTATTCTGAATAATACAGCCCCATTATTCTTCAAATAGTATAGCTTAAATTGAGTGTTATGAGCAAATAACTCCATGGCTATTTTTTTTTATAATTTCTTTATTCTAATTTCTATAATAATGAAGTTTATTATGCAAACACGAAACATACATGTATAATATGCATTATATTCTAAAAGAGTTTGTACAAGGTTATCCATTGCCTAAGTCTATGTATATATTTATCAAGCTTATTTTTTTCAAAAGAGTGCCAGAACAAGAAAATTAAATATAAAAGAGTTTTCTCATTTCAATAAGTTACTGACTATCGGTAGATTTTATAAAAACATTTAGGGGGAAAATTTAAATTTCAAAAAAATCTTTAGTAAATTTTTGAAGATAAGGGAAAAAACCCCCTGGAAATCTTTTAAATTTTTCAAAACCATGTCAGGGTTTTTCGTGAATGGATAGTGACCTCCAATTTATCATTTTAAAGGGCCAAAAATTTAGGACCAAATGGAACATAAATTAATTTCATGGGAATAATTTTTATACCCCAAAATTCTTTGACAAAATTTAAAAAAAATTTTTGTTAATTTTAAAATCGTAAAAATTTTATTCTTTAAATTTTAAAACCCAAAAAAGTTTCCCTTTAAATGAAAAAAAATTGTTTTAAATTTTTACCCGGAAAATATCTCCGAAAACCAACCGTCTTTCATTAAAAATTTGATAATTTTAAATTTTAAACAAAAAGAATTTTTGATTCATTTCACAATATTTTGATTTTGCTGCTATAGGCAAACAAACAGAATTCATAAAAAAAACTTAGAAAAATAAATACACACTCTTTAAAAATTCCCGGACCATGATGTAATTTTTTAACAGATTTACAGCAAAGGTTTGTGACATGTTACTGTTGTATAAACATAACCCTTGCATTAAACCTGATTCTCCTTAAATCCTTTATAACTGTCCTTCGAGATTTGAGTGTTTCAATCCATGCCAAGAAGAAACTTTTAAGAAGTAATTCCTTAAACTGTTTCATAAGCATGAATTGAAAAGTTTTTTTTCCGCGCTCGCTTCAATAATTGGCTAAAATTCGCCACAGAGTCAAACATCAAAATACCTGTACACAGAATCAAGTACTGGTAGTGACGCAACACTGTTCTTTTTATTTCAAATAAATTTTGTTAATCTTACTACTATGCTATTTAAGCCAATTTCTGGTTGCAGAAAAAGCTTAAATATTGCAAAAATCATTATTATTTGTGGGGCACTTATTTTCCTGGTTTTTGTGGATAGGTCAATCTACAATTTTAAGATCCATCTCCACTGTAAGATTATTTTGCATTACATTATTGACATTTAACCTTCTCGAAAAATTTAACACCCCAAAAATTTTTAAATCCCCACAAAAAAATTTTTTTTTACAAACCAAAATTTATGTCCATAAAAATTAAAGGGAAATTACAAAACAAATAATTTTAGTCTAAAATTTCAATATTTTTACCTATTATAGACATTAAAGAAAAAAACAACAAAAAATTTCAAGAAAACTATCAAAAAATCAGGGGGTTTACTATTTTCATGCTTAATTAACCAAGTCGCTTTTTTTGCCCCCAAAATTTTTTTCATTCATAAAGGGGAAAAATTTAAATTCAATAAAAATTCTATGCCAGAGTTATGAAACTTGGTCTTTGATCTAAATTAAGGACCACAAATGCTTTGTGATAAAGGTGAATCCACATATTAAGCTTCAATGTACCAGTGATAGCATTGTTAGTATTGAAGATATTGACCATAAAAACAGACAACTTTTATGTATCAGTATTACATCCTTTGTAACAACTTGTGAGATTTTAAAATACATTTGATATAGATTTCTGAAATTCTATTTTAATCAATTATTTAATAACAAGAAAACAAATTGCTTTTCTTGTCATTTTATCATCAAAAACATTTCTTTCAATTTGCTTCTTTTCATTCCTTCAGGTATTACATCTACCAATAGCTTATAATGCATGTGGCAAACTTAATCATTTTTTTTTTATTAGGAAACTTCAAAAGATTTTCTACGCAAGCAATTAATGCTTGACAATTTCATCACTGTATATAGGAAATTATTCAGAAAGCTTTTTGCTATCAATTATCTACTGTATAAGTGGTAAAGTAAGTGACATGGAAATATTAGCATTTTATGTAAGTTTATGAAAATAGCGAAAAATATCAGCCAGTAAGAATTTCCCATGTCTTTCAGTAACTTGGTAGATATTAGAACAATTGCTAACTTTCAATCTTATAATCATTCTACCAATGAATCATTGATAAACCTGACTGACATTACCAGTGTGACATCACCCAGGTATTCAAACAGTAGTCTGTGCTTAGTAACATAAATAGATTTCAGTTTTCACACACATGATGAAATTGGGAGTAATATTCATTCAACCAATACGAAATATTGAAGGTATTACTGAAGATTTTATTCTTAAAAATAGTAATTTGGGATTCACAAATGTTTCCACATGTGAAATATCTTAAAACTCTGAAATAATGAATGCTGGGAACTTTTTGATGTGTGAAAATATCAATTTATACAGTATTCATATTGCATACCAGTGTGTCAAAGTGTAAAACACATTTAAATATGCTTGTTAAATGACACTATTTTATCATCTAACAAAATGCATGTGCATGTACAAATATATACAAATGTACAAGTATTAATAATATAAGAACGGAAAATGATAAACCAATGCTTTTTAAATCACAAAATGAGAATGTTTTTTTTGTCTTTCTTTTTCATATCAAAACTAATCCACAAATTAACTTGAACTGATCTCCTAAAATTTCTCCATTTGACTTATTAATGTAACTAATGATTCATACCATTTTAACAATATCAATTTACAATGTTTAACAAACTACAAATTTATTATATAAAAGCTTGTTTTTATTAATAATACTGTTGTACAAGAAAGTTGTAAAAATCATGAAATTATTTCAGAGACTTTTTATCACAAATATTGAAATTTAATAAGATTACTAAAGATAAATATCTTAATGTAAGAAAATAACTGATTTCTGAAAGGAGATCATATTATGCAAAGATATAAAATATTTTAAACTTACACTTTTATGTTGCCTGCCTTCAATATGCATCTTGAAAGCACTTGCTCCTGTACATTTCACGTTACACAACTAAAATAAACAAAACAAATAAACATAGGTTGCAAAACTAGTTCTGAAACATTTAAGCCTCTTCTGAAATTGCATATATCTTTCAAAGAACTGTGAGAAATTTAGGAATGTTTAAGTAATCTAGGATAACTGTTAAATGATATAGAGACTTTGAAGACAGGAATTACAATGAATATTTAGTTGTCCTTTTTTCAACACTAAGAAAATGCTACCAACACCAAGTTGTGAAAAATGCCTCGTAAGAAAAAAAAGGAATTTTTTAATTACTGTTGATTGCATAATGTCTGCTTTCTATAGACTTTGTATCTATACTTCCTGTATAAGTAATGAAAAGTTCCCTTGTTTTATAGAAATACGTTTAAAAACAAGAAGCGCCGCAATGCGACAAAAACCAGGTTTTCAACGATCAAGTTTTGATGTGACAGCAATCAATAGGTCAAAGTGCACTGAAGCTATTGAGTAGAAGCTGAACATTCTATTGTAAGCAAATGACCTTGAACTTGCTCCCAGATATCTAAGTGGCAAATCCACTGCCACTCAGCAAACTTGGTGTCAAAAGGTCAAAGCAAACTCAAGTTATAAAATGAAAACTAAATACATTAACCTTGATCACAGACACCTGGGTAACAATCCCAAGCTGCCTCTTGATATAAGCTATCCATTCATCAAGTTTGGTGTCAATAGGCCAAAGCAAACTCAAGTTATTGAGCAGAAACTGAATTTCTATTTTTAGTAACAGTGACCTTGGCCTTGATAGCAGACACCTGGGTGGCAATCCAAAGCTGCCTCTTGATATAAGCTATCCATACACCAAGTTTGGTGTCAATAGGCCAAAGCAAACTCAAGTTATTGAGCAGAAACTGAATTTCTATTTTTAGTAACAGTGACCTTGACCTTGATAACAGACACCTGGATAGCAATCCCAAGCTGCCTCTTGATATAAGCTATCCATACACCAAGTTTGGTGTTAATAAGCCAAAGAAAACTCAAGTTATTGAGCAGAAACTGAATTTCTATTTTTAGTAACAGTGACCTTGACCTTGATCACAGACACCTGGGTGGCAATCCAAAGCTGCCTCTTAATATAAGCTATCCATACACCAAGTTTAGTGTCAATAGGCCAAAGCAAACTCAAGTTATTGAGCAGAAACTGAATTTCTATTTTTAGTAACAGTGACCTTGACCTTGATCACAGACACCTGGGTAGCAATCCAAAGCTGCCTCTTGATATAAACTATCCATACACCAAGTTTGGTGTCAATAGGCCATAGCAAACTCAAGTTATTGAGCAGAAACTGAATTTCTATTTTTAGTAACAGTGACCTTGACCTTGATTACAGATATCTGGGTAGCAATCCCAAGCTACCTCTTGATATAAGCTATCCATACACCAAGTTTGGTGTCAATAGGCCAAAGCAAACTCAAGTTACTGAGCGGAAACTGAATTTCTATTTTAGTAACAGTGACCTTGACCTTGATCACAGACACCTGGGTAGCAATCCCAAGCTGCCTCTTGATATAAGCTACCTACACACCAAGTTTGGTGTCAATAGGCCAAAGCAAACTAAAGTTATTCAGCGAAAACCAAAAGTTGACGCCCGCCCGCCGACTTCGGCATTACAATAACCCGGTTTTCGTTGAAAACCTGGTTAAAAAAATTAACAACAACATCAATACATATTGACAAATGGGAAATAAATTTAAACTTCTCATTTAGGGAAAAAACATATGTTTTGGCATGTACTGGTAGTAATTATATAAGGGGGAAAAGGCCAGCTAAGCATACAGATTGTTTTGAATCAACACTAAGTGTTTCTAACACAATGAGATTTACCTATACACAGACCAGTATACAAGTTATGATTTCTCCTGAAATTGGCTACAGGCAACAGCTAATGTTCGTCAATTTTAAAAGTACAAACATAAATTTAAATATTTTATGTGAATGTTGGTTTACATATGCCATAAAATTATATACAATCTTTAAGGGCATACAATTTTATGATGTTTTTTCATATTGTTGAGCAGTATGCATAGATCCCTGACCTATATAATTCTAATTATCAGATTAGTGGATAAAATAAGAATTTTGTCACAACATATTTGTTAACAAAAGAGCACATGTTAATGCTTATGGTTAAATCTTTTGTTATTCAAATAAAAGGTGAGAGTAGGGATATATCAATTATCAATACCTATACCTTCAGTTAGGTATAACTATAACAAAAAGCAAGACTTAGATACATGTATAATAACACCTACGCCATTTTATAATAGGTACCATAAATTATAAATTATCAGTTAAATACAATGCCATCTAGGAACAGAATATTTTACTTACTGGACATACAAAGTCATCTGGCAAAGGACATCTGCCGATTTCATTAGGGTTAAGATCTCTACTGTCTGGGTTTTTGTTGTCTTGCATGTATTTTAAAACATCTTCATCAAGATTCATCCAGTTCTCCTCGTAGTCATACTCTGGCTCATCTGGTACTGGTGCTGGTTTCTTAGGTTCAGGAATGTTTACCTCTAATAAAGAGAAAATAATTAATGAGCCGCACCATGACAAAACCAACATAGTGCGTTTGCGACCAGCATGGATCCAGACCAGCCTGTGCATCCATTCAGTCTGATCAGGATCCATGCTGTTCGCTATCAGTTTCTCTACTTGTTATAGGGTTTGTAAGCGAACAGCATGGATCCTGATCAGACTGATTGGATGCGCAGGCTGGTCTGGATCCATGCTGGTCGCAAACACATAATGTTGGTTTTGTTATGGTGTGGCTCATTTTAAGAGCTAAACATTAACCTTTAAAGAACACTTTTATCAGTAGCTTTAACCCAGGAAGCAAACATCAGCTTCCATAAAACAGCGGGCTTGACTATTCTCAGTGCCTGACAGTAAGAGAAGATGCATAAATAGGTAACTAGGAGTTTTCGGACCTGTGCCCATCACCATAGATAATCACAGAAAACAAGTGTGTGAAGTTTCAACCCATTCTCATCAGCAGTTTTGGAGATGCCAACTTGCAAAAACTTAATCAAAATATGACTTTGATAATGAGTTGAAATCAATACATGTAGCTTTTCCTTTTCTTCCAATAGTCAAGTTAAAAATGCCCTGTGTATTTGACACAAGTTAACATGTAAACTCAGTCAAGCCTGAACATCTGTGCGGGGGTAGATTAGGCTCTATATTGTAAGCTGGTCAATCTTTAATATTTTGATATTAAAATCTCATTAATTACTTAATTTATTGTTTTGTTGTAGATCCAAAGCAGGACAAGCATGATACACAATGCCAGCTGGGTACCGGTTAATACACAATCCAGGTACCGGTTAATAAAATACAACTACACTTAATATTATGACAAATCAGCAATTACTGGTTTTATATTGACCTCCATAGGCATGTGGTTAAGGTCAATGATTATCAAGGCCATTACAGGCCTATATCCAAATCCCAAAAGTGACATTTAAGTCAAGTTAGTACATTGATCCACAGCATAAAATTTTTTTGCCTGAATTAACTCTTACAGTAAAATATTGGCTATTCAACAGCTTCTAACTTAGTAGAGCCTGATATTCATTTAATCATCTTAAAGCTCCATGCCTCCAGATGAGTCAAAATATTTCAATAAAATCAAACTAAAGAAAAATGTAATAAATTTTTAGGAAAGTAAAAAGATTCAAGATTCAAGTAATATTTTACATGTTCTTTGTGATAAATGATTTTTCAGTATTTACAACTATATTTCTACTGTGTTACTAACACATTAAGGGCTATTTATGCATATTTTGACAACTTCTTTGTAATTTACTTGGTTTGTAAGTGCCATTGATAATGTAAATTGCTTCCTTTTGGTTACTTCACAATATTAAAGATTCAGATACATTTTCAAAATTTTCATGAAAATTAGCATGAATCTGGAGGTGTGCTGCTTTAACCTTAATACCTTTAAAAAAATGTTTACCAAAACATATATCAATAAGAAATATTAACAAAAATTGATATAAAAAAATTCTCTTTCCATCTACTTTACATATATCCCCATTGAAATCAATTCAGTTTAAATTTATAACTTAACAATAAATTATAAAACATTTCTTTCTAGTTTTTTTAAGCAGGTGCAGTGTGATAATAAAGTATCTTTAAAACTGGAAGAAAATTTAAAATCATTTTTTCTCACCTAGTACACTGGGCTCTACCTTTTCTTTCTGGAATCTGGCATCTCCTTTCTCTGCTTTAGCCTGCATAACTAGAGTTGTATGTTGTAACCCACGTGTATGGGCATGATACGCCTGTAAAAAACATTCAACCATCTCAGTGACAAATACAGGCTATTTCTAACATCTTCATGATGGCAGCTTAACAATAACATAACATTAAGAGAAATTAAGGAACCTCTTATTCCATAAATGCATATTGTCCTCCTAAACACTTTTTATATATACAAAAAAAAATATGTCTATATCAACTGTATTAATTCACAGCAGTAATGTGTGGTTAAAGCAAGTGATGCTATGATTCATCTACAATTTTGAACAGGTTTGTTCAGATAAAGATTTATTCCATATAGTATACCAGGCTCGTTGCTAAGATTTTATTCCAGATATTCTTAACATGATAATCATCTAAGTAATGTAAAGACTAAAGTATTACAACTTGATGAGAAGCTGACATAGAATACAATGTATCAAGTAGTTAACTTTTAACATACTGATACCATGGAACCAGTGCAGACCAAGATCAGCTGGCACATACGTGCAGGCAATGTTCCCCTTTCATATTAAAAGATGGACAGGTCCATTTAAGATATTTAGTATTATAAAAAAAAATTTTTTTGGCTCCTTATATTTGGACATAACAAAATAATCTAAAGTAAAAATTTGTTGTGCTGTATGAATCTTCTATTGGAGCTTAATTTACCTTTGGTGTGCTGAAATTCAACTTGCAGTATATACAGAAATCAGTATCTTCATCAGATGAATCACTTTCATTATCCTCATTTGATCCTTCTTTTGTCTCTTCTGTGGTTTCCTTCTCATCCTTTGGCAGTTCCTCTTTCTTTTGCTGTTCTACTTTTCCAGACAATTCTTCTTTCTTTTGCTGTTCTACTTTTCCAGGCAATTCCTCTTTCTTTTGCTGTTTTTCATTTCTTTGTGATTCCTCTTTCTTAGATAATTCTCCTACTTTATCTGCTTCCTCTTTATTAGGTAATTTGTTTTCTTGAAGTTCTCCCATTGGTTTTTCTTTATCCTTTCCTTCCTTGGCATCCAACACTACTTTCTCATCTGACTTCTTTTCTTGAGGCTGTCCTAACTTGACTGTCTTTTCAACTCCAGTTTTGTTTTCCAAATGAAATTTTGTTTGAATGTTTGTATTTCCAGTATTACCTGATACTCTATTAAACTGTCCTTTTCCAGAACTATTAAGGTTAACATTTTGTTCAGGTTTCATTGACTCACCAAACTGTCCAAAGCTATGTGCTCCTCTCTGCTTTTGAAATGGTCTCCTAGCAGAATTAGATTTCAATTGTCCTCTACCTCGAGCTGAAAAATAACAAGATAAACTACATGTAATTTATAAATATTCAAAGATTCTTTCAGAAATACAATTACAATGTACAATTACAAAGTAAATCTGCCAAAGTTTTGAGTGTAGAATAGTTTTTTTACAGGTTATTCAGTGACCAATTCATTCCTAGAGGCTGTAGTTGAACCACAATCTCCGGAAACTGCATCCCTTGAAATGCTTCTACAGTAATAAAGAAAATTGAAGGAAAAATATAGATCTCTCGCTTTAGGACCAAAACTGTCCATCTATTAAAAGAATTATTACCATACATTCATGATGTAAAACTTTCACCTAGCCTCCACTTTCTTTGGTCATGCATTTGTTAAAGAATAAAGACCTTACACAAGTTTATAAAAAAAATAAATCAAGCGGCTTATTTACTATTTACTAATTTTCTATTTACTGTATTACCAAAGATAAAGTGAGTCATGTGGTTTAGGCACAGTGTGACTGTTCTTCCTCAATTTTGGGAAGACCAGTCAGTTTAAGTTCAAACTGTGACTCACCTTTCACGCTTATGAACATATCAACTTTTTGATGTTTTATGAACAGGAATATAGAATTTATGATTTTAATTAATCAAATGATAGTATCCAAAAAAAAAATTCAATAAACACCCTATGGAATCTCCAGCTAAAAATCTCCTGGATCCCTCACAATCATTTCAGATCCATGGGATCTGGATGCCTTGTTTCACCCATAATTTTCCTTTACATTTATAACTTAGTACCTGAAAATGAAATGAGTAGAAATGGATTATTTAGACTACCTGGAAAACCTGATTGTCCAGACATTTGTGTACTACTATTTGGCTGTCTATTTTGCAGTGGGTTATTAGTTTGCATTCTGTTTCCAAACTGGCCCATTCCTCTTGGACCACCTCTAAATGAGGGTTTATTTGTAAAATTTGAATATCCAGACCATTGTGTTGTATTATGACTATTATCTATATTTGATGATTGAGTGTAACCTCCTGGCTCTTGTTGTTCATATTCATAGCCATCATAATTGGTAGTCGAAGGATCATAACCATCATTATACCCAGCAGTATTATCATATCCAGTCCCAGCATCATAACCTATCCCTGTATCGTAACCTGATGTTTGATCATAACCTGCCGTTTCATCATATGCTGTTTGATCATAATCAGCACCTTCACTGTAGCCCTCAGAATACTCAGCATTGCCGTTGTTAGCATAATCAATGTTGCCTGTAGTGTAATCTGTGCTAGTTTCGTAACTCTGATTTTCATAGTAAGTGGCTTCTGGGTAACCTTCCGAGTTGTAACCGTACGCATCGTTTGCAGCATAGCCGTCATTACCATACGTGTTGCTGTAGTTGTTTCCACCTTGAAAATTGGCATTTTGTGGGCCTTGATTATAATTTCTGTTAAAAGGCCGACCTCGATTTATAAATCTGCTCATATTCTTTAATATTGTAACTCGCAGAATTATGAGAAATAAGACATCAATTTTAGATTATTGATCTAAATTTTCATCATTCACAAATGTTAACAAGACGCTTGCACCTACACTAAATTCTGTCCATGGGGACGTTTTGAAATACCGGTACCACTAAAATACGCAACGGATATTTTTTGGCGCAACGGGCGCAACGGAGTGCAAAATTTAAACTGAGACAATAAAATACGATTAGCAATGCATTTTTGAATTTATATTAGTATGTGTTGAACAAAATAATATTTTGAATTCACGGAAATCATCTAAAAAACAATATTTTCTTTATTACCAGCATTGTATTGTTGTAATACCACACATATTTCCATTCCGCAAAAATTCATCATTGTTATATTTTTTCTTCTTTATGTTTCAATATTATATTATGATATAATTGCATTGATGAGTACAATACTGAATTGATACTTAGAATTACAAAGCTGTTAGACCTAAACAATACTGGTTGCAGACACTAAATCACATTTTTTTTGCAATTATTTATTTATCATTTTGTATATTTAAGATATTAACTCATCTAAACAAAATTCGGTTAAAAGAATTTAAGTTACACAAAAAGAATTATTAATGGAAATAGAAACTGGCGCTTTTTCAAGGTCCTGATTGAGGTATCCAAAACATGGTATTTTAAAGAAAACATTTAATTTTTTGTATCAAATATAGCAGGAATGTCAACAGCAATCATTTATTTTTACATATTATATGTTTGATACATGTATCTTTGTTGATATTTCACCTGTTTTTCAAATCTGTTTCCAATGTCTGTGGAGAGGACTATTCTAACTACAACTGGGAATGTACCTTAGGGTAGATCAGTAACAAGAATGTTTTGCGGCAGTTTCTGCTAACAAAAAAATAATGTTGTTGGACACACATGAAAAAGTTTACAAAATTTAAAAATATCATCACAGTCATTCTGTCCTACTCCTATATTACTAGGCGACAATGTGCTTGTTTCTTTAATAACAACCTTCAAACAAAAATAGTTATTAACTGTTGGGGTCATAGAGTATTAGATCTATGCATCGGAGTTACCTCAGTAAAGTTCAGTTTGTAAAAAATGTAAAAAGACACACTACTTACATATAATACATATTTCAATATAGATGTAAGTCGTATGCATAAATCAAATATTTTTATATACACGTTTAAGGCTAATCAACGGGGAAAACATGTATACGTAAAATATAATTTGCATGTGACTATTATTTCACATATATTATACATGTATCTCAAACAAATACCAAGAAACTGTCTAATCTATATAAAAAGTTAACAGTTATTGGCCAGAATTCAAAAATCGTATTCAAATACTCAGTCAAGAATTATAAATAGGGTTCACAAACTTTCAGCTGGAGAATTATGGACTCATGTCAAATCTGCAATTGAAACTGTAATCCAATTAATCCAATTAATTGTTCCAATTAAAAGAATTGGATAATTTAAAAATCTCTTCCCTAGATAACAACAGTAATTAAAAAAAACTTGTGACAAAAAGAGACCATCTATATCAAAAACGTTTTCCGCCCTGTCATTTTCATGGGATGGCTTTTGTCCGCCGGGATAGCTTTTGTCCGGGGCGCTTTTGTCCTATACTCTCTTGTTTACTACGTGAAACACTTACGTGTTTTTTAAAACAGAGTTTATTCACGACCTTGGCAAGCGTTTTCCTATCACGATTTCAAAATGGAGACCGATGTCCCGCATGTCCAAGTAAAATTTTATACAAAACAGTCCAGGTGATTTATTTTTGAATATTTAGAATTTTTCTTTTGTCCAAATGTTTTATCGCAAAAGAATGTATATTTTCCTACCCGTTTGAGCAGAAACTACATCATAAATGTAACATTGTCTTCAATTAAAGTGTTCAACCAGTCGATTAGGTTGCACAACACTAACTTACATATCAATACTATGTTTGTGGGCACTGGTATTACAGTCACATAGGCATTAGCAATGATATGTGATGATAATTTATGCTGTTTCAGGAAATAATTACTGAGGAATTATGGTGGTTTCGTCGAACTACCGGTTCGGCTAACTTAATTTATGAAGAGGTGCGAAAGTGGTTTCGTCTAACTGATGTTATATAGTAATTAAAGGCAAAGTAGACGTGGTTCATATATATAGTGTTTTTATCATCAATATTTTGTTATAATTAAATTATGACGCAAATATCATTAATGAATATAATATTCATGTTGCTTTTACTTTCGTATATACGTATATATATTTATTAATTTATGTATATGTAAATATAATAAAAACGTTTAAATCATAGTTAAGTTTTATATCTATTGAGTGGTGAATAAAGAATTAAAACAGATTGTGGTTTATTACATAGAAATCATGATGTATTCTTTTGAATAATATGCATACCTCATTTGTTTATATAGAGAAAAATAAAGTATTTAAAAAATATGTGTTGTTTATAATAATTACTTACGTGGATTTTTTTATGTATTTATGCATTGTTAATTCTTTCTCTTTCAAGCTTTATTTTTTTAGTATGTATGTCGATCTTATTCCAATTAAAAGCATTTTTTTCAGCTTTAACTATTTGTATATATTGTTTGAAATATATATGTCAAACTATATATAATATATTTCCACCGGTTAAGTGAAGCGAATTAGGCGGTAAATAATTTCCTTTGGATTGGATAGATCTTTTGAATGTACCAATCAGAAGTTGTTTTGTTTAATTACGTATGCACGAGTTACTGTGCATTATGAATTGTAATTGAAAGTCATTCAGCTTTGGGTATCGATACTTTACAGTCGCAGTAATTTATAACATGGATTTAACTTGTTGATTAACAAAAGTTCGGGGAAAATATGTTGACTAGTAACAATACGAATGTTTACTTATATGGTCACCCTATTATTTTTTAAACAGAATCAAGTAATATGAAAAAAGGGAAATCCTCAAAGTGAGCTTGATTTTATTTTAAATTAATTGTTTGAAATAATCGTTCATTTTTATTTTACATTTTCAGTTTTAAAATTGTCATTCGATATTTTATACACTGCTTCCGTTTATTCTTGTTCCTCTTTTCTATTATGGTTCCCATATAAGTGCGCAGGACACCAGTCTAGTCGCTTCTGTTTTCAATCAGAGTACATCGGCTTTTATTGTTATCTTGTAATTATACCCTCACAAACGAAGTTAACGGGGTATATAGGAGTCAGCTTGTCGGTTATTCAGTGCGTCATTTGTGAATGATGAAAATTTAGGTAGATCAGACAATAACTAGAGTTTGGAGTGAGGTATTGTAATCAAACTTGGTATATAGCAACCTAATGTGGAAACCCTGGTTGGTATTGCATTTGGACCCCATGATCATCTTATTTGTTTATATACATTCACTGTTTCTCCCACTCTAAAAGTCCAACAAAAATACAATATGAGTATGAATTATGCGATGTTTACCTAAATACAATTTGCTGATTAAAGACAGGAAGTATCCTGTCTGCAATAATGGCTGAAAAGGAGTCGTGCCAATATAGAATTACACCAGCAAAATTTACTGCCAAATTCAGAAATACGTTGGTATTTCTATTGAAAATGAGAAAATTTGCAGTTTTGTTTGAAGAAAAATAAACATGTTTTCAGAATTGGGACTGTCCCCGAAATAAGGTGCCTGCTCCGCAGGCATCCCGGAGATGATTTATGCCCCAGTAAAAATGAAAATGTAAAATAATCTACTTTGCAGCCAGAAATTTCACATTGTTTTATGAAATCTTATTGTCAAGTTATTATCAATTATTATAGAATGCTTAAAATGGATGGATTATCCCCATACAGCATTGTAATATGCAGTAAGGCCTAAAAAAAATTGTTTTGAATTGTTTTGTTAGGATAACCCTACCCTACCTAAATATATGCCCGACCCTACCATTTTTATAGGTCTGTCAAATAAAAAAAATATTGCAAAAGTTGAGTGTATAGAAATCATGTTCTTCAGCCATTGGGGATATTATCATAGGTTAAATTATTAAGGTATTATTCAATATAATGAATAGTAAATTAGGCTTACTCAGCAGAAGTCTACCCTTGTGCCAGTTTAGACATACCCCACCAATCACTACCATACAAATCAGGGCATGAACATTTTCTCTGGATTAAGATGTTCAGAACTGAGCATGATTCAAAAAAAAAAAAAAATCCTACCTACCCTACCTATTCTTGGAGAGCATGTTACCCTTACAACCCAATTTATTAGTCCCATACCGGTTTACCGGCGGGGACTTTAGGTTTATCATCCGTCTGTCTGTCCGCACTCACAGGACAGTAATTATGTGGCTAGAGGGACAATAGGTAACTGTTCTTTCTCTTTGATGTCATTCATTCCATAATGCTTTTATGTTGCTATTTTCTTTTGTGTGGCTTAAAAGATCAATATGAGAACAATAGAGTAGCCACTTAAATACTCTCCTGTTAGAAAGTCCGTCATGTTGAAAATTCTGGTTGTTATGGCAACATATAGACTGAAAATATGGCAAATTTTACACATAAACTGAATCCAGTGATAACTCAAAAAGTACTGGAAATATTTTTATGAAACTTGACATATGGGTAGATGGCAGTCTGGAGATTATGCATGTCTTTATCTTTTCTTCCTATTTTGAAAAATTTGTTGCCATGGCAACATATAGGCTTAAAACATGGCAAATATAACAATATAAGTAAAAAATAGCTGAAAATGTTTATGAAATTGCATCTTTATTCAAAATTTATCTCCTATTTAAGAATTTTGCTTTTAAAAATGTTATATTTTGGTAACAGGGATGTTTCAAATATTATTTTTAGAGTGTTCCTTAATCCGTCTGGCTGTCTGTTCATAAAAAACTGTTTCCTGTGATCAGTTTTAAAGAACTTTTCCAACAATGGCCCTTCAGAATGTTGCTGGGGTTCTAACCAGTAGGGGACTTATGGATTGCTTGCAATACTGATAATTGCTTGTTTTTTTCAGGCCTGAATAGTGTCACTAATCCTTTGCTTGGTAAATCAATGTGCCTCTTTCAACTAACAGTTATCAGCAAATATTTTGATCATTTAAAAGATTAATTGTTTACCCCCTGTTGCTTCCTGAGTGAAGGTGTCATAAACTATAATTAACAACTGGCCAGCATAAATTGAATCTGCCAGCAGGCAATTATTAGTGCTCAAATTACTGCTAAATATGAGGTGATGAAGTCTATAGGATTCAACAAATGTTTTGAGGTATTTTACCAAAGGACATGTCTAATTGTCCTAACTTAACATAGCTTATTCTATTCTGTGACTGATTGAATTTACGAAGCCTTAATACTTTAAAAAGATTGAAAAACTGTTATTTAATAGTTATAGACATTTTTGTGTCGCCTCTACGGAGTAGACTTGTCAACAAACAGTGTTTTTTTTCACTAAAATATTCGGCGAAATTCGGGCTCCATTCCCCCCCCTGAAAAATAGTATGTTTTTTTTCCCCCTCAGAGCCTAACTTTCCCCCTATATGGCAGCCCAAATTTGCCTGAAATAAAATATAATTTTTTTTTTGCAACTAACTGCCGAAAAATGTTTTATTAAATGCCTGTAAGAGTTACTGTTAAGCAAGGTTGTTTACAAAACCTTCTCTGGTAGGTAGCTACTCCCGTGTCCCAACAAGTTTAGCATGCGACACATCGTTACTTTAGATCCTTATATTAAGAAAAAGAGAGACGTATTTTAAACTTGTGTTGCAAGAGTTGCTCCCCTTTTCCACTGCAAAGAAAAACAATATAAAATAAGTAAACAAATAAAATTCCCCTCCTATTGCATTTTTCCCCCTCCAAAGGACACCTACCCCCCCCCCCAAAAGTGTAAAAAAACACTGACACATCTTATAAACTCCTGGTGCAATGTAATTCAAACTTTAAAGGAATGATCATTACAAAGTCTAGATTTACATATCGTCAGCATTTTCCAGTTCAATAATTTTTGTCAAAGTTTGTCTAGACTACTCCTCTTATAGCACAAATACAATTTCAATGAAACTTTACAGGATTGATCTGTAGCTCAAGTCCTTTGGGCATATTGCAATCGGGTTTTTCGTTGAATGATTTTTGGTCCAGTTATGGCCCTTTATGAAAAAGGTGGTTTTTCTTGTGTGTTTGCCAGATCCACAAAAGCTTGTCCGGACTACTTCTCAAAAACAACTGGTGCAATTTCATCCAAACTTTACAGGAATGATCAGTACCAAGTTTAGTTGTGCATATTATTGGCTTTTAATGGTTCAATGAATTTTGTTGGAGTTATGGCCCTTTAATTAATTTTTAAAGGGCTGTTAATAAAATTTGTCAGGACTACCCTTATATGCATAATACACAAGTTTTTTGCTTGAATAATTTTCTGCTGAGTTATTGCCCTTGAATAAAAATAGTGTTTTGCCCTGTTAATGATTTTTGGGTCTCCTGCTACACAGAAGCTGTAACATGCGATTGGCTATTATGAGGCGACACATGCCATTACTGATGGCCCTTATGTCTTTGTTTATTGTTGTCATTTAATTTGCAAGTTGTAAATACTGGTAATATAGGTTGAAACTGCCACTTATGTAAATTTAGAAACAATGTGGTTGCTGAGCTATGCCCCCCCTCCAACACTAAATGAAATTTTTTTGGGAAATTATGGCATGTATGTTTAAACCTTAAAATTGATCTCCAATAAGAATTACCTTTACATGTATGAAAATTTTTTCTATTTTAAAAGGTTAATGAAATTTGGGGTCAGTTGAATTGTGTTTTAGTAGCTTTTAGCTTTATATAATATGGTCATTTAGAATATTATTGTTTTCCCATTTTTAGCTCACCTATCATAAAGTGACATGGTGAGCTTTTGTGGTCGCTTTTTGTCCAGCATTGATCTGTTCGGCGTCCAGCCATAAACTTTTACTTTATACAATATTTCCTCATAAACTGCGAAGCCAATTTCATCCAAATTTCACAGGAATGTTCCTTTGGTTGTCATCTTTAATTTTTTTTAAGAATTTAATTCCATGCAGACCTCTTGTTGCCATGCCAACCAAAAGAAAAAAAATCTTCTTTTAAAAAAACCTAATCGACAAGAGCTTAGATAATTGGCATGAAACATTTTCTAATGAGTGTCTACCAAGGTGCTATTCAGGTGAGCGATTTTGGGTATCATGACTCTCTTGTTGAATATTGTATTGAAATTTTTCATGAACTGGATATTTAATTATCTAACTGCGCTTTTTCTTTGTCAAAAGGAGGGAGTGTTCATTTAGGGAGGGGCATATATTATTTGAGAATAAAAAGAATGAGAAGAATCTTAAAGTTTAACATCTCAAAACTCAAAAACAATTTCAATATTCAGTACTTTGTATATTTTTATCTTCAGATATTCTGTGCCGGATACACCATTTTCAGTACCAGCTACAGTTCAAACAGATGATCTTAGCTCTCTTATCAATGGACTCATCTCTGGTAACTTCCTTTTATAAAATAATCTGACATATAGTGTGTATGTAAAATCTTCTGTAATACAATATTATTTAATATTCTTTTCTAATTTGTTTAAAACTATTAATTTTTTACATTTTTAATGAAGATGTAGTAAGGAATAACATTTTAAAAGCAATAAAAAGGCAGTTTAAATAACAAGATTTGATTACATGTACAAGTATTAATTTAAAAAAAATTGGCTACATGGCAGACTTGAGTATATATTATATAAAACTCTGATCATGGTACTAAAGTTGTAGCAGTACCATACTTTATACCTCTAATCTACAGGTGCGCTCTCTATCTGTAAATAAGTAAAGCAGACAAATTGTTTTCCAATCTTCTATTTTAAGAACAAATGTCACTGGCGCCCTATAAATTGCTCTCAGGGGTGGGGGGATGACGCTGTTTTTGAAGAAGACCTAGCAATGATATGATCTACTTTTCCAAGATAAAATTACTTAAATACTAATAAGTTTGAAACAATACAGAATTGTTTTTTCCGTCAATAAATAAAAGCTGAAGGCCCTTTAATGGGAGAAGGGATGTTTTGTGATAAGGTCACTCATATGTTTTCACAGATTCTTCAGTCTTTACTGTTTAAATTGGTAGTAGTAAACATTTAAAACATTATCTTTGGCAGGGTTTATTTACTTTACTTCTGAGACAACTTAAGCATTTTATTTGAATTACATGTACATGTATAAGTAAAACAGAACAATTTAAGTAAATTTGTTGTTATCTCTCTTACAGAACCTCTTGAGACTGAGACAAATTTAGAGTTTGATTTTCTTGTGGAAGGAGAATTTCTACGAATTTCTTTAGAAAAACATCTTGAGCAGAAAAATATATCCACAGTAAGTTTTCTTTGTTATAATTTAACCATAAAGATACTGGCAGAGTCAATGTATCAGTAGTATAGATTTAGGCCAGTCTACAATATCTAAATCTAAATTTAAAATCTTTTTGGTTCAATGTGCAGTTAACATATGATTTAATAATAAATGCAATTAACATGTTATGTTTAGATACTGTGTATTGCTTTGAGGATCCCACAATTACACAAAGAACAATTTTTCCTACTTTCTACAATTGGCCTCAAATCTCTCAAATAATTCACTACAAATGTAATTAGATTTAGGATTATCTATTTCCTGTTCCATTAAAGCTAGAAAAAAAAACTTTAGTTTCCAATAACCTTTAAAAAAATAGACTAACTTTCTTATATGTGTGACTTGAATCAAAGCAAATTGAAAAAAGACAAGTATGAAATACTGTTGTATATACATGATGTATTAACAATTCAACAGGAAAGTGTAGTAGAGATAGAGTATGTAGAGAGACATCCAGCACCAAGACCAGAAGATTCACTGAACCATGATGACTGGGTCAGCTGTGTACACTCCACAGGAAATAAGTAAATATGCACATACTATTACAGGTTCATCCTTGCTCAACTTAATGGAGAACAAGGGTTTGTCAATCTATATCTGGCTTCAGCATAGCTCTTGGTTTAGGTTTAGCATCAAGCCTCTTGTTTACATAGAAAAAAGGGAGAGGATATAGATTTTACTTATCACAGTCGGTTTTTACATTGAATGTCATATTCATGTATCAGTCAGTCATAATGGAATAATGATCCTGAGAATTAGGATGCAAATGAATTAATCTTAAAATGAACTTGTGCATTTTGAAACAGTCCATTACTAGTATTATTTTATAGAAATAGGGCTGAGAATTTCAATGGTTGATTGGTGTAACTGTTTAGTGTGTGATCTTGAAGACTGACATGGCTCTATATCTGTGACAAAAATGTTGTTGTTATGGTTTCAGTATTATAGTGGTTAAGGAAATTGAGCTTAAAAGAAATGTCATGACTCTTTTGTTGCTAAGTTTTACCCACTATTGTGTATATTTTAGGATACTTACAGGTTGCTATGACAACACACTACGGCTTTGGACAACTAAGGGAGATTCTATATTAACAATTCCTGGTCATACTCAACCTGTTAAATGTGTGTCCTGGATTAAGAATGGTAATTATACATATTAAACTAAAGTTTCTTGTTTTATTTTACTACAAACTAAAGTTTCTTGTTTTATTTTACTTACAAAATATCATTATGTAATGGACATGTCAATGCTTGCTGAGCTCATTATGGAGAATGTCAGATTTTTAATCAAGGGTTTTTTTTGTGACAATTGATCTCAGACATTGAGTGAAATGGTAATTTGTGTCTCACCATTAATTCAGAAATAATGTGGGATAAGAAGTTGAAAAGAAATTGATCATTACTGGTTAGTTATCTAGGAAAACCGGTTAGGTGCTCAAACTCCGAGGCCTTGTTATATGACAACTATCAATTTAAATCTTAAAGGTGAAATTTAACTGATTTTGGATATTGAGGCTAATGTTCGTTTGTCTCACACTACTGAGTCAGAAATCATACAGGATTTGTTGTCAATCACTTGTAGAAAAATTTAGTTATTAAGGAAACAGCTGAGATATGACCAAAAATGAGTTTGAAAAATAAATGTAAAAAATCAGACAAACAAATAATGATTAAAGAGGAAAGGTTTGTTAGAACTACATAATAATGCCTCATGCCTGCCTGTTTAAGTAACAAATATGTTAAGGTAAACACATTTTTTTTCAGATTCCAGTGATAAACAAAGTTTTATGTCTGGGTCACATGACCAGACTGTGTTGCTATGGCAATGGGATGAGAAGAGTAATGAGGTAGACTGTGTACACTCATGTCGTGGTCATGCAGGTAGTGTTGATTGTGTGGCGGTAGACCAGTCTGGACAAAGGGTTAGTGATTATATTACCATAACCTGGACAGAAAGATACAGATATAAGTGGTTCCTTCTTCCTTAACTGTTAATTATTTTTAAAAAAAGGATTTTTGGAAAAATGAGTCTGTTTTAACTGTTATTGTGCAATGTGTAGAGCAACAGGTTAATGTACAACTTTTATATAGTTGTGAATTAAAAATAATCTAAACGCAGGGATAGCGTAATGTGAAATCAGAAGTGAAAACATTATCTAATTTGAAATGAAATGCAGTTTGTATTAATTAATGATTTTTTAACAAAAGTTTATGTTTTTATTTTAGTTTTGTAGTGGATCGTGGGATAAAATGTTAAAACTTTGGTCAGCAGGTATGTATCATGTATTTTAATAGCAGTGTTAAATAAAAAAACATTGGGCTAATATCCCTCTTGAAATAGCTTCCTCCCCCATCCCCCCCCCCCCCCCCTTTGACAAAATTTCTTCTTCAAAAAATGTAAAAAAAGACAGTGAAACCTGTCAATAAAGATGAGAGACAGATCATTACCATAAGAATGAAAATTTACATGGAAGTACATTGTTTTATGGACATTTAAAGAAGTAAATATAAACATATTATTTGTTTGATAATTTACAATTAACATTTTAGTTGTTTCAAATAAAGGTGGATAATATAAAGCAAATAATTTTTAACAGTGATAAATCACGATGAAGAAGGCCCTGAGGAAGAGGAAAACCCAAAGAAGAAAAAGAAAACAAGTGGACAGAAGGTTCAAACACGTGTACCTATGTTAACATTGTCTGGACATTCGGAGGGTGTGTCAGCTGTAGCTTGGTTAGAGGAACAGGAAGTGTGCACGGCATCATGGGATCACACCATACGACTGTGGGATCTCGAGAAAGCAGCTCAAAAATCATCTTTAGTATGTTGATAAATAACAAATTCTTGCTTTTTACTGAAAAAAAAAGATATTAAAAAAACAACAATGGGAACATATAGTTAGCTGTTAGTGTGCCCACTTTTTAGCTCACCTGTCACAAAGTGACAGGGTGAGCTTTTGTGATCGCTTTTCGTCCGGCGTCCGTCCGTCCGTCCGTCCGTCGTCCGTCCGTCGTCCGTCCGTCCGTAAACTTTTACTTTAAATGATATCTCCTCATAAACCACTAAGCCAATTTCATCCAAACTTCACAGGAATGTTCCTTTGGTGGTCACCTTTAAAAATTGTTCAAAGAATTTAATTCCATGCAAAACTCTGGTTGCCATGGCAACCGAAAGAAAAAACTTTAAATATCTTCTTTTAAAAAACCATAAGAGCTAGAGCTTAGATATTTGGCATGAAACATCTTCTAGTGAGTGTCTACCAAGTTTGTTCAAATAAAAGCCCTGGGGTCAAAATTGGCCCCGCCCCGGGGGGTCATTGATTTTCCCTATATGCATATAGTAAAAACTTAAAAAATCTTCTTTTAAAGAACCCAAAGAGCTAGAGTTAAGATATTTAGCATGAAACATGTTCTAATGGGTGTCTACCAAGTTTGTTCAAATAAAAGCCCTGGGGTGAAAATTGGCCCCGCCCCGGGGGGTCATTGATTTTCCCTATTTGCATATAGTAAAAACTTTAAAAATCTTCTTTTAAAGAACTCAAAGAGCTATAGCTTAGATATTTGGCATGCAACATCTTCTAGTGAGTGTCTACCAAGTTTGTTCAAATTAAAGCCATGGGGTCAAAATTGGCCCCGCCCCGGGGGGTCATTGATTTTCCCTATATACATATAGTAAAAACTTAAAAAATCTTCTTTTAAAGAACCCAAAAAGCTAGAGCTAAGATATTTAGCATGAAACATGTTCTAATGGGTGTCTACCAAGTTTGTTCAAATAAAAGCCCTGGGGTGAAAATTGGCCCCGCCCCGGGGGTCATTGATTTTCCCTATATGCATATAGTAAAAACTTAAAAATCTTCTTTTAAAGAACTCAAAGAGCTAGAGCTTAGATATTTGGCATGAAACATCTTCTAGTGTGTGTCTACCAAGTTTGTTCAAATAAAAGCCCTGGGGTCAAAATTGGCCCCGCCCGGGGGGTCATTGATTTTCCCAATATGCATATAGTAAAAACTTAAAAAATCTTCTTTTAAAGAACTCAAAGAGCTAGAGCTTAGATATTTGGCATGAAACATCTTTTAGTGAGTGTCTACCAAGTTTGTTCAAATAAAAGCCCTGGGGTCAAAATTGGCCCCGCCCCGGGGGTCATTGATTTTCCCTATATGCATATAGTAAAAACTTTAAATCTTCTTTGAAAAAACCCAAATAGCTAGAGTTTAGATATTAAGCATGAAACATCTTCTAGTAAGTGTCTACAAAGTTTGTTCAAATAAAAGCCCTGGGGTCAAAACTGGCCCCGCCCCAGGGGTGTCATTGTTTTTAACTATATGTGTATAGTAAAAACTTTAAAAAAAACTTCTTTTAAAAAGCCCAATGAGCTAGAGCTTAAATGTTTAGCATGAAACATCTTCTTATGGGTGTCTACCAAGTTTGTGCAAATAAAAGCCCTGGGTTAAATTGGCTCTGCAACGTTGGGGGGCGTGGGGGTTGGGGGGGCCTTTATACAGGTGAGCGACCTCAGGGCCATCATGGCCCTCTTGTTTCAGTTTTGACCAATATTCAAGATTTTTTATATCATTTGAAAAAAGAGGTCTTCCTTGGTGAATTTTTAATGTCCCTGAGGCATGGATGGTTGGTTCTTATTCTGGTTGGTTAGAATGAAATCTTTATAGTGTATTGGTCTATATTGGAAGTTCAGTAATACAATAATTGATAATACATTGATAGTATTTAGTACCAGACATTATCACGTAGCAACAAACCATGAAAGATTTATATGTGGATGTTGTTGGCAAGTGTTAGATAGAGTTATCTCCTCCTGTCTGCATGTTGGGGGCATAACCGTGAACAAGCGTTCAAAGTTTCAAAGCCATCTGTCTATGGACTTTAAAAATATTTAAGGTGGTACACAAACATCAACATAAGTGGTTACACTGAAGCTCGGGTGACTAGTACTTATTCTTATTGTATAGTTAAAAATTAACAACACTTAATTAGTTTATACATTTAACACAACTTTGATGTTAACAATGTTTTGAACATCAGAATTCCTTAACAACATAATTTAAAGTAGATTTTAACAATCTTGTTTATTTACAATAATTTCATTGTTAAATATGTAACAAAAGTTTTGAACAACTGGGCCCATATTTATATAGAAATGTTGTGATTATGATGTTACTTTATTTTATATTACAGCAAGGGAACAAAGTATTTTTGGACATGTCATACTCACCCATGAATAGATTGTTGGTTACAGGATCTTCTGATAGACATGTACGACTCTGGGATCCTAGATCCTCAGGTAAAAAAATATTCTTGCATATCAGATAGGAGTTTCTAATGTGTACACCATTGTTTTGAAAAATTATGTCTTACACTTTTCTTATTTCACCCATCTTGGTGTAAGGTGTATTGCAAGTTTTAAATGATGTCCTTATGTCACCTTTATTAGTGAGTTGATGCATTTCCACAGTTTTAAATAATATTTTATTTTTTTTTTTTAAAAAAAAAAAAGAGTAAAGGTCATGTTATAGTCCTGGCATAAAAATATTGTCTTCATACTTGGTCACAATAACCCTTGGGACATGTCTTCATACTTGGTCACAATAACCCTTGGGACAAAACCTTTCAGTAGACCTCACTAACCTTGACCTTCATAATATAAATTTGTACTATATATGATGTATTTGCCAAGGAAAACAGATGAATGGTCTTTTTCCCTATACCTTTATTTTTATGGAAGAAAATGAGTTGAGAAAAGAAAAGAGATGTTTATTCCATCCTTAATCCACAACTACATGTTTGGTATAATACCAAGAATTATCAAAAATGAAATCATTTCATATTCCAGTGACAGAAATTATAAAATTATCCTATATTAACTTTTACAGATGGAGCAATAGTAAAATGTAGCTACACCTCACACAGTGGCTGGGTGTCCAGTGTAGCTTGGTCAGCTTCAAATGAACATCAATTTATATCTGGTTCCTACGATAATCTGATGAAACTCTGGGATAAAAGAAGGTAATGTAATAATAGTTTGAAAAGTCCTACTGTATATCAAGTCATTTTTTACGCTTGAATGACTTAATAAATAAAAACAAATTTATCGAATAAGGATAATTATTTAATACAAAAAGTCCAAACATAAATTTTCAGCGTAGAATTACTCTTTAAATACAGGTTAGTGTATATAAGTAAGCATTTACAAAATTAAATTGGTAAAGAACGGCCAAGCAGTGCGACCAATATACTGTAGTAAATGTTTACAAATAAACACTGAAATTATTTTTTTTAAACTGTTAATTTACTAGACTTATTAAATTTAGCTGATTTACCAAATAAGTATGTTATGATTCATTTGAAATACTGCTACTTAATTGGACAAAAAATAATTTCAAACACTAAATTCATGAATAAGTCACAATTATGTCGTAAGACATCATTCAAGTATTCATTAAAAAAAAATATCAGTCCAAGCAGTGTTTATTGACTAACACCAGTCTTGATGTGTAGGAATTAACAACTAAGGGCATAGGATAGTGCAAGTTTATTTTTTACAACAAAATGACGAATACATGCTGAAAAGCTGATAAACACTGATGTTAGATGTTATTATTTTGATTATAATGTAAAAGTTACATTAATAATATCTGTCATATGTTGCAGCTCGGATTGGAATATCGGTCCGAGGGGCCTCCTCTCATTGGGCGGTAACGAGGCTTACCGAGTTATCACCCATGGACGGGTTTCCAAGCGTCTGATAGGCTGATCCTTAACTTTTTTCTTACAATAGCATATAAATTTACAACTTTAATAACAACAGCGAAATGATGTCATCCTAAGCACACAGTTCCCTTCTAAAATGACGTCATTTTATCACGGTTCATTCATTAAATGCTCTAAAATGACTTTGTATGGCATGCAACTCATCTGGCACTGCATGTATGATGAAATTTCCGGCATGGCAATGCCAGTCTGCTATGCAAGAAAGTTCAGTAATGCTGTTTTTTTATGCTAAGATTGTCAATGACAATAGTATTCACCATTCTTAGTTGAGACAGTTACCAAAGATATTTTCATATTTCCTCAAGCATTGGTGGTGTTCACAATAAATTGAAAAATAGCCCTACTGGTACATTTTACTAGTAAATTTTAACATTTTACTTTTTATTTTCAGTCCAAAAGCACCATTATTCAATCTGGTTGGACACACAGATAAGATACTGGCTGTTGATTGGTCAATTCCTACCTTAATGATGTCAGGAGGTGCAGACAATCAGTTGAGGCTCTTTCAATATGATGAATTAAAAACATCACCAGGATCTTGACCATTTTTGTTTGTTGCATTTTTAAATTGATAATAATAAAAGAGATGATCAGTAAAATCTGTTTTTGTTTGTCTGTTGAAGATGGAAAGGGAATAATGTTAAGTTCCCATTTCTTTTTTGTCTTCATTATAATCTTACAATCAAATTTATGAATTTTTCAATTCTAATTTTTGATCTTTATCTGAGCTTCTGATGCAGCATGATGCCTGATTTTCCATTATCACAAATTTCTTAAAACAATATCTCCTAAATCACAGAGTTGATTTTTGCATAACTTTACAGGAATGATCCTTGGGGACCGTTAACAAAAGTTATATAAATGTTTATAGTCCAATGCTTAAGTGTAATGGGTAATTATGAATGTTTGAAAGTTAAAATAATGTAGAATTGATCGAGTCTTTTCATGAGATAAATGGAACGTGTAACATCTTTCACACTTCCGAGCACCAGCATAAGCAATATTCAATCTTTGTCATTATAAAGTATGCAATCAATGATCCTAAAGAAAAACAAGTACATGTATAGCAATTCTGAATTAAAGAGTAACTTTACAGCACTTGACATCTTTTGTTGTGAAGTATAAAAATTTGGAAAAGGGGATATCCCTTGAGAGGGGGGTCTGTTCTCTCAGTGCCTGAAAGTGCAGATGGGCCCACAATAAGCCTAGAATACCCACAAACACACAGATCCCTTGATAAAGTTTTAAAAAGTCAATATTTTGCAGATTCAGTCTGTGCATGACTGCAACATCTTGAGCCCTTTTGTTCTGTCTTTAATAATATTCAATCTTCTTTACAATAAGATACATGTATTGGGCATAAGAAATGATAACCAATTTATATAGTACAACAACTTTACTCAGTAAAGAATACAAAGATGAAATATAAACAATAACATAACAACACAATTATACAAATGCATTGGCAGTATCACTATAGTAAATTTGATCTCTTACCTGAAGGACAAAAACACGGTTTACATTTGATGCAATTTCAAGTGATTTGTTTAATGCAACATACAAGATTTGAGAACAAATATAATGCAAAACAATAAATTATTCAAGGTATGTAGCTTTAGTCTATATTTCATTTAGAATTTTTCATTTTCGGTGCAATTTTCTAATTAAGAGATCCTTGTCAAAATAAAAAAAAAAATTGTGGGCTTTGTGTGAAAATATTACATTCTTTGTGTAACAACCATTTCACACCAAACACTAATTATTCTTCTGACTAAATACAGCTAAATTTTTCAAGTAATACACAGAACATTTTTTCTTGATTATAAAATAAAACAACAAGCTATATGCAATAACAAGACTAGAGTGTAACATCTACTAACAAAGCAGTAACATGTAATAAATGATTTCAACAATAACATAAACATATCCTACAAGTTCAATGTGCAAAATTTCCAATTAAACTATATATCAATAAAAGTACACAATAGAAAACTACACAAGAAATGCATTACTAAAATGAACAATATGCTTTTCACATTAATTAACTCCCCTATGTCACTAACTCGCCTATGTCACCATTTTAGGTCATTCCCAATATACATACTATAGCATCATTGGTTATGTACAGTATAATACGTACATACTACATCACGGTACATACATATAACCAATGATGCTTAAAATTAGATAAAAGAATCTCTCACAATTCTCTCATCATCATGCTACCTGGAATTTGACAATCCCTAGAAATATTTTGTCATAAAAATATATTGCATTATGACCCTATGACCCTCAAAAAATGGCAGCCACTTTTGCATTGTGAAACAATCTATGATAATACACATAAACAGACATTGATTGAATGGACAACACAATGATGGGACAAAACACTGAAATATTTAACTAGTTACTGTGGTAAGAAAATTATATACAATTTTCTATATATACATGTTCTGCATCATATCAAGCCTCATGTCATGTCATAATTGTGTTTAAACCCTTAACATGCTGCATTTTAAAAAACAAGACTTCCATTTAAAAAGTTTCCATTTTCAGAACTGTCCATTATCAATATTTGGGTTATCAAGATAAAAATACAGGTATGATGTTGGTCAGAAAAGTGTATCGTCTACACAAATGTACAAGGTGACCTGACTATACTGGTGGCAAAGACTTATCACTTTCTGTTCCTGCAGATTAAGTGTTAGTCTTCATATACACGGAAATTTAAACATGAAGGTTCAAATTGTCTTAGCATCTACTGAGATCTACTCAAATCAAATAAAAATTGTGATTGGCATGGGAATTGAGTTGTATGTTAAATAATACTAATGTAAATAAAGTGTCTGAAAAATTTAACATAATTATATGAAAAATGTTTTTGGGGTTATGTTTCAGACCTACAGTTTAGATCATATACATTTATACAAAAGCAGAGAGGGCACATTAAGCATTTACATGAAGTGGTATTTTAAAAACAAAGTACAATACATTATGTATGCAGAGAAATTATACCATTATAAGTGTTAAAATTCACATTAAAATATAAAGATAGAATATATACAAACAGAGAGTTTTACTATTTATCCATAGCTAACTCAAAGGGGCTGAATGATAATTTTTACTGTGCTATTATTTTTATATATTTCTTTTGGTTTAAAAATGAAAAGTTTCAATACAACTTAAACTTGTAAAAATGAGATCTTGTCAACAGACTGATTTAATACTTTATCAGAAGTTTAGATGTATAACACAAATTGATAAGATCTACAATTGTCAAAGCAATAAAACACTTGCGTTCAGACCAATCCTATATTAATTTACATAAATCATTATGTTTCCCTCCTTGACATTTCCCATCAAATGAACCCCTTGAAGAACTGAGAATTATTACTGGTATATATGTACATGTTATAATTGTTAGTGAGTTTGTTTAAGAGGTAGACAATAGGTTAGGCCATGGATAACAAGAAGGGAGCATTTAGAAAATTATTACCATGTACAACTGGAATAACTAAGTCCCTTAATAAAGCCTGTTCTGTGTTCTGGTCTTATTATATAGTGAAAAATGACAAATGATCCAAACAAGGAAATTCTTCTATATTTTTTATCTTCTCAGTTTTTATCCTTTTTTGAGTAAATTGGCATTCAAACATCGAACAAAATGGCTCCCAATGACTTTTTCTACATCCTTTTTTTGCAACCTCAATTCACTCTTTTTACAGTTAAACCATAACTGTTCTGGAATTTCAATCATTACACACATTGGGGGATAATTTGGAAGTCTATTACTTGTCAATGTGGGAGACCTGTACATATATTGCAAAAGAAAAACGTGTCCTATCCTGTAAATCTAGTCACTCAATCTTCTATTCAGTTTCACAAATTCAAAAACTAATGACCTTCACACATTACAATTTGCTTGTTTATGTCCTGTTAACTCTATCTAGCCCAACGAGCTATTGAGGCCTTTAGTAATCATTACCTTTTTGATATGTAAAGTCAGGAACATAGAACTTATATACATCATATCCTTGTTTAACAATAACACTGGACAATCAAATCTGCATCAAAAACAACAATAAAAACAAATAACAAAACAATAATAATACTTAGACCAGACTCGTGTACAAAACAACATGACACAGAATGTCTGCAAAGTTCCTTTACCAACAATTCTCTCTCAGCTAAAAAATGTATAATGAATATACCATGCTTTTAATTCTGAATAGTCCACTGACATTTAAATCATTGATTGCTTGTCCTTAAAAAAGTAAATTGGAAGGAACCTATATCTCTTGATCTCTTCAAATTAAGATGTGTAGCACACATGAATAATTAAATACATACCCAACTATCTTGTATATCGATAAAATATTTCACATACTAAAAAAATGTTTTATGACATTGGGACTTAACTACGCTCCAGCATCCTATAGTAGATTTCAATATCGAAATATTGAAACATAGTACTTACAGTTATAAACCTAAGTTACAGACCGACAGCTTCATATCTGCATTACAGGAATGTTATTCCAGTGTATAGCATTCAAAAGTGTTTAAGTAATTAAAATATATATATATTTTTCGAGACAAAAATGAAATGAATTAAAGGGACTCCACTGATGTGTTTTTGACAATACAGGTCTGGAAATAATTTTTCCAGATTAATGTTCCATTTGATTTAGTTCTAGATCAATAAATACTTGTGCGCAAAATTTCAAATCTTTTGTCCACTTCGATTTTTTTTTTAAAGAGAAATTATTCTAATTGTGAAAATTACCCAAAACTGAAAAGTGTTGCAATGCCTTTAACTCAAATTAAGCGAAGAATAGCACACAAATATGATTTTCAATTTATTTCTGAGAATATGTCTTAATTATCTTTAGAATATCTTTCTGTTTTAGGTGCCCTAGCTGATCTATGTAAGAAATTAAAATTTTATGTTTTTAGGCATTTTGGACCTTAGTGGAGCTCCTTAAATAGTGCTGTACGTTTGTTTTTAAGGAAGGCATAATTTTATGAATGAATCAAAAGTAAACACAAAATATGCTAGTGTACAGAATTGGTCAATGTAAAAATATGAATAATATTTTAAGAAAAAGAATGAACTTCTACCGTGTATAACTCAATGTATACAAATTGCAACTTTAACAAAAAGTAAAATTTTGGTTGATTGCACCCTGTAGCATAAATAAATTCTATAATTACATGAATGAAATACAATTACTATGGCATATTTCAATTCATTATCAACAAATTGACAGAAACAAGAGAATTACCTTTTCCACAGTTTAATTAAAACATAGATACGATTTTTTTTCAAACATTGTAATTTCTTTCTTTTTTTCTCTTTTTAATTTGTTTTCATTGCAAAGATGCAATTCTTTTCATGATGTATCTATACTTCTTGTTAAATATATACGGTATGTAAAATATATAGAAATTTTAATCTCCCCAACATCCCTCTACAAAAGATTGGTGTTATGTTAACTGGTAGGTCTAAGTATTTTTTTCTGTATAGATAAGGGTTAATTATTGATTTCACCTTTTAGCTGAACTGAATAAAAACACAACATTTATGGCATTTCCTTTTCAAATTGACTTTTAAATTTTTAAAACTTATTTGAAAATTTATGCACATGATAAAATGAAATTTGAGCTTGAATTTAACATTTTAGGTACTTGCACAGTTATGTGAACACATGGAATCACAACTCACAAAAAAATAACCCTGGCTCTGGATTAATATCCTATTAAATTCCTTTGCTTATTTAGTTCAATGTTGGATTTATTGAAAAATATCTATTAAACCATTTAGCTATCTCAGTATTTGTAAGATGTTACAATGTACAAAAAAACTTAGTGTACTAGCAATTTTCAATTTTTACTAGCAATGTGTTAATTTGTGTAAAATTTAGGTAAAGAAAGTCTTTTCATTTATAAGAACAGGAAGTCTTGCAAGGCTATTATATAATAATACTAAAGGCACTGAGATAATTTATTATATGCATGTATACAAGATTCATGCTATTTTTTAATATTGAAAAATATTTTTTTTTTTTGTATTTTTTCTTATTTACATTAACAAGCTAATATAAAGGGTCCACTAGAGAACAATTCAAATAACAATCTTACCTCTGTATGTTTATATATTTTCAGGACAATCCAAAACAATTACATAAATCCTCAACAATAAAATTTTTGTTATTTAGTCCAAGTATAAAACTTAAAATAGCTACCTGGTATGAGAACATTCTAATTCCTACCAATCCCCAGATATCTACAGAAACTAATAGCTCTCTGCTGTGTTACATGTATTTGAAATCACTATGGTAACAAGAACAAATCACATTTCTCCAACAGCTTCTGCAATTCTTTTGAGTATTTGAGAAGTCCTATAGGCAATGATCCCTCCTTGGTTACACCATTTCTGTGCTCCGGAACTACTAGCATCATCCGGTACATGGTACTTAACTTGTTCAATTCCTCTGAAATCATTCTGTCCAGATTTAACATGGTTATAAAAATCAGAATACTTGATGATCCCGCCATCAAGTGATAGTAAGATAGCATGAGGTCCACAACAGTCCCACTTGTAATTACTACTTTTTGTAAGAAGATAAGCTTCTGCCCTACCCTGACAAACACCGAGTAATTTGTAACCGGCACCAGATATGTCTCGTAGAGTGACACATTTACCGAGTTTATCCTTCACCTCATCCGACTCACTCGAGCTTATCAGAACAGTTTTCTCAGATTCATTTTCGCTAGTGCTAGATTCCTCTAGTGAATTGATCTTTGTGTCACCAATACAAACTCCCCATGTGATATTACTGCTCCATCTAGCATGTAAAAAAATGATAAAGTTTATAACATTTCAACTGATTAATAGTACAAACCATCACATTTTAATTAAATGGATCTATCCAACAATTGTAAATCATTAACAATTAAATGTTGTGTCTTTTGTTTAAATGAATATTTTAGTTAAACAAGAGCTGTCCGCTCAACTATTCTCTGTGCTTGACATCAAGAAAATAGGGTATAAAAGGTAATTCAGAGTTATGGAACCTGTGCCCATCATTTTTGCTAAGTTTCAACCCATTCCTTCCACTATTTTTGGGATGAAAACAACTTAACCAAAGTGAGGCCAACAACACAGACAGCAAGAAAAGAACAATAGCTATCCATATTCTTCAAATGTTCAAGATAAAAATCATCCTCGTACTTACGAGGTATATCATAGTTTGACTTCTTAACTTAACTTCATTTATTTTTGGTTGTGTTTTACGTAATACCAGCATTGTAAAGGTCATATGGGGAACTTTCCAACTACATAGTAAATATCATATGGCGAAATGGAGGAAGAGAACATGCCCTTCAGTGCATTGTTTAAGGCATAAACAGGCACCTGGGTAGAACCATTGACATTCTGCAAGCTAGCTGAATTCCTTCCTCATATGAAAGTATTTAAAGTTCCTGTTGGAATTTGAAGAATGAAACATTCCTTACAATGAAGAATGAAACATTCCTGACTAAAGAGCCACAACCATATGACTTGTATTCAGTGAGACAAAACTAATAACATTGTAACAACTTACCAATGTTTACCGGTATCTTATTTTATCACAAGCATTTCACTAGGATGTGTTTCAGATGTAGCCCCCTTCCCCCTCAAAAAAAAAGTGAGAAAAAAAAACAGATTTTAAAGCAAAATATAAATTATGATAACAAAGTTTTCATACTATACCTCGAGTCTTGTAACTTATAGAAGGGTTGATTAGTGACACCTATAAGGGGCAGTCCAGTACTTTTATGATATACACCAATCAGGACAGCTACACACTGTAATCCTTCATTGACTAGACCATCTACTTCATTTCCTACATCACCTTGAATATACTGGGCAGTCGAATCTGTTAATTTAAAAAAAAAAAAATATGATGTCCAAAATGTTGAATATTAGTTCTCGGAAATAAGCACTTTAGAGATGAATGCTTTGATAACATGTAGACATATACCCATAAGCAGAATGTAAACTACACATGTATATAAAATTATTTAAACTATGTGTTTAAGAATATAAGTTGAATATAACAGAAATTTGTCAAGCAGAAAAGGTTGGATGTTGCTATAACAGAAATTTGTCAAGCAGAAAAGGTTGGATGTTGCCAATTTTGCTTATTTGAAAGCAGATAACTTTTATTTACTCAAAACTGGGGGTGTCTGTGGCCAAATGAATGAGGTTGCTGACTTCAAACTACTTGCCCTTCACAGCTGTTGGTTCAAATCCCTAGATGTGTATGACAGCTCTCCCTTTCTTTTGAATAGTCAAGCTTAACATGGCATAGCTTTAGGTGGAGAAAAGAAAACAAACTACTCTTTACCAATTCTCAAACTTTTAAACACTCACTCAAAAGGATGTTAGCTATATCAAAATAATAACTAAGTCCTTGCAAACCTTGATTGTAAATTATCTGCCCTTCAAATAATGAGGAATTTTCAACATCAATGGCAGATAACTCTTAAATGATCATAGTTACCCTAAATTGTTTTCGCTTGGAATATTTTTTTTATTATATTCTAAGATCATGGACTTTTCATTCTGCCTGTATGTCTATAATTATTTAATTTTTACTAGCATAAACCTTTTAAATTTAACAAGTTTGTTGGTAGGACAGCACACTCCAGTATTCTTAATGCTTGATAGTTAAAGAGCCTTGAAAATGTAAAATTTTCTTAGTTAACAAAAGGGCCAAATTTTTTCTTTAAATCTATGTTATTAAAGTTATAGGCCTTGAAGAGTGTCCTATTATGCTCTCAAAGAAGTGTATAACTTGTTTACAAGCCAGATGTCAATAGAATATGAAAATATTTGAGGTGGTGCGCAAACTTTAACATAAATTCTAAGTCGTAAAAGGGGCATAATTCTGTCAAAATGCTTTATAGAGTTACCTCCTCCTGTCTACAGGTTAGGGGCATGATGGTGAACAAGTGTGCAAAGTTTTAAAGCCATATGTCAATGGACCTTGAAAATATTTGAGGTGGTACAAAAACTTTAATATAAGTAGTTATGCCGACGCTCAGGTGACTAGGATACCTCCAGTTATTCTTATTGAATAGCCGAGCTAATAAATATAGTCATGATGATAGACAATGTCACTGTGGTCAGTTACATGTATGCCATGATTTTTTATATGCTCTCATACCAGATTATGTTTTCACTTTCAATACCTTTGCTGATTTTGACCAGCTAAAGCAGAATGTCCTTAATTTACAGAATATCACTATTAAAAACAAATTTTTATGGCTTAAACAGATCACCTGATACCATCTTTTCTCTTCATTTATATTGGTATGGTACTGGTTGGGGACCACCGAAACCGGACAACCACCAAACCCGGACGGCCCTGAAAATGCTTAATGTTCAGTGGTTGTCAGTCACTTTTTTATCAACAATAAGTGCATGTTTCTTTTAAAATTAAGTAAATAAATTTATTTTAACGTACGTAAATGGTAATATTTTAATGTCTATTTCAAGAATGTTGACGTTGAAATTCGGGGGTCAAGAAAGCAATGCCTGACTTCACATAAAATAATAGAATAACCAAAACTTCAGCATTTGTTGCTGATATATTGTATATCATGTTACAAATCAAAAATCAAAACACCCAAGCTTTTATCTGAATTAAATCACATCATGAACATATCTGTCCGAACACATGGTACTGTAGTGTACACTTTAGGTAATTTTGATACCCTCCTTGTCGAGCCTCAGATATAAGTATCAATACAATCAGAAATAAACAAACTAGTTTGTTAGTTAGGAGAAGATCCTAGCTGAACTGTGTCAAATGTTTTGGTCTCTAGGTTAAAAATTATGAAATCTGTACAGAAAAATGTTCCAAAAGTGTCCGGTTGATGGTCTCCGACCAGCACACAACACATTTCTTTCATGATGAATACTGAACTCATCCAAATTTACTGTCAATATCTTACCTATAGGATCAATCCAAACTCCTATATTTTCTATAGCCAGGTCAATATCAGGAACTTTACTAGTGTTTGACACTGCCACATCCTGATGTATCACCTTGGACAAAATATGTGCTGCCTTTTCATTATCATCCAATACCTTCCCTGTAAAATATATTATACATGTATCCATAAACTGAAAATATCTTCCCTGTTAGATGTATAATTGTATCCATAAATCTGAAAATCCCTTCCAGGTCTTTCCTTATAAAATAAAGATTTCAAGGAGGTACTGGGGCATAAATCTAAAGAATTTATGTTAAAGATGTCACTGAACTATTTTAACTATTAGCACATGCAATACATAGATCCCTGGTCTGTCCAGTTCTAATTATCAGATTAGTGGATACAATTAGAATTTCTTCACAACATATTTGTTAACAAAAGAGCACAATCATGTTAATGTTTGTGTTATTCAAATAAAGGGTCAGAGAGTTAATATCTATTTACATGTACATCATGGAATTATTTTAAGTTCTTAAAATAACTAATTAGGACACTGAAACTTGTTATTATATTATTCGGATGACTTCGGACTTTTGTCGGATTCAGCCGAAGAATTTTCGTAGTTCTATTTTTAACTACGGTTACCAAGCATTGATCACAACATCATAACAACTTGTCATTGGTCATAGGAGTTTGTATTCCTACGCTTCTAGTACTTATACTGATTACTTACCATTTATCATTGCTATTAGTATTTTTCGTGTCGCTTTGAAGTTTCAAATGGGAGATTGGAAATCTGACGCTTACAAAAAATATATTGAATATTCTTTTCAAGATAAGTTAAGAGTTTCCAAATTTATTTGTAATAATTTAAGCAAGGATTGAGTGGCTCTATATTTTAAGGTCTCTGATACAGCCTGAAGTTTACACGAGGTTGGCAGAGTACATCTCTTATTTATGTCCTAGCGTGCCTTTCTTAGCCTTACTTAATTTGTGTGATGAGTGTATCAATATTTTAAGGTCTCTGGTTACAGCCTGAGGTTTTCACGAGGTTGGCAGAGGATATATCTTATTTATCTGATAGTGTGCCTTATTTATTATCTGGTGTGGGTGACTCAATATTTTAGGGTCTCTGATTACAGCCTGAGGTGTTCACGAGGTTGGCAGAGAATATCTTTTTTCATAGTGTGCTTATTTCATATGACTGTGTTTTAAAGTTTTTGTGAAGGAACTGTCTACAGACCGATAAATACAATATAATAGATTATGACAGAGTATTGAATATGGAAATATTCTAGTGTTTAAGAGTAATTACTTGTGTTTAAAATTTCGTATGTGGCTTCATATTAGTTTTGAAGTTTCTGGTTACAATCTGATGTTTGCACAGGTTGACAAGAATTTCACATACAGAAATTTGTTCTGTTTTTTCTCTTTATTAGTTTTTTCATGTCATAATTTTGCTATATGTTTTTTCTGTCATTTGTCAAAATTGCATTTGTGAGGTTTATCTGCCTTATTATTGGATAAATTTGTATTTAATTTATCTTGGATTTGACAAAATTTCAAAGTGGAAATTTATACTGTTTTTCAATTTTGTTTGTAATCATGTGTGTGGCTTCATTTAATTCATGAAGTCTCAGATTACAGCTTGATGTGTACACAAGTTGACTGAGTTTTACATACAAAATATATAATGTTAAATATTGTATTTAATAGTGTAATTTTAAAGTTTTCTTATATGTCTATACTTTAATTATTAGTTTGACAATTCATATATTCTTATATTTATATATGTTAGCGTCATGTTTTGTATTCTAGGGTGCCTTCAATTTGTTCTGCTTTATTTGAATACATTATTATTTGTTGTAATTTAGTATCTGAAGGTCAATTTTTTCCAGAATTCAGGAAGGTTGTCATTGTGGGGGATTCCATGATTAAGAATCTGCCACCGATTGAGGGTGTTGAAGTGAAGGCTGTCAGAGGCGCAACGATTGGTAAAATTAACTTTCTTATCGAGAAAGGACAATTATCTCTTGGTTCAAATAATTATGTCATTGTGCATGCAGGTACCAATAATATTGCCAATGGGAATTCTTGTGGTTACATTTTATCGGGTTTAGCTAATCTAGTTGCCACGATTCGTAGGGTGAATCCCAACATTCATATTATTATATCTTCAATTCTCCCTCGACCGGTGGATAAGGTTGAAACGGAATCTGTTATTAAAGAAGTAAATAGTCGCCTAGAGAAAGAAATGTCCAAGGATTTGAATTTCAAATTTGTGAAATCTTTTCGTCCGTTTTTATATAAGGGACAAATTAATAGATACTTATTTGCCAATTTGGATGGTGGTCTTCATTTGAATTCAGAGGGTTCTAATCGATTGGGTCATTTATTTCTTCGGGTCATTTCTACACTAAATTATTGATTTTGTCATGGATTTCTTTTTGATTAAGAAATGCAGTCTACAGTTGGATGGTTTAACCTTCTGGATTGTAATCATGACATATTATGTTTGTAATTTAGTGTAATATGTCACTGGTTTGATCAGTTTAATGCAATTTTGTTCTTTCCATAAGTTTACTTGCTTAATTTTATTTGGATTGAATTTTCGATTCAATTTGTGTGTATAAGGTTGTTTTTGTTGGCTTGTTTTATGTTTGGGCTTAGGGATGGCGGATATTTGAATATCTTTGCAGTCATTTGATGATATTTAATTACTAGATATAATTGAGTTTACTTACTTCTTGTTTGCGACACTCAGGACAATAAATTTATTCTATTTAATATGTTTTGTTGTTATTTCAAAGGAGTAATTGAATTATTTTAAGTTCTTAAAATAACTAATTAGGACACTGAAACTTGTTATTATATTATTCGGATGACTTCGGACTTTTGTCGGATTCAGCCGAAGAATTTTCGTAGTTCTATTTTTAACTACGGTTACCAAGCATTGATCACAACATCATAACAACTTTTCATTGGTCATAGGAGTTTGTATTCCTACGCTTCTAGTACTTATACTGATTACTTACCATTTATCATTGCTATTAGTATTTTTCGTGTCGCTTTGAAGTTTCAAATTTCCCGCCCTCCCACCGCTCTTTGTGTGAATTGATATTTTAGTTCATACCTGTATTTTTTGTATGACGTTTCTATAGTTCGAGTTGATGTAATTTGTGTAGTACATGCGGATATTTGAATATCTTTGCAGTCATTTGATGATATTTAATTACTAGATATAATTGAGTTTACTTACTTCTTGTTTGCGACACTCAGGACAATTTCTTGACCTGAGAGAAATAAAGATATTTGTATTTGTATTTAGGGACCTACCAATATGCTAGTCTAACAGTAAAAATATTGAGACAGTTGTAGCAAAAGGAAAACTAACAGTTGTAAGGTAACAGAATATTAGCATTTGAAACATTTGAATGTGTGACAAACATTTCTTTTCATGAAATATGTCTTTATATATCTTTTCTGCAGCAAGATAATTGGTAAATTTAATGGGCACCTCTTCACTTTTTCTTTTATAGATAAACAGCCAAGTTATCAATTAGGGACATGAAACAGACTTTAAAGTTTTAAACATGAACTATGTAATGATGTAAGGGAGATGACTTAAGGAAAACTTTATTCCCAGTCAAACTTCGCAAGATGTAACTTCGCATTAAACCAAGATGTAACTTCGCATTAAACCAAGATGTAACTTCGCATTAAACCAAGTTTCCAGAGAATATTTAAATGCACTTGAAGACACAAAACTTTAATGTTTGAATGAAGAATTGTTCTTTTTTTTAAGTTTTAACATATTTCAATATTTTTTATATTTTTTTTTATGAAGAACTATGAAAATAGGTCCTGAAAGAACATTTAAACAAATTCAAGACTGTTTACAGGAACAAACCAGTATTGATGTCAGATGATAAAAAAGTAACAACTTGAGTAGGGCTTAAACTCATGATCCTCGCCTGGGGAATTTTAGGTCACTGCTAACATTCTCAGCTTTTTTCAACCAAAGCAGTAAAATGGTGGCACGATAGCTCAGGTGTTTCACCACAGACTGTCACTCCTGAGGTCCCAGGTTTGATCATGGGTAACACCCTTGGGATTTTGCAGACACACTTTCAGTGATTCCCACCAACCTAGAGGTGTACTGGTAAGAAATCCAGGTAATCCTCGCATGTATCAGTGCCATACACTGGGCATGTAAAAGAACCAAGGGGTCTATTAAAAAAGACCTAGGGACTGGTTCCCGGATTCCCTTGTATCTCATAGCTGTCTCTGAAGTCTAGAGTCATGTCTACGTCCCCGCGAGGGGTTTGACATTAAAGCAGCACGCCTCCAGATTCATGCTAATTATCATGAACATTTGAAAATGGAGTTAACAGTAAAATATTGTAAAGTTACCAAAAGAATGCAATGTACACATTATCAATGGCACTTACAACCTATGTAAATTACTATAATGAGGTCAAAATATGCAGAAATAGCCCTTACTGCGTTACTAACGCAGTAGAAATATAATTATAAATACTGAAAAATTCGTCATTAATCGCACAGAACATGTAAATTTTTACTAGAATTTTGAATCTTTATACATGTACCTTTCCTAAAATCTTAGTACAGTTTTCTCAGGTTTGATTCTATCGAAATAGTTTTGCTCATCTGGAGGCGTGCAGCTTTAATGGAAGATAGATATATATCAATAAAAAGAGAATCTTACAAATACTTCACATCACAACAGAATAGAAAAGTGATAAACCTCACTGAGTAAATTCCTAGTTTCCTCTGGAGTGTCTTGTATTTCTACAACAACACTATCTCCTAGAGTATTAGTAAACTTGTTACTCTCTTCTCCATATATACTTTCCTTGATGCCTGGAAACTGAAATATATAATGATTCAAATTTTTATCTTTTTCTTTATTTTTTGCAACATAACATATCTGACCAACTATAATCATAGATGAGCTAATATGGGCAATGTGTTCCCCTACAAAAGTGAGATTCTTACACAGAATGTAATTATCTCAGTAACTTAAGTACTAGTATCTCTAAATCTACTCAATATGTCAAATAACTTTGAATGACAAAACAAGAGTACAATGGTTCTTATTTCATATTTAAACAAAGAACTGTTTGATTTTTGCAATTTGATTTAACAAATATGAAAGAGAGCATATCATTACGATTTATAACAAGAGCCGTAAGTAGGACTGCATGCTCAACTATTCTCAGTGATTGATAGTAATAGGGGCATAACATTGTAAAATAAGCTTGATACAGTGCCCTCTTCCTGTATACAGGTTAAGCTTATGATTGTGAATAGTGTGCTAAGTCTCAAAGCCATATCTCTATGGATTATCTGAGATGGTTCGAAAACTTAAACATAAATTTTAAGTCGAAAAAGGGGAATAATTCTGTCAAAATGCTTGATAGAGTTATTTCCTCATGTGTACAGGTTGAAGGCATGATGGTGAACAAGTGTAAAGAGTTTTAAAGCCAGATATCAATAGAATTTAAAAATATTTGAGTGGTACATGTACACAAGGTTTAATGTAAATTCTAAGTTGAAAAAGAGGCATAGTACATTGTAATTCTGTCAAAATGCTTGATACATGTACAGATTGGGGGCATGATGGTGAACAAGTGAGCAAAGTTTCAAAGCCATATGTTGATCGACTTTGAAAATATGCAAACTTTAACATACGTGGTTTCGTCAAAACACTGGGGACTAGGATAGCTCTCCTTATTCTTCTAATAGACAAGCTAAAAATAAACCACATCAATTATTTCTCTGAAGAATGTTGTTAGCTTATTACAATTATCTAATGTCAGGATTACTAGAAACATATCCATCCAACAGCGACTTGTAGTTTTACTGTGACTTTAAGTACCCATCTGTGCATTGTGTCACGCCCAAGCAAGCACACATGTAGATCCACCAACCTGTAAGCTAGCTTAATAGCTTCCTCATATAAAATAATCCAAAGTCTCTACAGAAATATGATCTCACCTTGTTTTTAAGGTCATATCTTACAACTTCTTGGACCAATACATCTGCAAGCGTCTTAAAATCTTTTAAGAATCTATCATTTTTTTGTTCGCCCTTCTTTTCTTCAACTAGAAGTTCAAGAAGTGAAGATTCTGAGCGTATTATTCTAGCTATATTTGCTCCCTTTTCTGCAACATTTATCAAAGCTTCCAATAAAATGCTTACTTTCATCCTGAAATATAATAAATGTACAATATATGTAGATATTTTTTTGGGGGGTAGGTTGGGGTGTGAGGGGGGTTTACATTTCACCAACACAGTATACAAGGTAGCAAGCAATAAGACTATTCAGCAGCATCATTTTCAGGTGTATTTTATTGAACTGCACATCCCCCAAAACCATGCTTGACCAGCACCAGTTTATATGAAAGATATATACTAATATATTATTCTTTTCAACAACATGATTTCTCTGCACTTAACTAACATTTTCTAACACCTAAATGTTTATTCTTTCAACAAATGTATATATTTACGGGAACAAGGGTTGTCCTCCCTCAACTTTTTCAAATGAAATATTGATTTTATATATGTAATAGGTACCTCCCTTCGGTTTCCAGTATTGATGTAAACAAACAAGCAGACTTATAATTTACACATTTGAGAATGTCCATGCATACAGATGTAGGATTTTCATGCACATGTCTCTATACTCTCTAAAATGCACGAGATCTTACAAAAAAATTGTGGGAATCAGGCATCCTAGAATAGACACTGGAGCTACAAACCTGGGTCTTGCAAGCAACACATGATCTTAACAATGCACTGGATTATGTGCCAGATATAACTTTAAAATTCATCAATTTTAAATGTAAAGTTATGAACCAGACCAAAAGCAGTTCTGAAGACGATTAAAATACTATTCATGCCACTAATTACTTAAGACTTCAACCTGAAACTTAAATCAATGCCATATTTTATTATTAATTCATTTTAAGGGAATAGGAGATATTATCAATCATTCTTATTAGATTTATACTCAAACTCTGTGTTATCTGTTACCAAGGTCTTTGACTTCAAACCACTTGCCCCTCACCACTGTGGGTTCGAATCCCGACAGGGACTTAATGGATTCTTTCATGTGAGGAAGCTATCCAGCTAGCTTATGGAACGTCGGTGGTTCTACTCAGGTGCCCGTTCATGCCTGAAATAATGCACGGAAGGGCACCTGAGGTCTTTCTCAACCAGTAAAGCTGGAACGTCGCGATATGACCTATACTGTGTCAATGTGACGTAAAACCCAAAACAAACAAACCTGTAACCAACAGCATGAACAAGTTCAAAATATATTTTGTATTTGTAATGTGGGGTCATGTGTATGTTAAACTTAAAAATCTTTCACCTATCTATCTGTCTCTGAATAATACCAACCCCTCTCGCGAGTGTTATAGGTAGGAATTAAGTGCAAGCCAGATTGTAAGAAAAAGATGAAAGAAAAGCAAAAATTTAATAGTCCAAGCCATTATAAATATGCTAGGAAGGTGAGACTGGAATTTCCTGTCTGGAAATGCATTCTAGTCATGGTTAAAATGTTAATAGTAAAAGAAGAAGATGAAGGATAAATTAGTTAACCTAGTTAGATAAAAAAAACTGTTAACACAGGGGTGCGGAATTACTATGCCCGACTTGGTACTTTTTGCAGGCAGACAAGTAGATTTTTACATAGCGGTAGTCTGCGAACAAGTGCATTTCTGAGTCAGAAAAAAAGCAAAATGCCGAAATTCTAACAGTACTTGATTGTGTAATTTTTCACGATGTTGATTAATCAGTGTTTACAAATAAATTTTATTTGTACACCATCTCCAATAGCACAAATAAATCAATATTATACGATGCTATTTCACCCCGTATGAGGCCTCTCACTTCTATTGGAAAACAAACTTGGCGATTGTTTGTATCAAGGCAACCAGTGCCTTACTCTTAGTATATAATGCCCAGCATCATATATTCATTGTTTTGTTGTAAATTGTTTTGATACATAATGCACAAATTTTTGGTTAGGTCTAATAAGAACCTGAAAAACATAAATCAAAAATACAGAGAGACAAAGAATATGACCGCAAACACATTTGTGTGTTTAAATATAGCTGGTTAACCAATTTTACTCTGCTCCAAAAAGACAATAATTTGGACAAACTTTATTGTCATGTTTGCGAATGTTACCGCGATCTCGGCTCTTTACTAAGAAAAATAATTAATATTTAAAGAAAGGACACTCTTACATCACATCAAATGTCATTCAACCGTGTCATGTGTGTCCTAATACCAGTTTTAGCAGTAGATCCAGTTCTCAAACCTCTAAGCATTCAAGAGGTCTTTTAGTATTGTAACAGGACGGACAAACGGACAAAAAGTGATCACAATTAACGTCCTAGTTATTTACCCAGGTTCATTGAAGATTAAATTGAAAATTCAAATATGAAGAACATAGGCATTTCAGAGTTCAACAATTTTATTGCAAAATAGATTTAAGATAATATGTTTCTATGTCAAAGTATTAAATTGATTTCCTAAAATGTCACGAAATGAAAAATATTAGTTACAAAAAAAAAAACATCATAGGGAAAATAGAGAGAAATGACCAAGTCAGGCGATAATAGGCATACGCTACCTTTTGCATCTGTAGACAAGGCCATGAAATGACCGAAAATACTGGCTTATATAGCCACTTCTCTCTGCAATCACACAATTCATGAAAAATGCAAGACTTGAAAATAAATAACAAAAAGAGGAATGTTACAAAATATTGAGTAAACAATATCAAGAATCAATATTCTGCTTTAAAATGTATTGAAGTGTATTAAGTTAATTTTAATGAACAACCCTCTATTGGATAAAACCCTTACATAAGATATGAATAGCATGAATATCATGAAATAATGCATTAAGTTATGCTTACTGTTACTATAGATAGAAAAAATAGTGCCAGCTGAATGATTTTGAAAAGATACTAAATGTATAAATAAGGCTAAGGAAAAATATTCATTGTTTATATATTATTCTGAAAATAAGATTATATCAGTAAAATGTAATGATAGGCATTCCTGCTACAGTATAAATAAAAATAATCTTTATAAAAAATCTTTACATATGTACACTTTAATCTTTATGTAACATTTCTGTAAAATTTGACTGAAATTCAACAATTAAAAAAGCTCTATTTCTATCTTGGAAAAACACAACCCTCTTTTTTAAAACTGACATGGCCTCTTAAAATAAAGAACCTATTCTCAAACCCCTTTAAGTATCTCTGAAATTCTGTTGCTTAGTTTAGCCAATGAAGTGATTGTTATATGACTACAACATGACAAAGAAGTTCCCTACAGGATGCAGGTACCTGCTTTAAGATATTTTTGTCTCTAATATTCATTTTCACAAATAGTTAATGGTGTAATTACAGGACTTAAAAAGGTAATAGCAATTTGTATGAAATTACGCTAAGTAATAAAATATGTAATGTAAATATTTGTTCCTATGCACTGTTTACATTTGACATCAGCAGACATGTCTGTCAGAAACTAAGCTTTTAAGCACACAAGTTCAGGACATCAAAGTCACAATACGATAAAATCAAGTTCAGCACAGACAAAAAGAGAAATTATGAACATTGCTACTGCAGAGTGTAAGTCTCTAAATTACGGAAATATTTGAGTGTCTTAAGTAAATCTAGGATTTTATTTACTAACATGAAATTGTGGCATACCTGGGAAAAGTGTTTGGCCAAGTGCCTATTATGACATAGGTCGCGAAATCTAACGAAATTATAAAAATTTGCGTACAAAGAATAACCTGTGAACACAGTCACACAAAAAAGTATAGAAAAATATCAAACACTTTTATCATATTATCAAATAAAGTCATTGGTTTATCATAGTCACAAAAAAGACAATGTTTCTAACTTTTAACCTTTGCGTTTCTCAATTTCCGTACTACGCCTTGCATACTACGTCATCAGTTTTTGCGTAGATAATAGTAGCTCGAATTTTTGACAAACGTATCTATTAATGGTCACAAAAATATCGTCAATAATCTTACAGATCAATTAATAAATATTGAAATTTAGTAATAAAATTTGATAAACAAATGTCTCTTCTTCAATCTTCATATAATATTTCATTCGCCGACAAAGCAGATTAATGATAAATTTGTCTCAATCTTGTTGAATCTGTCGAAACTAAAACCCGGCTACTTCCTTTTTCAAAACAAACAAATTTGACGATTTGTGACCATAACAGCGGAATTTGACGAGATATTCTGTTTGGATTTGAATTGAATATCATTATTTAATTGTGACTTGGATGTTTGTTGAATTCTATTGCTGGATACAGTGTTTTTTCTTGAAATATGTCCAATTAACTTTATGGCGACATCTAATGGAGGAAAAATTCTTTCAGGGAAAGGTAACTCGATTAAACTTGACTGTCATGTGGCATAGAAGTTATTAATTTTGTGCTTTTATTATTCGTGATAACATGCCAAGACAGAGAGATCATGCAGTATTTGACGAGTTTGATGCACGGGCATACTCACATCTGGTGCCTGGGCAAAATTCCCAGCCACAGCAAAGTCAGCAGTACAGTAGAAAGCATGAAAAGAGAAAGAAGTCTAAACACAAGTCTCATAAAAGATCTAGAGACAAAAGTGATAAAGAGCGAAGCAAAGGTAGAGCTTCTTCACAAAATCCTCCAGTTGAAGTGCTAGGACGTACAAGTATTGTGGATTATGAGGATGTTAGTTCGGAGTCTGCAGGGTCATTATCTGATGTATCAGGGACCCCAAGTAGTTCTATACCAGCTGGGACAAGTCGCATGGACTCTGCTCATGGTAAAAGAGACCAGTCACCAGCTTCTGCTATACGATCTTACATGAATGAAAGAAGCCATAGTAATTCACCTGTGATACGTGAATCTAGTCCACAACGAACTGAAAGAAATGCTAGAAAATCAAAGAAAAGACATAGGTCTCCGGAAATTATTAAAGAACCAGAGTTAAAAGCAAAAGCTTATGCAGAACCTCCTAAGGCATATGCAACTCCTAGGGCGTATGCAGAACCAATGTCAAAAAATGCATACAGGAATAATAGTCCAACAAGTGTAAAAAAGAGGCACAGGTCAAGATCTCCAACTAGTCCATACAGCAGAAAGAGAAGTCGAAGCAGGTAATAATCAGTATTTTCTATTCTTTTGATTAATGAATTAAGGCAATGTAGGTACTTACTTTACCCATTGCTGATGGCTGATTGCTGATTGATTGATGGGTTCAAATCTTGCCAGGGATGTTGAATTCTTTGAGATAAATCCAGCCGGTCTTGGAATTTAAGGCAGTCCGAGTCTTAATTTTGTCGGAATATGACATGTTTGAACAGACTAAAATTTTTGTTACTTTGTATGAGAAACTTGAAATTCAGCTTTAATTTCTATTTTTGTTGAAATTATCCATGGCAATAAGGAAAGACCATTTTTTGCTTTATATAAATTAATGCAGTACATACGTTACTTAAAAACTCACAAAAAAATTTATTGTTACTGATCAATATCCGGCTTTCACACAAATCCTGGAAATATCTTTATTTATGTTTTTAGTACAGAATAACCTTTCGTTATGATAATGAAGTGTGATATGGGGTACAAAATAACCTTGTACATGTATGTATTAACATGAAAAATACAGGTCTGCTTTTGTTTGTTTGTAACCCCAAATTAGCTGGAAAAAAACTTAATATACTTACCGTAAGTCTTTTGGACAGTGGGCTTCCATAGGAAACTACTTTCAATAACTGAATGATTATAAAAATTGTATTTATAATAAAAATGTTGTTAAAATTGATTGAAATGATATCAATTCTGAAAATTTGTATTTTTTTAATGTAATAAAAAACAAATTGCTAACAAAATTAATTAGTGAAAATCTAATATTTAATAGCTACAAAAACTAGTAATGTTATTAAAGTTTTTTGTTTGTTTGTTTTGGGTTTTACGTCACATCGACACAATATAGGTCGTATCGCGACGTTCCAGCTTTACTGGTGGATTATTTCCCGCAAGAACGGCACCTGAGTAGAACCACCGACGTTCTGTAAGCTAGCTGGATAGCTTCCTCACATGAAAGAATCCATAGTCCCAGTCGGGATTCGAACCCACAGCCGTGAGGGGCAAGTGATTTGAAGTCAACGACCTTAACCACACGGCCACGGACGCCCCATTATTTTAACTAATTGACTTTAAGTTGACAGAGAATGTAAACATCAGTAGAAGTTTTTGATGTCGACAGTTAAAAAACCTAATGTTAAAGTAAGCAGATTGAAACCATACTGTGGGACAAATATTACTTTTTGACCAGACAATAATTGAACATTTTTTACCAGGAAATTTCATTTTTTAAAATACGCCTGTTTGAAAAACAAGTCATATTGTAGTTCCCCCCCGGGCGGGTGGCGTCCAATTTTTTTTGGAGCATGACTGTCTCCTACACGTATGGAGGAATTTTAATGAAACTTCATAGAAACTGTCACCACTATGAGAGGCTGTGTGGCGTGCATGAACCAGGTCTCTAGGTCAGTGGTCAAGGTCACGCTTAGAGGTCATTGAAAAAGCTTGCCTGGGGCAAAACTTCTGCATGCATTGAGGGATTTCAATATTTTTTTTGCACAAATGTTTATCATTTTTGACGTGGAGTGTCACATGCTAAATTTAGGTCCCTGCGGTCAAGGGTCAAAGTATAGATAGAAATATGAAAATGTGTATTTGGACTATTTAGTCATCATTAATTAAAGATTGAAACACAAATAGTCACAGAGCTCCAGATAATTTTTTTGGACAAGGGGTTTTTACCCCTCAAAATCTAGAGTGAGGGGTAAAATGCAAATTCTGAAAAACTTACCATGTAAGGGGTAAAATCTGTCAAAAAAAGTATTATACATTTTTTATAAACAAATTAAACTTATAACTTTACAAATAAGATACTGATTCAATGTGAAACAATACAAAACATGCTCTGTAAAGTCAGACTTCCAGAGTATACTGGAACTCAAGTTTTAAGGATGCACAGCAAAGTTATTAGGGCTTCCATTTTCAAAATTTGGAAGCCAGACTTCAAAATCTCTGATATTGGAAGTCACATTTTATAGGTAAAGAAGGAAAAGTATTAGATTTTGGAGGTCTCAAGCCAAAATGAAGGAGTGAATGACTCCCAAACTTCCACTAGTGGAAGCCCTGAAATTATTTTATATTCTAGGAGTCATTATTTTCTTTCTTTATTTCTGTTGGCATGTACCTTATCATGTACTCCAGTTTGAATAATTATAGTTAAAATTAGAATTAAAGAAAATTAAACAAAATCCTTTCACGCTTAAATTTTGACATACAAGCATATTTTCATTTTGTTGTGCGTAACTTTGACGTACGGATTTTAAAAGTGATGCGTATTTTAGATTTTATCTATCTGGAGCTCTGTAGTCACAAATAGTCATTTACTCATTATTATGACTACTGGTGTTAAACATGTGATTTATATTAATATATGCATAAGGTCACTAAAGATGATGGTCAAGGCCACTAAAAATGATAAAATATAGATTTTTTCTAGAGCATATCTCTTACACATATGGAGGGATTCTAATGAAACTTCATACAAATGTTCATCATTATGAAAATTTGTATCCAGCTTTATTTGTCATCCAATGAAAAGGCTGTATTTCTTAAAAATTGTGTGTGTTAATATTCATAGAAGAACAAAGTCGATTCCATTCATAGTCCCCGTCTATTTTTCATAGTATTTCATAGAAGGGCGTAGTGACATAACCAAGTTAATTATTATGAGGCCACACTAAATATGTTAGTATTCATAGATCTGTAGCTGTTCTACAGACCTGTCGCTATCGATTATCGCTCCCGTCAAAGTTTCTAATTTCTGTAGAACAACACGGATGAACACTAACATATAATAAGAGTCATTAGCACGATCAGGGGTGCGGAATTACTATGCCCGACTTGCCCGACTCGGGACTTTTTGCCGGCGGACAAGTAGATTTTCACGTAGCGGTTGTCCGCGGGCAAGTGAATTTCTGAGCCAGAAAATTAAAGCAAAATGCCAAAATTCTTACATAAAATTGATAACGAACATTAATTTTTATCCCAATAATGTTTAATCCGTATTTAATATGCGTAAAATTAAATTATAAACTACCTCCCGCAGCATGAATAAATCGATGTAAATAAATGCTATTTTCCCCCGTATGAGGCCTCTCGCTATTCTTGGAATAGGTCGTATCGAGGCAACCAACCGGTGCTTTAGTAAATAATGCCCATTGTGAAGGTCGCGTTGTAAAGTTATTTTGGTACGAAATGGACAAATTTGTCGTTCGTTCTGGTGGTGCAAAGCTGCCTGAAACACCCAAAGAACCAGAAAAGCGTAAATCTAAAGCCCAAAGAGACAAGGAATATGACCGTAAACGCATGCGTGTGTTTAAAGATAGCTGGTTTTAACGATTTTTCTTGGCTAAGAAAGGAAGATCATTCGGACAAACTTTTTTTGTCATATTTGTAGAATGTACCCATGATTCTATTGACAATATGTTCACATACACAATAAAACAGTTCTGTTTAAATAATGTTTGCTTTCAACTCTTGTATAATTGTTCATTTATAACTGTACAAACATGGTAGTAGTTATGAAAATGTTTAGAAAAAATGTTTGTCTAATAAAGCCATTGAAATAAACCTGTTTTTCACTGTTTATTTGGGCAAGTCAACTTCAGCTGCGGACAAGTAGAAATTTCAGTCCAACTTGTCCGTGGGCAAGTGGAAAAAAATCAAATTTCCACACCCCTGATGATATAGGTGTCTGGGTCAAAGGTCAAGGTCACACTTAGAGATCATTGAAAAATGCTTGTCTGGAGCAAAACTTCTACATGCATAGAGGGATTTAAGTATAACTTGGCACAAATGTTAAATATTGTGAGGCGGAGTATTGCATGCAAAATTTAGGTCCCTGCGACCAAGGTCAAGGTCACACATAGGGGTCAAATTTCAAATAAAGATATGAAAATGTGTATTCGGACAATTCAGTCATCATTTATTGAGGGATTTAAACACAAATGGTCATTATCATAACTACTGGTGTGAAACATGTTATTTAGACTAATATATATTAAAGGTCAAGGTCACTGAAGATGGTAAAATATGGAAATATTGTCCAGAGCATATCTCCTCCAGGCATAGTAGGATTCTAATGAAACTTCATAGAAATTTCACCACTATGAAAAGCAGTGTCCTGGCATGAACCAGGTCTCTAGGTTAAAATAAAAGGTCACACTTGGAGGTCAATGAAATATGCTAGTTTGGAGCTGAAATTCTACATTCATTGGGATTTTAATGTAGCTTGGCACAAATGTTCACCATTGTGAGCTTAATTGCGCACATAATGCAGGTCCCTGCTACCAAAGTCAAAGTCACATAGAGAGGTCAAAGTTTGTGCATGGGGACCATTTAGTCATCATTTATTGATGGATTGTAACACCAATGAGAACTGTCATGACTACAAGCGTGACACATGTAATTTAGGTCAATATTTGCAAGGTCAAGGTCACTAGAGATGATGAAATATCTAGATATTTTTCTGAAAATTGCCCAGAGCATATCTCCCATAGTGCCCACATCTCTGTCAAAAGCTTTTGTGACGGGCGTATTTTGTGACAATGTTGACCTTGTTGACAAATGTGTTGTGTTTTTCAGAATGTTTGTAAACAACTTAATTTTTTTTTCATAATGGAGCTTGAATGTAATGCCTATTCAGTTTTTCTCTAGTATAGTACATACACGATTTTGAAATTTCCTGTTGAGAATAATTTGAAGTAAAAAAAACAACATGTTTTTCTATTTGCAGGTCTCGACTTAGAGTTAAAGGGGCACGTCGGTCAAGAAGTCGGAGTCCTCCAAATTGGTCTAGAAGGAGTAGATCGAGATCTCGCAGCCATTCCAGGCAGTTAAAGCGCAGACTTACACCTCCCGCTAGTCCAACTGCTAGATCATCACATCGTTCTTCTAGCAGTAAAGTAAAGTATGCGCCAACAAGTTTAGCATCAGAACTCAGTAAGCACAGAAAAGCCCGTGAAATGCGGGATTTACGTGATGCTCAAATAGCAGCTAACTTGAGAAAATCTGTTAGTGACCTGCCATTAGAAAGTAAAAAGGAAGTGAAAATTAAAAAAGAACGGACACCTGAACGTAAAAGTTTAGAACCATTACGTAAAGAGCCAGAATATTCCCGTAAAGAAAGACTGCAAGATGCTAGGGAAGCAAACATTGTTGTTAAAGTAGAAAATGTTCAGCATAATCATGGAACTATGTCTGAAAGTAGACAAATGGAGCCAGTGTATTCTCCCAAGAGACAGGCTCCTGAAAGAGTGCATGAAATGGATGTATTAGCAGGCAAAGTGGGAAGAATTGAGGAAAAGCCAAATTTTGCTCCACCAAAGGATTCTCCTGGCTATGAAAATGTTAGTGATATAGAGCCTAGTCCAGCTCAAAGGTATGTAAATGGTGGAAGTTTCTTAAAAACTCTTCTATATATATATATATCTCTTATAAAAGATTAGTTAGCTTACCGATCACCATGTGTCAAACATTAACATTTGTTATAAACAAAGGCCTCTTTAAAAATGCTCAAATAGCTCCAGTCTGCTGAACAAGATGGCAGCTAGAGCTAAAAATAGAAAAAAACTTTATAACTCATGTCATCTCATCCTCAATGGCAAGGTAGGTTCGAGTCCCGGTCAGGCTACATAATTTTTTTGCAACCTGTGACAATGGGGGACTGTGAATGAATATAGCTCAGGGTTTAATTTACATTGCTTTATAACTCTGTGAAATTCAAGGACGAATTTCAATATAGCAGGGGAGTATGTCACGGTTCAGAACTGCACTATTTATGGTAGGTGATGTGTAAGCGGCCGGATAGCTCAGTCAGTAGAGCCGTGGTACAGTATTTCGGGGGGTTCTGGGTTCGAGTCTCGGTTAGGCTTCACATTTTTCTCACCCTGTGACATTTAACCCATGGATAAACATGTATTAATATAATTTATTGCAATAACTGCTTTGTTACTGTTGTTAATCTTGCAATTCACATTGTTAAATATTTACCCCATAACTTGCACAATTTTAGTGAGAATTTTAATTTAACCCCACTTTATATTAAACATGTAACAGTATATATTCTTAATGTTGTATTTGCAGTGTTCAGCCCGCCCAGCACAAGGCCACTCCTCCACCTTCAACGAAACACAGAATTTCAGATCTACCCATGCCACCCACAGTAGATTATCCAAAATCCAAACCCAGGTAAAAATTTCCTCCCTCTTATTGTATCTATTTACCCTATTCAAACCTTGATACTGGATTTTTTTTGGTCCAGATTTATAGTATTACTTGTAATCCTTTAATTCATTCTGTCAGAATGCTTTTTCCAGAGAAATTTGTAGGCAGCCATTGCCAATTGTAGAATTACCATGTCTTGTTGTTGGGCTAAGTGCAAATTTTGATGACTGATATCCTCTTCAAATTTGTAAAATCGTATTTTCATTAAAGAATGCAGTTGTGTTTTAAAGCTTTTGACAATGTGTATGTCCATATATAAAAAGCTGAATGCTGTATAATTGTTGTTTAGTGGCTTGGGTCATATAAGGTTACACCTATATAATCTGTCAGAAATCTATAACCAGAAATATAAAAATCATATTTATATAAGTATACAACATTCATATTATATATTTACAGAGAGCAGAGACCGACTAGTCCCCAAAGACAGCGTAGGATTACTGACCTGCCCATGCCCCCTGTGATAGATGAACCTGATGTAGAACAAGATTATGAGAATTCTCCAGTTGACTTTAGAGATTCAGAATCGGAAAAGAAAGAAGGCAAACCGAAACGTCCTAAGTATGTTCTTACCCTATTTTTGGATTATTCGATAGAATTATGAAAAAATTTTATGCAAACAGGCATTTTCTTACTTAGAATCATATGGATTTGTGATTATTTATCCTTGAATAAAAGTACACTTCTTCACATAAAGACATTAATATACCCCTTTGGGAGTTACTAGGATTCTTCAATGCCTGTTCATTTAACAAACCATTTCCTGGTTTAATACTATATTATACCCCTTTTAAACATAAAAAATATGAAGTTTTCTCTTCATAACCTCTGAAGGTGTTAATTTGAAAGATCTAACTTGACTTAGGGTCATAAAGCACTCTCCAAGACCCATATCAAATACATGGATTTCACGTCAATTATTCCTCACTTTAAAACATTTATTTTCCATCTGCAAGGTTGAATAATTCCTGCATGACTTTTTAGCTCACCTGAGCTTGCTCAGGGTGAGCTTTTAGGATCGATGAATGTCCGTCGTCCGTCGTCCGTCCGGCCGTCCACAATTGCTTGTGAACACTCTAGCGGTCGCATTTTTGCCTCAATCATCATCAAACTTGGTCAGGATGCTTATCTAGTTGAAAGCTCGGATGAGTTCGAATATGGGTCATCTCAGATGAAAAACTAGGTCACAAGAGCTAAAAATAGAAAAACCTTGTGAACACTCTAGAGGTCACATTTTTGACCCAATCATCATCAAACTTGGTCAGGATGTTTGTCTAGGTGATAGCTCGGATGAGTTCGAACATGGGTCATCTCGGATGAAAAAGTAGGTCACAGGAGCTATAAATAGAAAAAACCTTGTGAAACACTCTAGTGGTCACATTTTTGAACCAATCATCATCAAACTTGGTCAGAATGCTTGTCTAGTCAATTGCTTGGATGAGTTCGAACATGGGTCATCTCTGATGAAAAACTAGGTCACAGGAGCTAAAAAATAGAAAAACCTTGTGACCACTCTAGTGGTCACATTTTGACCCAATCATCATCAAAACTTTGTCAGGATGCTTGTTTAGATAATAGCTCGGATGAGTTCGAATATGGGTCATCTCGGATGAAAAAGTAGGTCACCGGAGCTATAAATAGAAAAACCTTGTTAACACTCTAGGCGGTCACATTTTTTGCATCAATCATCATCAAACTTGGTCAGGATGCTTATCTAGTTGATAGCTTGGATGAGTTCGAACATGGGTCATCTCGGATGAAAAAGTAGGTCACCGGAGCTAAAAAATAGAAAAACCTTGTTAACACTTTAGCGGTCACATTTTTGCATCAATCATCATCAAACTTGATCAAGATGCTTGTCTAGGTAATAACTCCGATGAGTTCGAACATGGGTCATCTCGGGATGAAAAACTAGGTCACAGGAGCTAAAAATAGAAAAACCTTGTTAACACTCTAGTGGTCACAATTTTGACTCAATTGTCATCAAACTTGGTCAGGAAACTTGTCTAGGTCATTGCTGGGAATAAATCGAACATGGGACATCTCGGATGAAAAACTAGGTCACAGGGAGCTAAAAATAGAAAAAATCTTGTTAACACTCTAGTGGCTACTGTTGTGATCCAAATATTCCTGTTAATTGGTTTCTGAAAAGTTTGTTTTGATGATTTCTAAGTCAAGATCGAACATGGGTCATCTTGGATGAAAAACTAAGGTCACACCCGCCCAAATATGGAAAAACCTTGTTAACATTCTAGTGGTCACATTTTTCGACTCCATTATCATCAAACTTGGTCAGAATGCTTGTCTAGGTAATTGCTTGGATGAGTTCGAAATCGCATGTGAAACTAGGTCACCGGAGCTAAAAATAGAAAAATCTTGTTAACACTCTAGTTGCTACTGTTTTGATCCAAGTATCCTGGAAATTGGTCTGAAAGTTTTGTTTTGATGATTTCTAGGTCAAGTTTGAATATGTGTCACCTGGGTAAAAAACTAAGGTCGCACTTGCTCAAATATGGATAATCCTTGTTAACACTGTAGTGGTCACATTTTTGACTCACCTGTCATGAGACTTGGTCAGAATGCTTGTCTAGGTAATTGTTTGGATGAGTTTGATAATTCAGGTGAGCGATCTAGGGCCATCATGGCCCTCTTGTTTTTAGCTCACCTATCACAAAGTGACAGGGTGAGCTTTTGTGATCGCTTTTCGTCCGGCGTTCGTCTGTCGTCCGTAAACTTTTACTTTAAATGACATCGCCTCATAAACCACCAAGCCAATTTCACCCAAACTTCACAGGAATGTTCCTTTGGTGGTCACCTTTGAAAATTGTTCAAAGAATTTAATTCCATGCAGCAACCATGGCAACCAAAAGAAAAAAACTTTAAATATCTTCTTCTAAAAAACTCAAAGAGCTAGAGCTTAGATATTTAGCATGAAACATCTTCTAGTGAGTGTCTACCAAGTTTGTTCAAATAAAAGCCCTGGGGTCAATATTGGCCCCGCCCCAGAAGGTCATTGATTTTCCCTATATGCATATAGTAAAAACTTAAAAAAATCTTCTTTTAAAGAACCCAAAGAGCTAGAGCTAAGATATTTAGCATAAAACATCTTCTAATGGGTGTCTACCAATTTTGTTCAAATAAAAGCCCTGGGGTCTAAATTGGCCCGCCCCAGGGGGTCATTGATTTTCCCCTATATGCATATAGTTAAAACTTAAAAAACTTCTTTTAAAGAACCCAAAAGCTATTGCTAAGATATTTAGCATGAAAACATGTTTCTAATGGATGTCTAACTAAGTTTGTGTTCAAATAAAAGCCCTGGGGTCAAAAATTGGCCCTGCCCCAGGGGTCATTGATTTTCCTTATTTGTATATATACGTGTTAGTAAAAAAAAACTTTTAAAAATCTTCTTTAAAAAAAAAAAAACGGAAATAGCTAGCAGCTGAATATTAAGCATGAACATCTTCTAGTGGGTGTTTAGCAAGTTTGTTCAAATAAAAGCCCTGAGATAAAAATTGGCCCAGCCCCAGGGAGTCATTGATTTTCCTTATTTGTATATAGTAAAAACTATAAAAAATCTTCTTTTAAAGAACCCAAAGAGCTAGAGCTAAGATATTAAGCATGGACCATCTTCTAATGGGTGTCTACCAATTTTGTTCAAATAAAAGCCCTGGGGTCTAAATTGGCCCCGCCCCAGGGGGTCATTGATTTTCCCTATATGCATATAGTTAAAACTTAAAAAACTTCTTTTAAAGAACCCAAAAAGCTATTGCTAAGATATTTAGCATGAAACATGTTCTAATGGATGTCTACTAAGTTTGTTCAAATAAAAGCCCTGGGGTCAAAATTGGCCCTGCCCCAGGGGTCATTGATTTTCCTTATTTGTATATACGTGTAGTAAAAACTTTAAAAATCTTCTTTAAAAAAAAAAACGGAAATAGCTAGAGCTGAGATATTAAGCATGAACATCTTCTAGTGGGTGTTTAGCAAGTTTGTTCAAATAAAAGCCCTGAGATAAAAATTGGCCCAGCCCCAGGGAGTCATTGATTTTCCTTATTTGTATATAGTAAAAACTATAAAAAATCTTCTTTTAAAGAACCCAAATAGCTAGAGTTTAGATATTAAGCATGGACCATCTTCTAGTGGGTGTCTACCATGTTTGTTCCAATTAATTGATTTTCCTTATATACGAATAGCAAAAACTTAAAAAATCTTTTTTGAAAAAACTCAAATAGCTAAGGTATAGATACTAAGCATGAAACATCTTCTAGTGAGTGTCTACCAAGTTTGTTCAAATAAAAGCCCTGGGGTCAAAATTGGCCCGTCCCGGGGGTCATTCATTTTCCTTATATGTGTATAACAAAAAATTAAAAAATCTTCTTTGAAAAACCCAAATAGCTAGAGTTTAGATATAAAGCATGAAACATTTGCTAGTAAGTGTCTACAAAGATTGTTCAAATAAAAGCCCTGGGGTCAAAACTGGCCCTGCCCCAGGTGTGTCATTGTTTTTAACTATATGTGTAAAGAAAAAACTTGAAAAAATCTTCTTTTAAAAAACCCAACGAGCTAGACCTTAGATGTTTAGCATGAAACATCTTCTAATGGGTGTCTACCAAGTTTGTTCAAATAAAAGCCCTGGGGTTTAAACTGGCCCGCTCCGGGGGCCTATATACAGGTGAGCGACTTCAGGGCCATCATGGCCCTCTTGTTAGCTCACCTGAGCTTGCTCAGGGTGAGCTTTTAGGATCGATGAATGTCCGTCGTCCGTCCGGCCGTCCACAATTGCTTGTGAACACTCTAGCGGTCGCATTTTTGCCTCAATCATCATCAAACTTGGTCAGGATGCTTATCTAGTTGAAAGCTCGGATGAGTTCGAATATGGGTCATCTCAGATGAAAAACTAGGTCACAAGAGCTAAAAATAGAAAAACCTTGTGAACACTCTAGAGGTCACATTTTTGACCCAATCATCATCAAACTTGGTCAGGATGTTTGTCTAGGTGATAGCTCGGATGAGTTCGAACATGGGTCATCTCGGGATGAAAAAGTAGGTCACAGGAGCTATAAATAGAAAAACCTTGTGAACACTCTAGTGGTCACATTTTTGAACCAATCATCATCAAACTGGTCAGAATGCTTGTCTAGTCAATTGCTTGGATGAGTTCGAACATGGGTCATCTCTGATGAAAAACTAGGTCACAGGAGCTAAAAATAGAAAAACCTTGTGACCACTCTAGTGGTCACATTTTTGACCCAATCATCATCAAACTTTGTCAGGATGCTTGTTTAGATAATAGCTCGGATGAGTTCGAATATGGGTCATCTCGGATGAAAAAAAGTAGGTCACCGGAGCTATAAAATAGAAAAAACCTTGTTAACACTCTAGCGGTCACATTTTTGCATCAATCATCATCAAACTTGGTCAGGATGCTTATCTAGTTGATAGCTTGGATGAGTTCGAACATGGGTCATCTCGGATGAAAAAGTAGGTCACCGGAGCTAAAAATAGAAAAACCTTGTTAACCACTTTAGCGGTCACATTTTTGCATCAATCATCATCAAACTTGATCAAGATGCTTGTCTAGGTAATAACTCCGATGAGTTCGAACATGGGTCATCTCGGATGAAAAAACTAGGTCACAGGAGCTAAAAATAGAAAAACCTTGTTAACACTCTAGTGGGTCACAATTTTGACTCAATTGTCATCAAACTTGGTCAGGAAACTTGTCTAGGTCATTGCTGGGAATAAATCGAACATGGGACATCTCGGATGAAAAACTAGGTCACAGGAGCTAAAAATAGAAAAATCTTTGTTAACACTCTAGTGGCTACTGTTGTGATCCAAATATTCTGTTAATTGGTCTGAAAGTTTGTTTTGATGATTTCTAAGTCAAGATCGAACATGGGTCATCTTGGATGAAAAACTAGGTCACACCGCCCAAATATGGAAAAACCCTTGTTTAACATTCTAGTGGTCACATTTTTCGACTCCATTATCATCAAACTTGGTCAGAATGCTTGTCTAGGTAATTGCTTGGATGAGTTCGAAATCGCATGTGAAACTAGGTCACCGGAGCTAAAAATAGAAAAATCTTGTTAACACTCTAGTTGCTACTGTTTTGATCCAAGTATCCTGGAAATTGGTCTGAAAGTTTGTTTTGATGATTTCTAGGTCAAGTTTGAATATGTGTCACCTGGGTAAAAAACTAGGTCGCACTGCTCAAATATGGATAATCCTTGTTAACACTGTAGTGGTCACATTTTTGACTCACCTGTCATGAGACTTGGTCAGAATGCTTGTCTAGGTAATTGTTTGGATGAGTTTGATAATTCAGGTGAGCGATCTAGGGCCATCATGGCCCTCTTGTTTTATTACTTCGCACTTGGAACATTTTAAAATTCTGTCTATTTGACAGCTGTTGTTAATTACTACATATTGTACAAATCAAGTTTAACTAATTATGTTAAAAATATGGACTAAAAGTTTTAATTCCAATCAATAATTTCAGGTTATGTCAGCAGAGACGTCACAATGAAAGAATTAAAGGAGCATGGGGTGAACGCTGTGTTGACTTGTTTGACATAATAGAGATTATTGGAGAGGGAACATATGGTCAAGTGTATAAAGCTAAAGATAGTCTAACAGGTAATTATCCTAGAAATTAAATTAGATAGCAATGAAGGTATCACAGCTAGCAAGGCAAAACGGAGGGAAATTATTTCTCTCTTTTAGGCGAAAAATAGTGAGATTTATTTAATTTTACCCAGGAAATATGGTGCTATATCAGTCAAATATATTTCATATTTTTTAAAAATAAATATGAAATATAAATATGAAAGTGGGCGGAGTCAAAACTCATATTTATTTTCGCCGTTTTGTTTGAAAAATCTGATAAATACAAAACAACTTTTTCTTGAATTTTGTTTTGAAAACTATCCAGCATGATAGAAAATGGTCTAACTAAGAAAATTAATCCGAACACCAATATCTTTAATTCAGTAATTAACGCTGTACAGACATTTAAAGACTTGTTTACATGACGTCACAATGTAGCGCCAAACAGCGCGTGCTTACGCATAAATTACTGCGTGCTGTACAATTGCAGTTGGTAGCAAGCAAGGGGATTCGTTACCATTTTCTTTGATAATGGAATTAAATAAAAAGGTTATTTTTTCGTTTTTCGTGAAATATGGTATATATTTTCACTCAACATGATAAAATGCCACATATTTTCACTCGTACCGGCTCGTGAAAATATGTGGCATTTTATCATGTTTCGTGAAAATATATTCCATATTTCACGCAAACGAAAAAATATCCTCTTAATATTTCCACAGGACAGCGAGAAAATTGTTTTTTATTTGTCTCAATATCTTAAATTTTGAATAAAAATTAAATCCTATGTTGAATATAGATGATATATCAATAAAGCTATATTAAATGACATCCATACTATGTAAGACAAGCGATTTCTGTGTATTATAGGTGAGCTGGTTGCCCTGAAGAAAGTTCGGCTAGAGAACGAGAAAGAAGGTTTTCCTATAACAGCTGTGAGAGAGATCAAGATTCTGAGACAACTAAATCACACCAGTATTGTTAACTTGAAGGAGATTGTCACAGATAAACAAGAAGCTGTCGATTTTAGAAAAGACAAAGGTACGGTACATTTAACAATATTGGACACTTGTTGTAACAGTTGATATGCTGTCATCCAATAAAATATGAATATTAAAAGAAAGAACAATGGGATAGCAGTTTGGTATTAGTGTTGCTATAATTTTTCCAGTTAAGTCTGTATTTGAAAACCTACTGGATATGGGAGGCTTTCTTATCAAAATTATAAAAGTTACTTAATAAAATAACATTTAAAAAAAAAAACATGTGGATTCAATATATTTACTGTAATGTATTTCAATATAAATATAGCTGCCTAAATTGACTCACTTTTGGAGAATGATAGGTCTATGAAACTTGATTTCCTGAGTTTTAGTGTGGACCAAGGCACACTTTACTTTCTTGTAGTTTTTGATTGATGGTCAACATCATTTGTTCACAGCCATTTTAAATTGATTTTGTTAAAAAAATTGGCAGTAACTTGTGGAATAACAGTACTGGTTTGTATTCCAGAAACGTGATCCAATGATCTGCTTGCTGGTATAATATTGTTTATGTAAAAGCTGATTCAAAACTGATCTCTATGAATGCTTTACAAGTGCTTACCAGTTTTTCTGCATGTCAACACAATTTAACAAATTTAATAGGTGTATTATTAAGCTTTATTGTCATAGAAAAATACGTTTTGACCTGGGTTCACGGCTATTCTTACATCATACTGCTATTGCGTCAACAATTGGATTGCATCAGTATGAAGCCCAGGATATGGATTATATTCATGTAGATCTCATTGTTCTGTTATATATTATATTTATTCGCATAATAACTCGTGTTTTTCACATTTCAGGGGCATTTTACCTTGTATTTGAGTATATGGACCATGATTTAATGGGAATCTTAGAGTCTGGCATGGTAAACTTCTCAGAGATACATATAGCATCTTTCATGAAACAACTTCTACAGGGCCTCGAATATTGTCACACTAAAAATTTTCTTCACAGAGATATTAAGTGTTCAAATATACTCTTAAATAACAAGTAAGTTCATTTTGTGTTTCGATTTGTAATTTTGTTGTAAACTACAGTACTTTTTGTAAAGTCAATGTTTCTGTTTAAGTAGTAAGTAACCATTGCTAAAGCAGGTTAATAATACTTAAGCCTAAAAACGTTTTGAAAACTAATAGAAGGCCTTTAAAAGACATTTAAAAGTTAAATCTTACAATTGAGGCCTTAAATTAAATTTTTAACATATAACTTATGTCTGTCTAAATAATGATTGACCATAGCCATTAGGATAGAGCAGATGTCGATTAATTTATATGTCTATAGCAACAGTAATAAAGCCCATGACAATTTTACTACATGTCTCTTGACAGTTATAAAATCTTGATGAAATTTAGAAGCCTTTTGTTTTTCTTTATCCTTCAGACTTTTTAGGCAGTATACTGAAAAATTGTTGATCCTAATAAATTGTATTTGTTTGTTATTATAGGGGTCAGATAAAGTTAGGTGATTGGGGTTTAGCACGTTTGTATGATGCCGAGGACAAGGATAGATTGTACACAAATAAAGTGATAACACTTTGGTATAGACCTCCAGAACTTCTTCTTGGTGAGGAAAGATACGGCCCTTCAATAGATATATGGAGTATAGGGTAGGTGTTGACACTTACTTCAAACCTCTTTCTTTGTTTACTCTAAGTAGTACATTTGTTATGAATTGCTCACAAAACGTTATGGTTTTCAATCAAAACACACTTTGAGTTCTTTTGTTTTGGAAAGACAAGATGGCCTAGTGGTTAAGGTGTCTGCCTCTCAGTTCTGGAATCATGATATTTGTTACTTTGGTAACAGTCATGTTTCCTCATAAGATACCAGTACTTGTTTGATTCAGGACGTAGATTTGAGACAGGTTTAAATAAGCTCTAAATCAATCTGGGGGTAAACAATTCGACCCATGCAGTTAGTGCAGACCTTGATCAGTTGGCACTTCCATGCCGTCTGCTTCAGTTGGTACATATTTTGAAATTTTCCCAAAAATGATAAATGGTTTTGTCCATATTGAAAGATGGACCAGTAGATATAAGATATTTAATTGGACAGCGTTAAATATGTTTTTACTAAAACTGTCAGGCTAAGTAAGGGAAAACTAGTGATTCTAGATAGATACTTGAACCTTAAATAATTCATAGATATGTGAAATATATGAAATATTTCATAGATATGTAATAGGGGTCATTGCAAACCTGTCATAATATTAGTACAAGAGTAAACGTGATCTGAAACCCATTTTGGAGCCTCCAGGGCCAAGTGGTTCAGATCACTGACTTCAGATTACTTGCCCCTTATAGTTGTAAGTTTGAATCCCTTCCCTTTATTGAGCAAGCTATCTAGCTACCTTACCTTGGTGCAGATTAACTGTTTATGCACACCTGAGGTCTTTCTCTGTCATTGATAAACTAGAAAGCTTTCATATGACTTCAACAGATTCAGTGCTAAGATTTTACATTGAAATTGTTTCATTCTAAAAAATTAAGCAATATATTTACGAAATGAAACATTTATTGTTTCTATCAAAATACAGTATAGTCATGTTGTAAACATTTAAACTTATAAGTGCTTGTATCAAGTATTTCTTCCTTTGTTTCAGATGTATATTAGGAGAACTGTTCACTAGGAAACCAATATTTCAAGCACAGCAGGAGCTAGCCCAGTTAGAGTTGATCAGTAAGACGTGTGGTTCTCCATGCCCAGCTGTATGGCCAGATGTTATCAAGCTCCCACTGTTTCATACATTTAAACCTAAGAAATTGTACAGACGAAAACTCAGGGAAGAATTCTCATTGTAAGAGCTTCTTTGGCATTTAAGTTATATTTATAACAGAAAAAATAACCTTCTGGTAGCTTTTGTTGTGATTTTCTTTTGCTTCGAAAATTCTTTGATGAAATACCTTGTCTAAACACAAAGAAGCTTGTTATTTCAAAAAGCTGTTTATTTTTGCAATGTTCAAGTTGTTTTCATCCAATATTTTCATACTTGTAATCCAACTGGGCAACCATCCTATGTCACATAGGCTATGTGTAAATTTCTTCTAAACCTACAAATTTTAAAGGAAACAATCATGTTTCCAAAATGTTTAGAAAAACAAGCTCAGTTATGACATTATATTTTTACAGCCTACCAAAAATGGCTCTAGACTTAATGGACAACATGTTGGAGTTGGATCCTGCCAAGCGCTGCAGTGCAGAAGAGGCTCTGGTCTCACCTTGGCTAAAATATGTTGACCAGAAGATTGTCTCTCCACCAGAGTGAGTACTCATTTAGCTCAATAATATGTTAACTTAAATGGTTAAATGTTAACCCTTAACCTCCTGAATTTGTGTAATTCATTTGCCCTGCTTTGAATTTGGAACAGTCCATTCAAAGATTAAGGAATTTCAGTATCAAAATACAAAATTTTAGCTACCAACAATATAAAGCATAGTAAGTGTACAGATTGGCCTGGATCTATATTGGTGACAAAGGCTTATAACTTCAAATTCCAGTGGGAAGCTAGTCAGTTAGTAATTCTCATTTCATGTTTCTTTGAATATATTTAGTTCATACAAACTGAAACAATCTGGATGTGTAAGAGATTGATAACATGTTTATTAGAGGACAGAGATGAATATTGTGTTTCAAAATGGAAATCTGCCGGTTTAGATGGTTATATGTCCATTGTTGTATTTTTACTGGTAAATGTTTTCTAGGAGTTGATTGGTCCTCATAGCACACTTATGTGCAGTCTAGTCATGGTGTATACTGTCTTTGCTTGAATTTAGTATTTTAATATATTGAAATTTCTCACACCAAGTTTAGAGACTTGTAGAGACTTGTATATTTAGAACAGCACATGACAAGAGTTTCAGATGTACAATTTGTAGGACAATATAATATACTTGTTCTGTTCTATTAATACATGTATTTGTTTATATATTTAGTCTACCAAAGGATCAGGACTGTCATGAGATGTGGTGTAAGAATCGTAAAAAAATCTTGAAGGAGATGAAGAATAGAGGGGAGGACCCTAGCAAATTACCTGACCAGGGTAAGGTTTTACGTTATATGTAAGTTTGTAAACCTTTTCTTGTATATATTTATTAATTATGTAGATGTATTGATAGTCTAAAATCTTGCTTTAACACAAAGTACTCAGAAGTAAGATTTTTTAATAGCATAATGGTTGTTGTCCATCATCAACAAATTTTTTAATTAATTCACAAGAATTATCTTAAGATGGCCTTAAAAAGTTTGTATAAATAGTTATAGTCTTATACACAAGTTGATCATAAAATAAGACTTAGAAAGTGAAATATTAAAATGTTTCATCAGAAACTACTAGAAGTATGCACAGATACTTTTCCTGTAGCGCCAGCTTGTGGTTCTCTGCAAACTGTAGACAATTAACAATTAATGCCTTATGGGTCATATTATCCCTGTCCATGGCAGTCACATAGATTACATAAATTTGTATTGAAAACACAATATATAGATCTTGTCAGAAACTCCACTGCCCAGAGTTTAGATAATTGTGTACTCATTTAGCTCAGTAGTATGTGACTTAGATATTTGACATGTAGTATTACCTAATTGTGCTAATACAAGTTAGCATAAATCATGCCTGCATAAAATTGGCCCAACCCAAGGGATGATATTTATAAACTCAGTTGTAAGATATTTGGTGCATTAGTATCTTTAATAGACCTCTACCATTTCACTTGGTTGTCATTGAGACAGAGAGAAAAAAAATCATTTTAATAAGACCATGTGTTTGCTTTGTTTAAACAACTTCAGGAGCATCTATATATTTACTGGAAAATGTGCCTCTTAAGCTTACTAAGACTTAATTAATACTATTAATTGCTATTTGAATATACATGTATACAAATGTACAGACCAGGTGAATTTTTACTTGTGTTCTTGTTTGAGTTCAAGTAATATAGATTATCAACCATTCTTTTAGTGTTTGACCAGTCTTCAACCAGTTGTCATAAACTTTTATCTAATTGATTATTTAATGAATAGTTTGAAGGTATATGGATAATTGATCAATTTAATATGTTCACAAGAATTGTAATTCATATAAAATGTATATCTGTTGTTTTCATGTATTGCAGTAAAGCCAGGAAGTAGGGAGGGCAGTCGGGACCGAGGCCCATCAGTTCCACAAAAACCTGTACCTTCTAAAGATGTAACAGATAAAAATAAAAGAAATAATTTACCAAGCAGTCATAAAGATAAAGTATCTGGACCTGAATTAAGAGACAGAAATAATAAAATAGACAATGGAAGTGTTCCTTTACCATCTGGTGGTTCATTAAGTAGCATAGCAAGTCAGAAACCCAGTGCATCAGGTCATATATCAAAGTCTATGTCCATTAGTGCATTGCCAGGTCAGCTAGAACCGATAAAGCCTTTAAACGTCCCTAAGCCGCGTTCACCTACTCCCCCAGAAGATCCAACATTGCCAACAAGATACCTCGATATAACACAGTTCAAGGCACCTGAAGATTTGGAGGGAGATGATGAACATCATGCGGGTCCTGTTGCGAATCCAAATCCTGACATGAATCACCTGACTCATATGTTACAACAAGGCATGAGTATTGCCGAGGTTGCTAAAAGTATGAATATAAAACTAGATGAGCAAACAAATGAGCTACTCACTACCTTAAAACAACAGCTTGATTTAGCTACGGCATTGGCAAAGCAGTCTGCTGTGAATCAGGGTCCAGGTTCGGTACCTTCCGAGCAAGGGGAAGTCGGTAAAACCTACGATTATAGTAATGTAAACTACGCTGCAAATGAAAATAGTTCGGGTACAAACAATATGAATCCGGCATCTAGTGATAATAGTGGTGTCCAGATGGTCCTCAATCAAATGTTGACAAAACAACAGGGTTCGGTAATTGACTATCGTACTCAAGATCCTGCTTATTCACAGGCGCGGGATTCTGGTGATGGATATTATAACAATTCTCGTGATCCTTATTCTCAAGTAGACAATAGACCATTAGATACCTCGGGAGGTGACTTGTCTGATACTTCTCTAACGGATAAAAGTTTAGGGGCCGAAGGTTATAGCTTGTATAGAGGTGATTCACAAACTAGGTCAGATATACAAGCCCCTGTGACTTATGGTGAGTATAATCGGGATTCTAACATATCAAGTGGTGTGAATTCAGACATACATTCAACAGGATATAATAGATACAGTAACTCAGACTCTAGATCCGGAAGTGTTCAAAAACAGTATTCATATGGTTCTGATTACAGTGAAAATGAAGGTGCTCAAATAACTTCTCACAGAAACTCTAGTTCCTCTAGTTACACTGCTGGTGGTGGGGCAACTGGTCCAGCAAGTTTGCTAGGATCTCCCCCGTTTAGAAATACTGGAGAAAATCAATCTGGATCTAGTTCCTTGAGTAATCCTGGATTTGGAAGGCAACTGTCTGATGAAGGGAAATTCACTAGGGGCCATGGACCTTATGGTAACACCCCTCAAAGTTATAAAGGAGGGCAGCAATTTAATAGAAGTGCTCCCCGACCCCTGATGTCCTTTGACACGGGGAGGGGTCGAGGAGGAAGGGGTGGTTATAGAGAGAAATGGTAATTGGTTATATGTGTGGTGTGATAAAACTTTTGTTGAGCAGTTATCCAATCAAGGTGAATTATATATAAGTTGTCATAGTGATTAATTTAAGTGTCTTACAAGTGACATTGTAGAAAGTGCTGACATTTTTGATAAGGAATCAAGTTTAGAAGTTCATAATAAAGCCATAGTGACAAGGTTCAAGACAGAAGGATTTATACAGAGCAAAGTGTGATGTATATTAATACTGTTGAAGGAAGAAGTTTGGGGAAGAAGAAGAAAAAAGAAATACTTAATATTTTAGTTCACTTATAATTGTACAGCAGAAATTTTTCTGATATATTATATTGGAGTAATTGTATGTTGAATAAATGCATGTTGAATATGGTGTCGTTTGAGACAATAACTTTAGGAAACAGTTGTTATATGAATATTCCATTGCATCATAATGTGTCATTTCTGCTTGTAAGGTTAATTTTTTAAGACTGAATGACAGTAATAAATGTAAGATTTGTTTTCTTTGATGAGGCCCCCCCAAAAAAAGGAATTCTGTTTCAAGTCTACCTGTCCAACTTTTTTAGTTGCCATCCCTTGTCTTTTTATTAGCTTTTACAGCACAATGTATTCTTTATAATGAATATCAAGTTATGTGTAAAAAATGTATGATACATATAAAGAAGAAAAAATAACTACCTAACTTAACCATTTTGAGGAATGGAGAGGGGGACCTGAAACAGAATGATTGTTGTTGGGTTTTTTTTGGCCTGAAAAAAGTTGTGGCATCATATGAAATATAAGATTACTGCAGCTATGTCTAGATATAGTAATTATAATTGTCACACTCCAAAAGCAAGGAAGTATGTTGTAAATTGGTCAGTGTGAAAGTGTATATATAATGAATGTGTTTTGAGTGTTTGGTTTTAATATTTGAATTGCCTATATTTGCCCAGTGGTCAATGGACGGCGTGATCTATGCCATTAGTATAGAATCAGGCCAGCCTACTCCTACATGCTGTCTTATATGATACTGTTGTCTGTACAGCTCTGATATTTTAATAATGAAATCCTTAAACAAATATGATTGACATTTTTTTTTCAAAGCAGGACAATATTGTTACATACAATACATGTAGAAAATAATAGAGTGATGTTGAAAGGTTGTATTTATTATAATTAGTAATATTGTGGTCTTCCAGTTCTCTCTTTTATACAGAAACAAAATCACAGATGGGTTTATAATACATGATGGGGATAAATTCATTGTATCGCCAAACATTTTTCTTAAATATGAACTAGCTGAAATTAGGCTTCTCTGGATTATATGGGCGTAAAAAATTTAAATTGTATTTTGATGTTGTTATCCCTTAAATTTATGAGTGGACACATCCAAAATCAAGCCAGAAAAGTGATTAATATAAAATTGCAAGAACTTGTTTTGGAATCAAGCTTATATAAATATGTTGAAACTAAAGCATGACATGTCCACTACATACTTCATATAGCATGATTATGGTTAGAATAAAAAATATTACAGTGAAACTTTCCGTCATCAAAATAAGTAGGGATACTTCTTTCAGTTTCTGGTAAATTTAATTGATGTTTGGTAATTCTGGTTGTCAGACATGTTTTATTTTCCCAATATATAATTAGCACACAGCATTGATAATTTACGTACAATAATGTAGTATGATTTGATTTCCTGCTCTTAATTTATGACGGATCTTTGAAAACATTCCACATATAATAGGTTTCCTTTTTATATCTGGAGTATTGATTGTACATTGATATTATTTATCAGTTGAGCTAGGGAATGTTCGTGAGCCATATCAAACAGTTGTGGTCTTATTCCTCGGTACATTCTAAGATTTATTCTTTGGTAAAATCATTTTATTTAACGGTTTTAGCTACACTAAAGTAAAAGCATCATAGCAAACTACTGGTAATATTGGAATGAATTTAGATGGTTAGATATTTAAATTATGACATCATTTCATTGACATGTTTTGTACTTCCACAAAGTTCCATGGACACAGCTCATTTGTGTGTACATGTTATGTACAATGTATGTAAAATGTACTTGTATACATGTATTTGGATTGATTTTTAGCTTTTCATAACTGACTAAATGTTCAACATGCTTAAAAAGTATGTTGTAGTTTTTTTTATTGTGTGTATTCAACAAAACTGTGCTAGAAAAATATAATATTTTTGTAAAATGCATTTGTAAGATGAGAATATATGAAAATTGTGTGTAAGTGTGTGGCAGAGATTTGTTCACCATGTGATTTTGTTATTGTTTCTTTATATCATATGATGACTTATGTCTTATTATATGTAATGATTTGAATTCTATGCTAAAGCAGGTGATTTTAATTATGAAACATCCAGTTAACATTTCTTTGTTCATTTTTTTATTGCAATATTTTATTAGGTTTTCATGTTAATCTGTGACTTTATTGTGAAAAGTTTAGTTGTATTGTTTGTTCATTTTTCAACCCTATGAGAGTTTCTATTCTTTCAGTGTACAAATAAAAAAAAGTGTCGTTTTTTGCTAATTTGTCCGACAGGTACAATATGCAACTTTAGAGGAAAATTATAAATCACTGTTCATAACTAATTGAATGAAAAGATGGAAAAAAAATTCCATAACACTAGATATATGCAGCTTCTTTCAATTATATTTAGATGAATGACATAATTTACAAAAATCAGTGTATACAAAGGTAACTGATATTTATTGTTGTTCTTTTTTCTTTTCTTTTTCAAATTATAATGTACTAAAATTGTTTCTATTTTGGATTTATGAACTGTTCTTAATTCAGTGATAGCTAAATGTTTGAGCATTATAAGCTATCTGTATTGTATTTTTCTGCTAAACACATTCTTATTTGAGCATTTTGAAACATGCAGGAAATCAAAAATTGAGAGTTGGTCATTCATGTTTTTATTATTTTACTTTTTTTTCTCTCAGAAATCATGTAATGATACAAGTGGATGTATTCTAGAATAAATTGTCTTGCTTTATCAGAAATGTGTTGATTATTTCTGGCCATATAAATGTCACTGTGGTCCGTGACCAAGTGAAGGTTGCCGACTTGTTCCTTATTACTGAAGGTTTGAATCTTGCCACGGACTCGGGATTCTTTTAAACGAGGGAGTTATCCACCTAGCTATAGTAATGTGGGTGGTTCTACTTGTGCCTGAAATAATGCACGTTGGAGCATTTGAGGTGTTTCCTCCTCCAGTAAAACCCCAAGAACTAAAGCATAATTATATATTTGATATGTCAAGGTACAGCTTGTACAGTGAATACATAATGCAAGATCCAAGACTGTCATTTATGGATGGATTTTGAAGTAACTGCATATAAAAAATTTACATGTTGAGCTTAGCGTTATGTGTCTTGCACAAAACAGAAACAAAAAACTAGGCTAATAGCTCAAACTAAGTCACACTTGATCGCTTTTCGTCGGTGTCCATCCATAAGCTTTTACTTTAAATGACATCTCCTCATAAAAACGGCTAAGCCAATTTCATTCAAACTTCACAGGAATGTCCCTTTGGTAGTCAACTTTAAAAATTGTTCAAAGAATTTAATTCCAAGCACAACTCGGGTTACCATGGCAACCGAAACAAAAAACTTAAAAAATATCTTCTTTTAGAAAACCAAAAAAGCTAGAGCTTAGATATTTGGTATGAAACATCATCTAGTCAGTGTCTACTAAGATTGGGGTCAAAATTGGCTACGCCCGGGGGGGGTCATTGATTTTCCTTATTTGTATATAGTAAAAACTAGAGCTGTCATCGATAGAGACAATATCGATGTATCGTTGATATTTTTTTGCTGATCAATAATCGATACACATTTTAAAAAATCGATACTTTTGACTAATTTATTAAATGTCTAGAAATTATGAAAATTCACCTAAAACATATACAGAAGCAGTAATTCATGTGACACATTATGCTTTTATTATACAGTGGAAATATTTCATAGCAATGGTGACAAAAAATATTGTCTGGAAAAAAATCATGCAGTGGACAAGACACTGTAATGTACAGAACATTTTATTAACAGAAATCATTTAAACAGATATGAAAGTGAATGACAGATAAGTAATTATAAGTTAGTATCGATATATCAGTGTATCGTTGATTTTAGTAATCTGATATCGATATATATCGTTGATATGCTTTGCACTGAATCAATGACAGCTCTAGAAAAAAACTTAAAAAATCTTCTTTTAAAAATCGAAAAATAACTAGAGCTTAGATATTAAGCATGAAACATCTTCTAGAAGGTGTCTACTAAGTTTGTTCAAATAAATGCCCTAGGGTCAAAATTGGCCCCTCCCCAGGGGGTCATTGATTTTCCTTATTTGTTTATATTAAAAACTTTAAAAAATCTTCTTTTAAAGAACCCAAATAGCTAGAATTTAGATATTAAGCATGAAACATCTTCTAGTGGGTGTCTACCAAGTTTGTTCAAATAAAAGCCCTGAGATAAAAATTGGCCCCGCCCCAGGGGGTCATTGATTTTCCATATTTGTATATAGTAAAAACTTTAAAAAATCTTCTTTAAAAAAAAAAAAAAAAATAGCTAGAGCTTAGATATTAAGCATGAACATCTTCTAGTGGGTGTTTACCAAGTTTGTTCAAATAAAAGCCCTGAGATAAAAATTGGCCCAGCCCCAGGGGGTCATTGATTTTCCTTATTTGTATATAGTAAAAACTTTAAAAAAATCTTCTTTTAAAAAACCCAAATAGCTAGAGTTTAGATATTAAGCATGAACCATCTTCTAGTAGGTGTCTACCATGTTTGTTCCAGCTAAAAATTGGCCCATCCCCGGGGGGGGGGGGGGGTCATTGTTGTTCCGCTATATGTATATAGTAAAAAACTTTAATTAATTTTCATTTAAAAACCCAGAAGAGCTAGAAGTAAGATATTTAGCATGAAACCTCTTCTAATGTGTGTCTACCATGTTTGTTGGTTAGAGATTGAAATATCTTCTTCTGAGTGTCTACTTAGTTTGTTCAAATAAAAGCCCCTGGTTTAAAATTGGCCTTGGCCCAAGTGTCTATATACAGGTGAGCGATTTCAGGGCAATCATGGCCCTCTTGTTCATTTAAGTACATTTATGTTAGTGTTTGGTCAATAATCCTGTCACTTATGATTGGATTTTGAAATGTTTTTGCATAAATGTGTTGTGGTAAAGCCAATGTTTCAGGTGCAGCCAGTTAGTCTCGAGGTCAAATGTCAATATCAAGCTTGTATGTCAAGTCATGATTGTGAATAGATTGCCGTGTTTTGTGCATATAGCTTGGTACTAGGATTCATTGACACCAGAAGGTAATGGTTATGGTTGGATAGTCAAAAAAGTACATTTATTTATCATATCTTTGTTATTCATTCATGGATGAAATTATCACACTAAGAATACGAGAATGTTTTTTGGTGTTTTCTTTAGTATTTATAGGTAGTAATCACGCCTGTGTTAGTAGTTATGGCTCCTTTACTGAGCCCAGTCTTGTTTTGATGCCATCTGTTCGTTCAGTAGACCTTACTTCCATATTTGTCTGAGTCGTTGACCCTCACCGCCCGTGATAGCCTTTAAACTCTTTCATGTGAGCTGTCCTGGTAGCTGACGTAAAGTGCCTGCTTGTGGCTTAGATATTGTATGAAGTGGCAACCGAGGTTTTTCTTACAAGTAAAGCTGGAATTTGGCTGTATCTCCTTTACAGTATCGGTGTGTGTTCAAGGGAGGTAACCAGTATTGGTGAAAATTTTATTCTAAACAGATTTACTTCCCTGAAACAGCCACTATCTGTGTTAGGGACAGTCTGAAAATTTCATATCTGAAGAGTTGTCAGGGCTGTCTGAAGATCTCACTTATCTACAAAAAAGTATGAAAATCTCACTCCTGAGTACTGAGTATGTTTCTGAAGATAGCTTTAGCAATTGCCTGAAATCTCACTTGTGAAGTTTATTTTGGGTGCTGATTATATGATCTCACCTCTGAGAGCTCACAACTTAATATACAGATGTGCACGGATGAAATGTATTTAGGTGTTGATCATATGAAAATTAGTTGTATATAAACACAGGCTTGTTAATAACACACACTTCTCATTTTTGTTTTATGTTTTACATATCATGTGCCGACTTCCTATCTTTACTGGTGAAGGAAGACCTTCAATGCATATTTCAGGCACAAACTGGCGCTTGAGTAGAACCACCGACGTTGGATAGCATCTTCGCTGGTCAAAATCAAAAGTCGCTGTCGGAATTCGAACACACAGCGGTGAGGGGCAATTGGACGTTTTATACACACTATATATACACACGTCCAAACGTACCAAATATACATTAAGGGTGTTTTTGTAGAGTGATTCAAATAGAATAAATACGACATTGAAAGACAGCTATGTTTGTTTGTAATCTATGCTAAATGGAGACCATCTGTCCGTTAAGACACAAAAGCAGCTTTCATTACTGAATACAGACCACGGACATGTCACCAGTCATACCACATAGCTTTTGCAGAAGTGTTGGATCCATGGCAGCGGCGTAAAAAATGCCATTTGCTGTTGTCAGTAAGTTTATGACTGAATTTTGTTTTATGATTCAATGTTTTATGGAAAACATCTAGTGAGACTTGAGTCCATATATGTAGTCTTCCTAACTATTACACGCACGCGATGTAATGCATTGCCATTTATGAATACACTTCTGTACAGTTTGACGAGGGGTCGCCACTTTTGAAACACATTTGTACAAAACGACACCTAAATACACCGGCATCACATCGTATGGATGACACTCACACAAAACAGCCATATTTTGGATTTTTTTTTTTTGAGATTGTTATTGCCTGTTTATAAAAGAATTGACAAAAGATGATTACAACGCAGACGGCGGTGGATTCGTACCATTAATGTCTGTTTTGAGGGTTTAACTTGTTATAACACACTTTCAATTGAGTACAATCCTTTCCTTACTTTGACATGAGAGAAACGTGTTTATTTGGTGATTAAAACAATATAATTATACATACAAGTGATATATATATAGATGTCAGAGTTCCGCTTCCATTTTCCTTCAATTGAAAACTAATTTGGCCGGTATTATCATGGGATAGACCACGTTCAACCTGATACTTTAATAGACCGTAAGTTCCAGGTTCAACACTGGTTTTGTCATACAAACTTAAAAGACATACTCATCGATATTAACAGAACAAGCTTCTTGAATAAGAAGAGAACAATCTCAGTTTTGAATGTCATTGTGTTATATTATGATACTGAGAACACTAATTTGTATACATGTAAATATTATTTGTTGTTTTTTTTAGGAAAAGGTTTCTATCTATTCCTTTTATGATAACACATTCGCGTGATATGGCTTTTTCCCCTTCTTTTTCTTCGTATTCAAGAAGCATGTTCTGTTAACCTTGCTAACGAGTATCTCTTTTATGTATCATCTGCTTCTGTGAAAGCTATGGCCAGTGTGTTATATAGGAGCTGAGTCATGTACCTACTGTTTCTGTTGAGAACGAATGAAATGACAATGTTTTGTTCGTCGTGGTGTCTTCGATCTTCTTTGGGTTAAAAAATTGTTTTAATCCATTTTTTTTCTTTCAGTTTACATAAATGTTATAGGCAAAGTACTATGTCATCAAACTACATTTATACAACAAAAACAGATTTCCGTCGATAAACATTTATCAATAAAAACTGATTTGTCTAATAAAGAGTCATTGATTCATGAGATTTAGAACCCAGTAATCCTGAATAGAATGTCCGTACACAATTAACTTTTAATTTGTAAAATTATGTATTTGAAATTTTATGTTGTTATGGGGATGAGACTCAAATAAAGATTATATAAATATTAAATCAATCATGTCACTGTTTTTGGTACTAAATACACTCTTTTATATATTACATGTCTGTTTCTACCTTACAAACGGGGTTTTTTAAATATAAAATTGAAATACCATATAACTTAAGTATGATTTCTATAAAAGATCTAAGTATGATTTCTATAAAAGATCTGATTGAACAATAAAAATCAACATTTGACAAAACAAACAATCAATAAGAGAACTTTTTTTCTAATCCGCAAAAATGGTATTCAATAATTGAAATTCGATTTAGAATACAATGTTATCATTTTGAAATGCCAGATTTAACAATAAAGTAATAAGTGAAGCATAACAATGGAACTGTGATTACCATGTTGCATTGTGAATATGTAATGGGAGATATTCCCTCCATAACATCGTCCTTGGATAAGGTACCGGAACATGAATTGCGCGACGATAATAATAATAAAACGACAATACACGTAATTACCTTTAAAATGACAACTTTACAACATGAATAGGGACATTGGATCGAATTCCACCGTTTATAACATTGTAATGCACCCATAATTCTTACAGTACTGACATTTTGGAGTAGTTTAAAACATGCAATTTATGTTTGTTTAAAAATACACACACAAAAACAACATTTCTCATTGGATTTTGAATGATCGTAAGTAAATCTTATTTGTGTTTACATATTTATTTAGCATTTCATTATATGAAGATAGTTTTGAAGTTAGTTCTGTATTTTATATTTAAATGATAAACTAATTACAATTTCGTATGTGTGAAAAAAAATCGTACTTTAGGAGAAAAGGTTATATCTGGAATTAAACTTGTATGCGCCTTATTTAGTACGATGTTCCGGGGGTTGTTTGTTTGTTGTTTTGTTTTGGGGATTTTTTTGTGCAGAGGTGCCTTGCAAAGGCAGTAATGATATATTTTCATCATTATAAGAAAGTTTGTATTTATATTTATTTTGAAAGATTTTAAAAACCCTCGTTAAGATCTATGAATTCGACTTTTAACTTTTAATATATGGTTCTAATACATGTACATCATAAACTATAATTTAATTGAACTGACATATGCATGAAGGTAACCAGGATAACACAATATGGTGCTATCCATTTAACTTTCAAGTTCTGTATTTATTTTAAAGTTTATTATTAAGATTTGAATTATTTCAATGTGTCAATGTTATATGTTTGTTTACACTTATATTATTTAAGCTCCTTGCACTGCACAGAGCTGGTGCCATGTGGGGTATCAATGCTTATTGCCGAACTAAGAATCTTTTGGTCGACATCTTCACCACCAGGCTACCACATAACATCGTTATACAGAGCTTGAACTGAAAATCTCTCGCCACTAGGCTATCATCACTGTACTGAGAATGTAGAGGAGGTCAGGTGATTTAACGAAGTCCTTATAGCAATTTGGAATCCTTATTCTGTCAATGTGATTATCATCATCACAAATACATGTCGGTACACACGGACACTTATCAAGATACGTAAATCTTTAATTAATATTTGATGGTAAGTAATTGTCAGATACCAAACTAACATTTATATCTCAAACGGACACATTGCCAGATATCTGCAAAATATCAGCAGTTGAAATGGAATATGGTGTGTAATATAAGAAGCAACAAATCAGTTCATGGAAGATGATATAATATGACGCTGTGATTTCAATGAAGTTTTCTTATAATGGATCCTAAGAAATCATTTTTCATATTTAACGTTTTAGTGGTCGTTTTCGTTATTTTTGTTGGTCTATCTTCATACAATATCATTGACATTGATCGCGCCATCTTCGCTAGAAATGAAACGGCAGAAAATAAAATCAGACATCAACATGGCGTCACTATGAAAATACGTTATTTGCTAGAAAAGCCCGAGTTATGCACGTCAGTTCCCAATCTATCTGTGGTAATTATCGTGCACACGGCACCAAAAAATCGCGAGCGCCGCCAAACTATAAGAGAAACATGGGCAAATAACTCTTATTATACTCATCTTGGAACGGTCAGGATATTGTTTCTATTAGGTGCGGTGAAAAATACAAGTTTACAAGCGGAAATTGTTAAAGAGTTTAAAGAGAATGAGGACATGTTACAGGGAGACTTTATAGATGACTATCATAACTTGACATACAAAGGTGTAATGGCGTACAGATGGCTAACAGAAAAATGCAGAAACGCCAAAATCGTTCTCAAAGTTGATGATGACGTCATTGTGAATATGTTCAAATTTTTCACTAGCTCAACGTTTATGCCTTCATTCTTGAAAAAGACAAAATTTATGGCCTGTCGTCGATTTCATAGAAATATAATTGTGAGAAACCGCAAATCTAAATGGTTTGTCAATAAGACAATTTTAGTAAATCAAACTAGATATCCGGATTATTGTCAAGGTTTTGTTGTCATCTTTACGAACGATCTTATTCCAGCGCTTTACCAATCAGCATTAGAAACGCCGTTTCTATGGATCGATGATGTATACTTGTATGGAATGGTTCCCGGCAATATAGCAGGTATACAATACAGACATTTACGGTACGGGAAGGAAGTCATATTTGGAGATAAACAAACTCTTCAATGTCATCAAACTCAAAAACAAAAATGTTCGTACTTGGTGTCGATGTTTCGATCCAATGTTGTCAGTACTATAAGAGAATCTTGGAGACTGATTGTAGAGAATTACAGAAACGCTTCATTGCATCATCAAATAAGTTGATATTTAAATACATTTGACCTGCATAGAATTAGAACCTGCGACTTCAAAAGTGTAACAAAAAAACCATAGAAGACCAGAGTCACAAACTAGCACCTGATATGTCATTGATCTGTTTATAGTCTGAACATGGTTATGATCACTCCTATAACTTTAAAATCTTATATGTCATGCATTTATTTCATATGTGTTAAAATGATAACAAAAGAAAAAAGAAAACAAAAGAATCTATGCCCAGTTGTTCATCTTTTTGTCAACATCATTTATTCGACATACACTTGCCCTTAAAGCTATGACGTTAATTATTTATCCTGATATACCGTTAAAAGAGTCAGAAGAAAACCTTGGCGGTAACCATGCACCAATGAAATATGTCGCCTAAAAGTAGCCATAACATGCCATAAGCTCCCTCCCTCGCCCTGATAATGTTAGAAATAAATGCGTCCGCAACATTCAACCGAAGCACGCGATAATCATATACGCCAGTATTTCTCTTCTGCTATTGAATATGCTCGTAAATACGAACCCATGGAACCATTCTTTAGATATCACTCTTCTATTATGTCTAATATTATAATAGTGAATCGGAACCTGGCATTCCTAATAAAGTAATTCTAAATAATAATGATCACTTTTCAGTCAAATTAGTAATACATGTTGTTTAAAAACTTACGTAGTTATTTTTATTTTTGTGTTGTTGTTGTTGCTGCTGCTGCTGCTACTGCTGCTGTTAGTTTTTTAATCTACGGTAATATTTGACTTGATTATTAAGTTGGTTAGATATTATTGATATCATTTACAATGGTTGCATAAAGATCTTCGTGAAGACTGAACTATTGTTTATTTAAAACATAAAATGTTCCACTTTTAGATAAAAAAAAAAATGTTTTATACATGTTTCAATTGCTCTACACGTTCGTGTGAACATTTGATTTTCATCAATATTTTAGTTGAACGTAAGTTGCAGCAGCGGCTGGCCTTTCATTCCTTTCATCAGGTTCCAGTAAACACTTCTAAACGTCATTTAATTCAATGACTGCCACTCAAATTTACACATACGACCAGTGAAGACCAAGTCAGTCCAGTGAAGACCAAATCAGTATTTATTTTGAAGTTTTTCCTAAAGATTTTTTTTTTCAAATTGAAAGATGGACACGTCCGTTTTGGATATTTAGCGTAGTAAGAATAATTTATAGAATAATATGACATTTGGTGTGTTGAGACTACATATCCTGCTGTGAGATCTTTGGTGGTTCAGGTAAAATTCACCGTTATTTAAATTGTATTTTTTTTAATTTTCTGAAAGCGCGATTAACTTTTAGTTGAGCAAAGTTAAGCAGGTTGAAATTATGTCCGGGTTCGTAAACACTCGTTTTTATCTGTTTAAGTTCATAAAAAAGTAAACTTTTACTGCACATTAAAAAAAACACTACCGTTTGGCGAACGAAGGCCAAGTATAGATTAATGTTCATTAGTACGTATTTACAAAATTAAATTGGTCAGGCGCGGCACAATATCTGGAGAAAAATAATCTCTAAAATTGTAAGCTATCATAATTATATGAAAGCATATAGGACCGCGTGATTTACTCTCATTTGTGTACCTTCGGGTGATTTGAAGCCAAATAACAGTACTCCACAGTTTTTCCACAGTATACATCGCGGAAATATGGTTGAATGTAACTAGCTGGGATATTCAAAGTGCAATTGGAACTCCTCGGCTATTATTCATAATAATCTTATTCGAAGTTTGATAGAAAGGGCCGAGAAGATGATATTATAATACAAAAATAACATACATGTACAATATACTTTTGTTTATATAGATCTAATTTTTTTTACAAAAAAGCTCATAGAAAAGGTTATTTTACACGATAATGTCTAATTATGATGTTCCTTTTTTGAAAGTAATATTTAATTTGGCATAACCAGAGCAAACGATTCCCAGACGGTGTAGGTTACTTTCGTTGTGATTGATCATGAAATCATTTCTACGGTCATTCGCACTGTACCTATGCTCTGGTATGTACAAAAGTTTCAATTCCTTGCGAAAGTGAAGGCAACTAATACTGATAAACTGCTTGTCAGCTTGCCCAGGAGTGGTGCGGTGGCTGAACTGTGCTTTGGTAAAATCAATGAAAGCTAACTGCTGTGACCCGGAGTGAAAACTACCAATACCACCACAGCAAACATGTCAGCAGTTATGGAATCCTGTTTGAATTAATGTTTTTGTTTTAGAATAGTTTACATACATCTGGACATTTTGTATGGTATTTTATACTTGCGATCCTGTATATCTGCCAGGGTATAGAAACATACCCAATATGGATTAAATGACGTCATAGATCTAATACGAACAAAAACATGCATTATTCCTATTTAGATACTAGAAAGCTAGTCACTAGGGACGCACATAAGATCGTGACTGTAATTATTGCAGACGATACACCATTTCCGGCATCTCCATCTTCCTCATTCATGTCCGTTTGGACTATTAGGTCTTCGTTTGCTAGGATCACATGTTGGATTCAAATTTTTTATTTTAATCGCATCACATTGTAGCGGCTCATCTTTCTTTATAGTCTTGCAGTTAAGGTCACTGAAGTTAACTTCTGCTAGATTTGCGGTTTCATTCATTCTACCTGGTCCATGACAGATATTGTCAGGCAGAATTTCCGCGTACTTCTGTCTTCCTGAAGTACTAAGCATCCAGTGTACGGAACAGTTACAATAGAAAGTGTTGCTTGAAAATGAGAAAGTTCTTGCCGACTGGAACATGACGTCGAGCACACCACAGTGCATGTTCCAGAGAGAGTTAGATGATACTCTTAAAGTGCCTACCTTTACATCTCTAAACGCATCTGTCACTATATCACTCATGTTGTTACTAGTGAGTGTCAGTGTGCTTATATTATGTAACCCGTATACTGCATTGGAGTAAAAGTAAAGAAAGTTAGTCTCAAGTAAGTTGAGTTTTTCTATGTAAGATAATTCATAAAAAGCAAACGATTTAAATCTTCCAATTCTGCTTTTAAGAAACTCAATCCGTTTCATTTTTGACAGTCCGTTAAATGCATAGCTTTCTATATTTCCAATAACTGTTTTGTCAAACACGAGTTCTTGTAAAGAATATATGTTTTCAAAAGCACATCCAGCAATGATACCAATATTTGACTGTTCTATTTCGATTAAAGTAACATTTGAAAGGTAACTGAACGCGTGCTTGGGAATTTCTCCAATGTTCATGTGTGATAACCGGATACGTTGAGTATCACGTAACAAGTCCAGCGGAAAGTCCATCAAAGATTGGCAATCGACAAACTTGTTATTACAATAACAACCATCCGGGCATTTCCCCTGTTGTGCATATGAGCGTGCGCAGTAAACGACAGCGAGTAACAGAACTAAACATTTGCTTTCCATAATGCCTGTAAAAATAAAAAATAAATAAATAACAGAACAGAACAGAACATGAATTTTATTTTAGATTTGAGCATTTCGCTCCTCATCCACAACATAATTATACATTATTATGTCAAAGTCAAACAATATAATGATATAATACAATATTGAAATTGACAATATCTGTGGTACATATGACAAAATAAGGTATAGAATATATATCAGTATCATTTAACGTGTAATTCTTAACGTACATGACAATAAATTGAGCATTTATTTATTTATTATATATTTATTAATTATGTATTGTAATAGATTATGCCTAATTCTTAATGTACAATTTAGGAAACAAACTAAATTATTCAACAACTGGGTAAGTTTAAACATAGATGGTCTTTCATAATGATATTTATCAATGTAACGTTTTCTTATAAGTCTGTAGCAGGGGCACACGCAAATCATATGGAATTCATCCTCAATGTCTCTAGATTGACAAATATTGCATGTTCTTTCACCTCTTTCAATTCTATTCTGACCATATCGTCCGGTTTCAATCCTAAGGCAATGTGCAGATATCCTAAATTTGGTAATAACAATATACTATAAAAATATTTTTAAGGCTAAAAATAACTGCTAAATACTCAGTCATAATTCAAGTATAAGTGTCATTTATAATGTTTAATATAAAATGTCCTCTAAATAACGACAAAATCTAAACAATTAGAGGAGACATTGGGAAAAATATTTACCACGCGCGAACGTGTCAACTACCAGAGTGATACATAAAAAAGTTCCGATGTCCCTTTTATGCCACCGTGGACAGAAAAAAGGGTTCATTAATTAGAGAATTCTACTATTTGAAATATTTTATTATTTTCTTTGACCAAGATTTAACACATTATTTCAGAAATATAATATTTGGAAAATGTTTTATTCAGAAATAATTTATTCAACTGATCAATAAACTAACTAACAGTCCAACACCGTGGGTAATGAGGCATAAAATAGATGATACATTGTGTAATAACACAATAAACTTAACATTCCTTTGTCAGGTAACAATTTACTGACAACTTATGAGTCAGTTTTCTTGATATTAAATATTTACAAACAGGATATATATACAACTATATATATAATTTTTTGTATACATTTAAAAAAAAATAACGTGAAAAGAACACCGATAAACATACAGTTGTGATGTGTAAAATTTCACTTTGTATATTACAAATATAAAAAATGCAGTTTCGTCAACAACAACTCATAATCTTGCTGATGCTTTTATATTTTGTTCCATGTTCGTAACGTCAATTTACATTTGGTTAATCGAGGTGTTTACTGTTATTATACACGGCGTCTGTTAATATTTCAACTTTTTTTTTCTTCATAGAAAGGAACTGCGTGTGCAGTAAATCATAAATTCTTTCGGGGACATTTAAAAGGTTATATTATACCTCATTTGCATACGCCCTTCTATATTTAATATGAAGTCATCCAGTCCATAAACCGCATACAGACCGGCTATCAAATATGGACTGGATGACGTCATTTTGAATATAGAAGGGCGTATGCAAATGATGTGTATAATATTTTATTATGTTGTTAAATAATTCTTTTTACTGAATTTATTGTTATGTTTCACATAAATTTATTACATGTTGATCAAAAGTCATGATTTGTCTTTAATTTATAAATCTTATTTATACAGTTTGTGAAATTCTTAAAGTGCGGGTTTTTTGCCTAGTTACATTAAATATTTAATTTGATTAACAAAAATGGAATATTTAAAAGAGAGCGTGTTTTTTTGCTGCATCGCTTGAAAATAATAATACAAAAAATCGAGTAGGGTTTGAGATATTTCACACACTGAACAAATAAAATTATTATTTGAAAACAAATTATAGTAAATATGACAGCAAAAAAGGGACGAAAGGATTTAGATTCGGGCCATATACCTTCCGAGGTCTGACCAACCAGTCTGTAAACTTGCATATTGCATTTAAGGCCATATTTTATTTGGTAAATATAGTCCACTGAAAACAGTTATAAGCTTAAATTACCCTAGTCACGTAGTCGTTGATTATATGGCAAACATACGTAAAACCTGGCAATAACCTACAAAACATCTTAAAATTTTTAACTGCGTAATTGTTTTTTTTTTAAAGAAAACGTTCAGTATCAGGTATACGAACTAACGTGCGGCTTTAATAAAATCACACCACCCTTAACGATCAAGAAATGATGAAAATTACGTAGCAAACTATGTCTAATAATCTACACAAAATAAACAGTAATCGGTGAAAAATAAACAGGCTATACCTACGAGTTTATTTGTTTTAATGTAAAGAAGTATTATGAGTTTTATTTTTTTCTTCATAATTTTCCTAAATACGAGTATATAACGCGCACGCGCTTTCAAAAATCAACGTAATTGAGGAGGTTACAAAGTATCTACATGTATACAAACATCGATAAATGATAACCGTTGACACGATGTCCATATAAATATTCAACTAAATGAAACAAAACAGCAATAATGTGATATTAATATAATATAATTACCTTTTAATTAACCTTTTGAAAAATATAACTGCTCACTGTTACACCATGCTTGATTTTAAAATAAAACCTGTTTTTCCATAAACTATATGAATACATAAAACAATATTTAAATTAACATAAACTATGCAGATATAGCCCGAGGGCTTCTTAATGACAATACTTATTGTCTTATCTTAAGATGCTCATTCGCTGTATCGGTTTAACTAGACGTACGGTGTTCCGTTCGGGACTTCGATGACTCGCATTTCGAAGTATTAGTTGAGAACAGCAAAATGACGATGAATCGATAAGGAAGTGCGAAGACACAAAACATTATACAAGATAAGGAGATAAATTTAGTACTTTCGCACAGGGTTTTCGCGTTTTGGAATTGTCTTTCGCCCTCCCGAAGTAAAACGATGGCCCTAACGGTATACTGAGGTGTCCTGTTCAGGCCATCTAGACACACAAACAACTCGAATCAACGAAAGCATGAAATTACAGCGATGAACAGTTGAAATAACGAAGCAACGATGGTCAAAACTATATATTATCGTGTTTTCACCATCGTATTTTAGATATTTCACTATCGTGATTTTGTTGTTTCGTTATTTCGACATTTTACCATCATACTTTCGACATTTTATCATCGTATTTTCGACTTTTCATCATCGTATTTTCGACTTTTCATCATCTAGGTTTTGTTATTTCGACTTTTCATCATCGTAATTTCGTGTTTTCGTTGTTTCGAGTTATTTCTGTGTCGCAAAGGCCCAAACGGGACACCGTAGTATCCAATATATTATACCTGTCTAACAATGACTGATCATGACAAAATATTTTGTTCTTGTTACATAAAGACTGACTTTCTATACACTGCTTGACTTAAATATTAAAGACTCGGCGTGACGTGTTGTTTGATTAACATTTATGTTACAGACCCACTTTGACTAACCAGTTCTTACTATGTGAAAGACCCACTACAACAATGTATATACAAATGTAATGGCAAAAAGACATAACCTGATATACATATTGACTTTTATACATGATAAAGACTTGACCCGATCAATTCGTTTTAATGACCACACAAACCATTGATTGTCGATTCTGTTTTGAATTTGAAACAGTCAAGGTTAAAATATCAAATTACAAACATTGAACTATCATCAGTATAGAGCCTGGTCATACTGCATGAATGTTCGGGTGCTCCTGTCTCTTTACTATACTGGTGACACAGGATAATCTCATGATAATTTAATGCCCGAAAACGGTATAACCTTTACACATATTGAGAAATATGCACATAAGTCTGACTTAATCAGCCCAAGACTCATTGTAGATATTTTTTTATTTATAAATGCCACTAAATATTTTCTTTACATATTTAATTTCTTTAGATAAAATTTCATTTCACTGAAAAAAAGATAAGAACGTTAGCTATTCGGACCAGTTTCAGTGATACCTACTTTAAAGATAGGGTAAGCAAGAATTTAATCATGTTTAAATTATAATTTTAGAGCATGTTAAATACGTATTACATAAAGAAAGTAGCACTGAATTTCATGAAAGTAGCAAATATAAACAAGGCAGTATTTGACTTCCATACAATATACTAAATCACTATACGTTGTATTCCAGAAAGCAACAGAAGCCAGATATGATTCAGGTAATGGGGAAATCATTAAATCTTTGGAAACTATAACAAGGCACCAGAAACTTGTGGGAAATGGAAATAAAAGCATTCTTGGGCATCACAAGCCTTTAAAATATTTTCGTTACTAAGAACATTTGAAACGATTGTTAGCATCATTTAGTTAGATGTGTGAAGTTGGCGGCCTAGCGGCCTGGCGGCGTGAAGTTGGCGGCCTAGCGGCCTAGAAAAGTGATTTTTTCTTTACATATATCATTTAAATAACAATAATTATCTTTAAAACTTCATTAAATGCCGTTTTATTGTTAAAAAAACATTTTTACAACATTAAAATTTTTGGCCGCTAGGCCGCCAACTTCACGCCGCTAGGCCGCCAGGCCGCTAACTTCACGCCGCTGGGCCGCCAGGCCGCTAGGCCGCCAACTTCACACCGCTAGGCCGCCAACTTCACGCCGCCAGGCCGCTAGGCCGCTAGGCCGCCAACTTCACACATCTCATTTAGTTACATAACACAACACACAAGTTCTACTGAGAAAATCTTTTTAGGTTATGAATTATTTCTTAAAACAAAAGCGCGCTATTTCAATATCATTTGAACATATTATATTTGCAACCGTGACAAATCTGGAAAGAGGAGATCCCTCGAGAACAATGGAAATAAAAGTGAAAAAGTGAAATTATTCATGAGAAAGAATGAAACATATCTCATGGTCCCTTGCCTAACAAAAGGAATATTCAATGAAATTGGTTCGCTGGCCTAAACGCCCATACTAAGTGGAAATTCATCCATGTTTCTTACGCCTTGCAATGCCATAAAGTTGATATTCGAACCTAGTGCACTGGCTAATATGCAGTGAAATCGGAACAAAGGATTAGTCACCGTGACCTCCAGAAAAAGGATTAACTTTACGAAATTTCGTCAGTTAAATAGAGAATGAACAAGTTCTCCTTATTGGAAAACGCCAAAGCAGTGCAGACAATTGACGGTCATGTTTGTTTTGGCTAGCATCCTTCGTAAAAAGCGTCGTACGCTGAAACGCCAATGCCATGTCATTTGACGGTCACGTGATTATTGCCGTAAAGTGATTAAATCGGCTAACTGATAATCAAATCAGAAAATGAATAAGTGATGGAATTTTTTTTTTATATTTTTTGTTTGTTTTATTTCGTACTTTATACAAAGAAAAAAAAACCAACATCGCAAGACTTGGAAATGAAATGACACGCGGTAATTTAGGGGCCATGTTTCTTAGGCTAGCGCTATGTGTCTAATATTGTCTTACAGATGAGCTTCCAAGTCATTGCATAAAGTAATCAGCTACGAAAGCATATGGTAGGTCATTGCATGGAGGATGATATGTGCAAGTATTTGTTTATAACGTACTAGTACTTAAACTCTACGTAGTTTCGTGAAATGCATCCTTCCCTAGAGACAATTGTTACCTATCCATTAATTCCGTTGCTGATGGATTAGTTGCCAGTGCAATAGCTCGGAGTCTCATGTTCGTAAACCGATTGGTGATGATGGACTTATACATTATAACTCATTCGATAATATGTGCTATTATCGATGTATTCTAAAGTCGGGGACGTATACTACCAAAAAGCTTCCGAATACTTTAAATGTTACGCAGGTATACAAGATCAGGGGACGTAATTAGTACGATCATGTTTAATTTGTGTGTAAATGAGTTGCCTCCCATTATAATAAGGAATTTACTGAACTTCAGTCCCATTTAAGTTCATTTTAATGCTGGCATGTCTATAGATAAAAATAAAACTAAAGGTCATGACATACTTCGTGATGGCCGGTATGACCACGTAAAAACCTCATCTCAAAAAGTGATAGATTTATGCTCTATTTGAGGTCTATGTGCTTAGAAAACTGATTCACAATGTCAACCTGAGAAATATGACTTTTTGGTGAAATATTTTGAAATATTGTGAAATTGATCTTAGCTTATCACATGAATTTCGTGCAAAATGTTAAGACTATGACCTCCCACGCTAAATATTTTCGACAGTATACTTATCGGAAAAAAAGTTTGTATCATATAAAATGAGTGAAGCGAACAAACTACACCCACAAACAGGGACTACAATGACATTGTCAAATGCGATATAAAAGCGATAGTTGAGGCTGTGAAAAGCAACTTTGATTGCTGATAATAAATCTGATCTAACTGTGCAAAGCCGGATTAGACGTTTGACAAATGACAACAATACAGTCGTCAAAACAGTATCAGTGCCAGTGGAGTGCCAGAAGAAGGTATATGCACGCGATTCCCGATGGTATAAACGTGTCCGATGAAGTTAAGCACCAAAAGCACTTCCTGTACCGACGATGAGTCCTATGAATCTGGAGAAAATGTTTCAGTATCTCCCATGGCAATTACAGACAGTATGGATACTTAATTCTCGATCTCACAACTTCGCATGGCATTAATATATCTTTTTCGGATATAGATCGGTGTCATCGAATTCGTCTGACAAACCCCGACAAACCCAGGGATATAATACATGTAGTAAAACTATCATCTTATCGGTCAAGGAACTTATTCTACAGGTCAACGGAGTACCTCGTATACGAAATTACAGACACATGACGCTAGCAAAGGAAACAAGGACGCCAGATGCCCGGGTAGCTTAGGCATAAGCCGGAGCAGATTTGGTTACTCTGTAAAACTTTTTGTGACCTACCACATTGTCTGATTTCGTTGCTGCTTGTCCAGTGCAGTATATTTCCAAGCATCACCTTTACGACAATATTTCGACAAGAAACATGGCGGTCACCCAAGAAACATAGCCTTCAGATTCCTGCTTTGCACTGGTGATAAATTGTTCATTCTGTACACAAATTGTACGGATATTAACTGATTTAACGGAATAGTATTAAATAATTATTTGGTGCTGATTAAATGTATTAAATTTATCAAAGAAATGGAAAAAAAAAAAGTTTGCTTGCACAAAATATAGTTTGGACCATTAAATAGTAAATAGTGCGTTTTTAGTTACATGTAGCCTATACATGTATGTTTATGTCAGATGCAGCTTAGATCTGGGTAGAAAAAATGAAGTACTATTTTGAATCTAAACACATTCATGGCGAGTGAAAAGAACGACAGCATAAAATCTATAAAGAGTAATATTTAAATAAAAAACAATCATTTATGTATACATAAATAACCAATATATATGTCTAACACATAATAAAAACGTAACGCTAATCACAGGTGGCCAGGGTTCGATTTCCGGTCAATGCAAACATCTTTAAATGTATACAAATATATTTCAAGGTTGTCTGATTTATAACTGTAATTTAAAAAAGGCAATGAAGTTGATGAAGTTGTTTATTTTGATTTGACCTTTACAAAACGTCTTTTCATTAGTTTAAATTTATTTATGCATCAAATTGACATAACAATTTTTCATTGGTCGTTTCTATCACTGGCGGTAAAATATTTTCTTTCTTTTCTCCTTGACAATATTTGTCATTCTGTATAAG